TTCTGTTATTCTGTGATTATAATTATTATTTACTATTTACATCTTATAATTAGGTGGTTTCTGGTTTCTTTTTTAGCAAGTGGGTAGAACGGGAAAAATCGCGATCTTGAGCGTGAACGTTGAGTGCTTAGTGGAACGTACTCATAGACGAGGTGGTGACTCATCCTTAGACTCCAAAATGATGTCCTCTAACATGCCTCTAACGAAACAAATTCTGATGGAGCCCGTATATGGGCGTTACATGTCCTTGTATTCTTTAGTCATTGGGGAAGAATTAGGACATAACCTCGAAAGTTATGTCAAATCATTGAGCTTGTTAGGTCAAATCACTGAGCTTGATATTTGAAAAGTAATTTTTACATATGTGTCATAAGTTTGACGATTTGAAATTGGCGGATAACTGGTACCGGTACCGAAACCGGTATACCGGTCTTGTAAAAGACGATACCGATGCCGGAATATTTCAAAAGTACCGGTCCTGGAGTCCTGGTACCGGTATACCGGAAGACCGAACATGTCTAATCGCTTGTTCTAAAATGGTTAATAGCGTTTTTACTTTTCCAAATTTCCATACCGTTTTAGAGAAAATTAAAAAAAACATAAAAACAGAGTTAAATTTATAATTAAAAAAGTTCTAAAAATCAAAAGCCGGTTCTATGGTAATATTTCGATTTCATTCTTGAATAGTAATTGTGAACAGCATCATATTGCTATTGTTAAAGTATCACATTTTCCGATAACTACTATCACTGTCTATCACCTTATTATACAGGGTTGTTCACCACATACGACACGGTAGCTAAACGATTAGATTTTTACAAATTGTAAGTTTTGGGTTCGTTAAAGTACTATTAGAGCTGCAATTTAAAAATAATTTTACAAGATACATATTTAACAGTTTTTTTTTATTTTTTAATAAAATAAGTGAACTATATCGACAGTTTTAACTCTGTACCCCTTGAAAATTTGTTACATCTTTAAATATAATAATAATAATAGCTCCCGTATATAGCGTTTAACGCCTTGGGAGTAGCAAGGTACAGCTTGCCATACTAGAGCCGTTCGGTATACAAGGAAGGTAATGTGGCTAGCACTACGCTTCAACCGCCTATTATTACCTCAGGATTGTGAATCCCAAGTACTCATTTAAGGCTGACTCGACCTAGGTACCCAAACTATTTTTATTAAAATAAAAATAGTTTTATTTAACAATACGTTTTTTTCGTAATTAATTAGTATGATACAACCGCCTACACCATAGATGTAGTCAAAACATTTATCAAAAATATAAATTTCCCTTCAAGCAGCTAAGTTAAGAAATGGCCACGGCACTGTTTGGAACCATAGAACAATTTGGTTTCGGCTGTTATATGTAGGGTATACCTTACCTGGCCGGTTTTCCACCGGCCTGGCCAGTTTTCCATTAACAAGGCCGGGTGCCGGTTAGCATCCAAAAAAAGCCGATTTTTTAGCCATTTTAGGCTGAGTCGACCTAGGTACCCAAACTATTTTTATTTTAATAAAAATAGTCGGCTGATGCAATGCCGGGTGTGGGATTCGAACCCACTACCTTGAGATTGGTAGACGAAAGGTGACGAGAGCCTGTACCTCTACGCCACCGGGCACCTTACATCTTTAAAAATAATCTAAAATGTCAATATTCCATGGGTATAGTGATAAATAAGGTCTAAGTTATAAGAAAATGCATTTTCTACGAAAACTTGAAGAGATAGGTAAGTAGTGGTATAATACAATTTGATAGAAAATTAAATTGTACATCTAATTTACGTAAAATATACGGGGTGTTCCATTTAAATTAAACAAGTTATTGCCGTTTAAAACTAGTAATTATTTAATATAAATTTTTGGACACTCTATATAAGGTAGTATAATTTTTATTATTGCAACACAATATCTCATCAATAAATAATCTTCAGTAAATATTTAGTATTAAAAACTTTGATACCCTTGGAGAAATGAAGCCTAATTTTTTATTGCAATTTCCACAAAATTAAAAATATTTATCACACTTAAACCTTAAAGTGTGATAAACCCCTGGTAAACAGTGGCGGATAAACAAGGGGGGGGGCGGAAGGGGCGGTCCGCCACGGACCCCGTCTTTTAGGGGGCCTCAGAATCTTAATAAGTAATTTTTTATTCAACTTGCAAACAAGGCCAATATGTGTTCAGTAGTTACAAAGCAGTTTGTAAACAGTATAAATGGAAGCAGATATTTACTTAATTATCAATAATTATCAAGCCCCAGTAATTGTGTATGGCATTTTCTATTTAGGAAATTAAATCAATTCTTTGTTTAAAATATCGAATAATTATTATTTTTTATATATTTTGAGACTGAATTTATTTATTTTAGCTTTTAAGAAATTTTGCAATAGTTTCATTATTTATTTTTACTGAATAAACATTTTAAATTACAACTAATGCACAGCATAACTTGTGTACTGATGATATCCTTTAGTATGACGGGGGCCACGGGCCTGAGACAGCGAAGGGGCCCCTCGGATCTTGGAGTACTTACAAAATCGCGATATTTTGTCACGGTATTTCCCTGGAAGCATTTTTAAGAAAAAAATATTTGAAATTTTTGGACGAAAAAAACTACCTGTCAAAAAATTTGTACAGCCTAAAAGTCAAATTTAGCGATTATCACAGCCCCTGTGACATAAGAAAAGACATGTGGATATCTATTTCAAAAGTTAAATTGTTCATATGTCATATAATAATGGCGGTAGCTGTCATGGAATTGAGCGATTAAAAAATTATCATAAATAATTTTTTTTTCAAATGGAAACCCACTTTTTTTATTTCACTAGTGAAAAGGTCTTCTAATTCGTTACGTTTTAACTAGACATATTCCTATACCTAAAATAAATCGTTTTTTAGTTATTTAAGATTTAGTTTGAAAACGTATATGTTTCTTGATTTTATCTAGCTTCCTTTGACATTAAGTGTCAAACACTCAGACAATTTATTTCCATCTGTCAGAAAATGAATTATTTGAATTTCCTATATTATAACTACTGCCTGCTTAAAAGTTTAAAAAGTGTATTTATATAAATATATGTCGTTCTTTAGTGATATCTAATAGTTGATATTTTAATAATATACCGAATATAAATCGAAAAAAAAAACAGCGCAAAGTTAGCTTGGAAATGATGATCGATAATATACTGTCATAGGCATAATGGCATGTAACAAATTTTAAAAACGAAAGTAACCAAAGCCTTTTCACGAGTGAAATAAAAAAAGTGGATTTCCATTTGAAAAAAAATGATTTATGATAATTTTTTAATCGCTCAATTCCATGACAGCTGCGGCCATTATTATATGACATTCGAACAATTTAATTTTTGACATAGATAGCCACATGTCTTCTCTTTATGGCACATCTTTATGTTGCTGTGGTCATCACTAAATTTGACGTTTAGACTATACACATATTTTTAACAGGCATTTTTTTCGTCCAAAAATTTTCAATATTTTTTTTTCTCAAAAACGGTTAATGTTAGGTATAGAGTGTTTAATATCAAAATTCATAAAATTTTACAGAGAATTTAAGTATGCAATAAAAAATGGAATCGCCCATTTAAAATAAGAAAGTTGCTTGTCAACTTCCGGTACTTCCGAAAGTGCCGCCATATTGAAAATATTTTTAATCGATAGATCTCATTGTGAAACAATAATATGCACAAAATCTCATATCTGGATATTGTAGTTCTCTAGAAACTTCTAACGCAGGCTCAGCCTGGGACACCCTGTATAAATACTTGAATTTTGTCAACCATTATACATACGTCATTCAATTTTACAAAATGTGCATTAGAAGTATATCATTATCTAAACAGACCGGGGGCCACATTTAGCTTTACCGCCCCGGGCCCCCGACAGGCTTAGTCCGCCACTGCTGATAAACCTTAATCAAATTTACCTTTATTTCAATTGAAGAATCTAAAAATAGAATAATATACAGGGTGTTTCATTTAAAAAAATACAATTATTATATTTTTTACTTATTTGGGACACTCTGTATCTTGTAAAATTATTTTTAACTTGTAACTCTAATAGTCCTTAAACGAACCCAAAACTGACAATTTGTAAAAATCTAATCGTTTAGCTACAATACTCCGTGGAAAAAATTCAAATACATTTTCATGTTTCATTTTCTCTAAAACGGTATGGAAATTTGTAAAAGTATAAACGGGATAAATCATTTTAGAATAAAGAAAATTTTTTTATGAAAAATGCATTGTTCTGAAAACGTCAATAATAAAAAAGGTTTTTCCTCTTGTAAAGCCAATCCGGGAACATACTGTATGTAAGAGCTACTCTTTTTACAAAATTGACAAAATACTATGAGCTAAAACAATCTTAATACAAATTAGCAGTCAGATTTGTTGACATATAAACTTACAAATTGGTTACAAACACATATATTTTTTTTTATCTGATAGAACAAAATTACAAATAAAATTATTTTGATAATATTGTATCTATTACAATATACCGTATGATTGAAAAAAAACGGTCCGGTTGGCTTGGAAATGACGATCGATAACATTTTCCATATAATTTTACATATAAAATGACAGCAATCTTCATTTCATAGCTATCGCTGACGCCGTTTTTATTCGATGATACAGTACTTCTAATATGTAATCTTATTTGAGAGTTAGGCAACTTAAAATTAGAAAAATAAACAACTGAAAAATATAACAAACAATTCTTTATATAAATAGTTCCTAGCATGCCTTAAAAATATATTTAAAATCTTTTTTATATTGATATATGTATGTGTAACTATTTAAAAAACTATTATTTAATTTTCTATAAAACAGTTAAGAGCTGTAAAATGATAAATTATCATGCTAGATAGTAGATCAGGTACAAATATAATTAAAGTAAATATCAATATATTCCTGACTAGTTACACATACACAATAAGAGATCATATTTGTAGAATGCTAGTTTCAAACTATATATTAATATTTGCACTATTTTATTTGATATTTTCTAAAAAGTTCTTTAAATTTAAAATTGTTGCTACGAAAATGAATTTTCCATTTCTTCTGATCCATCTTCTGAATCATTCGAACTTGCCTCGGTAGAACTGAATTCCTTCATTTCAACTTCAATAGACTGACTAGATACATCACTGGAAATATTGAGTTTTATTTGATTATCTGAAGCCTGCCTTTTTTCCAAATCCTGCCATGGGTCCTCCAGACATGACGGATCAAAAAATACTGACACATCTGATTTAAAATTATTATGTCTGCGATTTTTAAAGTTATTGTTATGATGGTGACCTTTGTAAAAAGCTTGCTCAGAATATCCACCATTTCCAGGAACACTGACCTAAAAAGTTGATTGATGACATTAGTTTAAATAAAGTTTTTTCTCAAGGATGTAAATATTGAGGCGCTGAATACAAACACTGAGGCGCCAGTGTTATATTTCAAGTTTAAACGCAAAAGTTATTTTTTTATTTAGGTTTTCATTGATATAAATCAGTCTAAAAAAATAATATTGATAGACTAGATATATTACAAATACATAGATGATGACGCTTGATGATTGTAAAAGCTAAACTACAGTTTATAGACATCACTTCTACTTACTTCCTCAACCGGTTCTCCTTTATATCCATGCTTTCTTTGATATTGCCCTCCGTATCCTTTATTTGGTTTGAAGTGATAGTTGCGACCTGCACGATTCCTATACAACTTTCCATGAAAGGTAGTAGCAACTGGACTGCTAAAGTTGGAAGGGCAAAAATTCCTGTTTTGCGGTGAACCTCCTGGTGAAGATTCACCACTAAAACTTAGAAAGTCCGACGTATCTGAAGAATTCGGACTCGGAATTGAGCTATTATTGAAATACACGAAACCCTGGCCGTTATTATTAAATGACTTCTTCATCGTTCAACTTCAGGAAAAAGGGGGATAAAATTACAATCCTACTATCCGTAAGTAATGTAGACGTGTTTACAAATTACGCTATAAACTAAAACTAAAAGCACTTCAACAGTTTTTATGTATCTCAGAATATAGATATCTCACGCTACATGCGATTTTATGAATGTATCCGTACAGTTATAATCAGTTATAACACGGAAAAGGTTTTTAAAAAACTAAATAAATAAACATATCTCTCAAAGTTTATATACCTTTGACATGCCATTGACATTGACAAGAATGACAGTGACAGTAATGATGGGAGAAATAACGACTACTAGACCATAGATGGCCATAATATAAATCTAAAATTTCTATACAATTTCGTTTTTTCTGAATAGCCAATAATAAAAACTAAATACTTTTAGTAATATAAATTTTGTTACGGTCCTAATTCTCATATCTTGCCAATATAATTTAAATTAAAAGAAAAATTAAATGATGTATATTTGGTTGCATAGACATCGACATGCGCATAAGTTTTTTGGAACGCCACGCAAGAAAACTAAAAAACACCGATGTTGCCAGATTAAATATTAGTATGAATACATAGGGCATAGAGATTCAGGCTAGATTATAAAAATTTTATTATCTATTTTATTTAATAAAATATAACTACTAAGAAAGGTGAATCAAAATATTCAGTAAATGTACATTCATAACTTGCATATTATTTATTTAAGGTATATTTGGTTAAATATACCTGTCTATTCCAAGTACATATTTAATAACTGTATGGCGCCTTATGAAAAATATTTATACCTACCTGAAAATCTAATTTCGTTTTATGTTTATTAAACATTAAGTCAGTTCCTATTCCCCCTAAAGATTAAAAATGCAATATAGATACCTACCTACCAATTACTATAATTTTTAGATTTCAATAGTAGAAGGTATTCAATAGTAGGATTTCGAGTATTGAGGTATCTCTGATCCGCAACATAATCTAATTACAATATTAAATTATTAAATCCATTTTTAAGAAGTGATTTAGAATATACCTATGCCATTTATCATTTTTAAAATAAATTTTTGTTTGCATTCAAAATATCAGGTAAATTATTTCCTATGCAATCAAATTGAAGTTAAAAACCTGGCAACATGGCAAGTTATAACGATAATGAAAATGGCGTCGTGTCGCCAGGATCAGTAAAAAAGATTAATAAATCCATTGAAATTTTATGACTTATGAGACATCAATACAAAATTATATTAAAATCTTGTTATATATTGCATCAGAAAGATAAATTAAATAATATCTACTCAAAACTGAGAAGAACAACTGAATGATAAGACGGAAAAGATTGAACGATACCGTAAAAACCGTACAAGGTGCGGGCTGTGTAATTAAAAAGTGACCTGTACAGTGTTATGAAACTTTTCATTGTTATTTATTAAGGTAAGCATTTAAGATAGTGTTACCTAGCATTCTTCTTCATCAAAGACACTTTCAGGATAAAAATTAAATGTTTTTACCTGATCCCACCCAACACTCAAATTCTGAAATCGCCATTTTCCATCAAGGTCATAAATGTCAATTATAAATTTTCGAGTCTGTTTTCCTTTTTCTCACCCCATTTTCCACTAATCTTGCACTCTATAATAATACTTCACTGCTTCGCTTGTAATTTAAAATAGGAAGATTCGCTTTCTAAATGCTTTCTAGTTGCATGTAAACATAACCTTATCGTCTGACCTGAGTATGTGGACATTTCCTAGGACTCTGCTGCCTACTGGCAAGCCAGCACGGTATACTATGTGCCGGGTTGCGCTAGAGTTAAAATAAAATGGAAAAAAGTCGACATGGAAAAAAAGACAAATCGAGAAAATCTAAAAGACGTAAAAACAGAGATGAGAGTTCTTCCGCCGTAGCTCCTAAACCTCTCGTAGAATATTCTGATGTTAGTTCTGAAGATTTATCAGGACCTGAAGCTGGTGAAATACAAAGTGGCGAAGAGGGTGAATTTCAGCCTGTAGAAGACGGTGAAGTGGGTGATTTTCAAGAATACACAGAAGAGTTCGCTGAAACCATGCATAGAAATCACAGAAGGACTTATATGGAACAAATCTATTTGTCAAGAACTTCAAGCTTGTTAATGCCTTCTCCAGGTGTGTATGATATTTTTTTACATATATGGTGATAACAATGCCTATATAATTTTTGATATACAAGGTGGCGCACCTCATTCGCCTCACTTGATTATATGAAAACGGAAAGATGTTGAAACAAAATTTTTTATGGGTATATGTATGTAGAGAGGCAATGTGCATAATTTAAAATTATTTTCAAATGTACAGGATATGTCAGAAGTAAGATCCATACCAGAGTTATATTTTTTCTTCTGAAACCCTCGGTATTTTATTTCATGTTTGGATTCTTGGACATAAAATAAGGCACTTATAAGGGTTTAATATGTTTAAATGCTTTGGTTTTTGAGATATTCAAAGATGTTTAAATAAGCATGATATAAGAAAAAAGTTTGTCCACACCCTGTACATTACTTTTCAGAGTTAATTCTTGTGCTGACTTTGAAGCCAGAGAAATGAACTTTACAAAAAATTTGATTGCTTCCTTAAATGTATACAGGGGTATCAAAAATTGCTGGTCTATTTTAAATATCTATTTTACATCAAAACTTTGTTATTTCAAATAAAACACTATGTATTTTTTAAAATAGGTCGAAGCAGATTTAAATGCTTTTTCAAACTATATTGGGATTTCCTATACCTATCTGGCTCATATTTTGAATAAAAAGCGATTTTTCAATAAAATGGCAATCAAGATGGCTGGTGTCGCCATGGCAATTTACTTACTAGTAACAGGTAGTAGCTATTTTCAATAACGACATTAGTTTATGGACTTTATTTAAATTTATAATAGTTTACTTTTATTTCATTTACCTACTTACAATAGTTTAATAAATAAGAAAGTAAGAAGTATTTATTATTTTATCAAGAAAAATAAAATAAGTAGTTCTTTGATTTATATTATGATGACTTATATTGGATTTTCTATAAAAGAATCGATTAAGGATTAAGGCAAATTCATTTTCTTCACTTCCAACAGGTAAATACAACCTAATAGATTTTTCACATACCACACTATCAGTTCTGCAAAATAGGAAATGTAGTATTTCAAACTCGTGTGAAGTTGGCACCCTTTTTTCAAAAAATGAACTGGAATTTGAGAGTTCTGGATAGATTTACAATAGTTCTATAGTTCTTGATAAGTTAGAAAAATAGTTCTGGTTAATTTCGGGAGATATGACATGGGGGTGCCAACTTCACGTAGCACCCTTTTTTTATTCTGGAACAGTTCTGATAGTGGAAATATATTCTAGAACAAAGAGTTCTATAGTTCCTGACTATTGATCAAAATAGTTCTATTGTATTAACCAAGTTATGAACAAAAATAAAACGGCAGCCTGCGCAGTTTAAATCGATTTTCTAGGTAAAAAATTATTTAAAAAATAGTTCTGAATAGAGTTCTGAATAGCACCCCAAAAGTTCTATAAGATGTACTATTTGAATTTTTAAAAATACCAATAATTAAAAATTTCATTGATGCACGACTCTATAGATAGACATAAAAATCGACTTTACGCGCAAAGTACAATGTTGAAAAACAGTTCTGGTTAGAGTTCTGGATAGCACCCCAAAAGTTCTATAAGATGTACTATTTGATTTTTTAAAAATACCAATAATTAAAAATTTCATTGATGTACGACTCTATAGATAGACATAAAAACCGACTTTACAAAGGTAATGCAATGTTGAAAACCAGTTCTGGTTAGAGTTCTGAATAGCACCCCAAAAGTTCTATAAGATGTACTATTTGAATTTTTAAAAATACCAATAATTAAAAATTTCATTGATGCACGACTCTATAGATAGACATAAAAATCGACTTTACGCGCAAAGTACAATGTTGAGAAACAGTTCTGGTTAGAGTTCTGGATAGCACCCCAAAAGTTCTATAAGATGTACTATTTGATTTTTTAAAAATACCAATAATTAAAAATTTCATTGGTGCCCGACTCTATAGATAGACATAAAAATCGACTTTACACGCAAAATACAATGTTGAAAAACAGTTCTGGTTAGAGTTCTGAATAGCACCCCAAAAGTTCTATAAGATGTACTATTTGGTTTTTTAAAAATACCCATAATTAAAAATTTCATTGATGCACGACTCTATAGATAGACAAAAAAATCGACTCTACGAAGGAAATGCAATGTTGAAAAAAGTTCTGGTGTGAGATTCTTTGATATTTATATGAAAAACAAGAGAATAGAAATATTACGAATGCAAAGTTACATGTATTTATTAGCTTCAAATTTATATAAAATATAATTTAATCTCAAAAGGGGCAAAATAATTAAATCACAAATTTAACCTTACAAAAATATGTACGTTCTTACCAAGAACGCTTTATATAATACCTTTCCATACTTTATATTCTATTTATAACGACTCAATATTTTATAAACCCATGGTATTTTTTAGACGCAGCCTTTGTGTAATAAATTCTCTGGCTTTGTTTTTATTAGGACGAATCGGCCAGTTCTTGAAAAACTCGCCCTTGTATTTTGTTTGGGTGTCGAGTTACACATATACCAAATAACGATATCCAGTGTGACAAAACTAACCTAACTATTACCAAAGAAAAAATTAATATATCATGTTACATAAATATTCATTTAATCAGTTTTATTGCCACGTAATTTAGAATCAATCAGAGCCAACCAAATTTTCGATATAGTAAGTTTCATAGATGCAAAGTAATTCGATCTTTTTATAAAATTTCTGTTATTAAAAACTCTAGTCTGACTATTACTTTGTTATTACTCAATATTATTTTTTGCTCTTAAAGTCAACCTCTATGAGACCTATTTTGAGAAAAAAGAAAAATGCATTCTTCATAAAAATATTGGCTTGTTCTAAAATGGTTAATTCTGTTTATAATTTTGCTAATTTCCATACCGTTTTAAAGAAATTTAAAGAAAACATGAAAATATGGTTGAAAAATCCTAAAAATCGAAACGCGTTTCTGTGGTAATATAATTTCATCTTCATTCTTTGATTGTTATTGATAGCTTTTAATTAAAGCCATATTTTTTGCTGTTTTGAAATGTTAAAGAAGCACAAATCTTTTTTAGTACAATACTACGAAAAGTGTGATATTTTGAAAGACCAAAATATATGACGTTAATCAAAATTTATAATAACCATCCATCAAAGAATTTAGTCAAAGTTATAGTATTTATCATAGAAATGCCTTTTGATTTTTAGGACTTCGATCAAATTAAATAATACCTCCATGTTTTTTTTTTAATTTTTTCTAAAGCGGTATGGAAATTTGGAAAAGTATGAACGGGTTTAACCATTTAAGAACAAGTAAAACTTTTTATGAAAAATGCATTTTCCTCAAATCCGGGGACATACTGCATAACGTTGGGAGTCAATGAAATTTTTAAATATTAATATTTAAAAAAAATGAAATGGTACATTTTATAGAACTTTTGGGGTGCTATTCAGAACTCTAATCAGAACTGTTTTTCAACATTGCATTTTCTTCGTAAAGTCAATTTTTATGTCTATCTATAGAGTCGGGCGTCAATGAAATTTTTAATTATTGGTACTTTTAAAAAATCAAATAGTACATCTTATAGAACTTTTGGGGTGCTATTCAGAACTCTAGCCAGAACTGTTTTTCAACATTGCATTTCCTTCGTAAAGTCGATTTTTATGTCTATCTATAGAGTCGGGCATCAATGAAATTTTTAATTATTGGTATTTTTAAAAAATCAAATAGTACATTTTATAGAACTTTTGGGGTGCTATTCAGAACTCTAATCAGAACTGTTTTTCAACATTGTACTTTGCGCGTAAAGTCGATTTTTATGTCTATCTATAGAGTCGTGCATCAATGAAATTTTTAATTATTGGTATTTTTAAAAATTCAAATAGTACATGTTATAGAACTTTTGGGGTGCTATTCAGAGCTCTAACCAGAACTCTTTTTCAACATTGTATTTTGCGAGTAAAGTCGATTTTTATGTCTATCTATAGAGTCGGACATCAATTAAATTTTTAATTATTGGTATTTTTAAAAAATCAAATAGTACATCTTATAGAACTTTTGGGGTGCTATTCAGAACTCTAACCAGAACTGTTTTTCAACATTGCATTACCTTCGTAAAGTCGGTTTTTATGTCTATCTATAGAGTCGTACATCAATGAAACTTTTAATTATTGGTATTTTTAAAAAATCAAATAGTACATCTTATAGAACTTTTGGGGTGCTATCCAGAACTCTAACCAGAACTGTTTTTCAACATTGCATTACCTTCGTAAAGTCGGTTTTTATGTCTATCTATAGAGTCGTACATCAATGAAATTTTTAATTATTGATATTTTTAAAAAATCAAATAGTACATCTTATAGAACTTTTGGGGTGCTATCCAGAACTCTAACCAGAACTGTGTTCAACATTGCATTTCCTTCGTAAAGTCGATTTTTATGTCTATCTATAGAGTCGTGCATCAATGAAAATTTTAATTATTGGTATTTTTAAAAATTCAAATAGTACACCTTATAGAACTTTTGGGGTGCTATCCAGAACTCTAACCAGAACTGTTTTTCAACATTGCATTTCCTTCGTAAAGTCGATTTTTATGTCTATCTATAGAGTCGTGCATCAATGAAATTTTTAATTATTGGTATTTTTAAAAATTCAAATAGTACATCTTATAGAACTTTTGGGGTGCTATTCAGAACTCTAACCAGAACTCTTTTTCAACATTGTACTTTGCGCGTAAAGTCGATTTTTATGTCTATCTATAGAGTCGTGCATCAATGAAATTTTTAATTATTGGTATTTTTTTAAAATCAAATAGTACATCTTATAGAACTGTTGGGGTGCTATTCAGAACTCTATTCAGAACTATTTTTTAAAGCATTTTTACCTAGAAAATCGATTTAAACTGCGCAGGCTGCCGTTTTATTTTTGTTCATAACTTGGTTAATACAATAGAACTATTTTGATCAATAGTCAGGAACTATAGAACTCTTGTTCTAGAATATATTTCCACTATCAGAACTGTTCCAGAATAAAAAAAGGTCGCTACGTGAAGTTGGCACCCCCATGTCATATCTCCCGAAATTAACCAGAACTATTTTTCTAACTTATCAAGAACTATAGAACTATTGTAAATCTATCCAGAACTCTCAAATTCCAGTTCATTTTTTGAAAAAAGGGTGCCAACTTCACACGAGTAATTTTGCTAATATCTTCAGTTTGAAAGAGGATATCAAGATGCGGTTTTGGCTGACTTCTTAAGCTTTTATCACTCTTTACTATCAGCTGAATTTATATATACTATCGCATTTAATTTTTTTGAAAAAACGTTCAATGTTAAATTGTAAGACAGCGCCCCCTAGCGTCTACATTCAAAAGCTTATTATTATTGTTTAAACGGTATAATATAGAGTAAGAAACGTTCTTTTAAACGACCCTCCGTTTATTGGATTCCGTTCATCCAGTCTGGAGTTATTAATATTTAAATAAAAACAGATCTAACCTTCCCCCACGACTTTATTTTGGCAGATAGGGGAAAACGGTTCTAACAAAAAATATTCAAAATTTACTGAGAATTATGAAGCTTTTTGTATATCTTACTATTGAAACCTTTGTTAAACGTAAAACATACTATAGCAACTATAACTTCGACTATAGTATGTGTAACAAATCGATGACATTTCCCATATAATTTTACATATAAAATGACAGCGATCTTCATTTCATAGCCATCGTCGACGCCGGTTTTATTCGATCATACGGTATTTGCAAACCAGTGCAAACGCATCCCGTTATAATAAAAACGTTACAAAAAAGAAAAATATATTCAGAGACTCAGTGGTAACACAAATAAAATTTTAATATGTGTTGGAAGACTATTTTAGTAAATAGGTACCATTTTTTTTATTATTTGTCACAGCCTACTAATAAAAAATGATATATTTTAAATATTGCAGTAAATAGTGAAAATAAACATACAGTGATATATATTTTTGAGAAGCTCACAGCAAGACGGATCATATGATTTACAAATATACAGGGTGTTCCATTTGAAAAAAACAACTTTAGTTCATATTTTCAAAAATATTTTTTTCGTAGAAAAACAGACTACGCCGCTGTATTCTACGTAAAAAGTTTTACAAGAATCAGTTTTAACCTTCGAGATATCATCTACATAACGGAGATACAAGGGCTGTTCCAAATTGCAAAATGTTAGACCCTGTAGCTCAGAAACGAAGAGAGCTATGAAAATTTTGTTTACAGCATTTTTCGTTTGACAAATAGTTTCTGAAGTGAGTGGGACAGGTTTTTTTCAACCAAAATGGCACACCCTATGCGTATCTATTTAAAATAATACGGAAAATAATAGTTAAGGTTTTTTGGCATTCTGTATATTATCCATTTGTTAAATAATAAATAACAATTAGAGATATCCTTATTAGTTTTTTTTTTTGTACTAATCTTTGTGATTAAAGTATTTGAAAGAAATATAAACCCATAAAACGGCTTACAATATGCAAAAGTAATTTTCTACGTCTGGACATTTAAAAAAATGTAGAAAATTTATTTTCTACCTGTAAAAAATACGGTAGAATATATAAAATTTTCTGCCTACCTAACCCTGTCGCTATTACATTTTAACAAGTATAGTATGTCCAACGACAAGATTCTTGAAAGTGATAGATGTGTCTGTTATTTTAATTTCAAAGTAGTTTATTTTATTTTACCAAGAAATAAGTTGGTACAATCGGAACACATAGCAGGAAATTAATATATTTAAATTTGCGCTGATAAGTGATTACTTCAAAATATTGTGAAAAAAAACTGTATGAAACTGAAAAAATATAATCGAGTTATTTTATAAAACGGTATGTGTTAAACAAAACACCACATACCAAAAAAATATAAGAAAGAACTATTTCTTACTTTCAAGCTTCAAGAAACTTCCCGCATTTATTATTATATTTATCAATATAAACCAATACCTTTTGACATTATTTTTCTGCAGTACTAAAATCCATTATTTACCTATCCTGTGATGTCGATATTTTACAGCTACTCCAGTTTTTAGTATATGTTTAGTACGATCCTTGTACCATATACGAGATGCACTTATCTAAGACGAGATGGTATACAAACTTTATTGATGGTAACTTTATTGGTGTATAAGATTTTGTTGCCTGGACAGCTAGTATTAACTATAAACTCTGCTTCTGGGTCTACAGTTAATTTTCCCTCGATTTTTCCTCCACTTGACTTCAAAAGACACAAAACGCACCTAATAACACGAATCAAAATGCATCATCTTCCAAAACGCAGATATTTGACATAACTTGACACAAAATTATAACTTATAATTTGGCATGACTTTGACAAGCCTCAAAAATCTAAAGGCGAGTTCATACGCATCGGCGTTCGTTTGTCGTTCATCGTTCCATCAAACCAATGAAATTGAAATATGATCTGTCATTTTTGAAATAAACCAATAAAACTGGTTAAAAACAACAAGAGACGACGTATAACGGATTTATATTTAAACCCATCCATAGTTAACTTAAAAAATACTAGAGATTTTTTTAGTAAAATAAATAGATTGGTATGGGACGTCATCTGCTTTTCTTCTGTCATCGTCTGTCGAAATCTTACCTGAGAAAAAAAAACAGAGTATATCTTGATTTTTATATCGTGTGCTATTGAGTACATTATAAATTATATTTTAGGCCGAAGGCATAGATTAGATCCAAATTTGATGCCCCGCTCTCCGACACCACCAATTGTGATAACAACTAGAGAAAGACATCAATCGGCTTCGGATTCGTCAAAATCTAGTGAAATAAGACGTCGAATTGTGGAAGTTGTTTCGCCGTATTCCAGTGAAGAATACGAGAATGTGGATAAGAAGAAGAAAAAGAAAAAGGAGAAGAAGCATAGGAAAGACAAAAAAAGCAAAAAGAAAAAGAAGAAAAAGCACAGGTCGAGAAGTTCCAGTGTAGATACTGACTCAGACTCAGGTGAGTTTTTATATATTAGTTATTATACAGGGTGTAATACAGGTGGTTATTATACAGGGTGTACCTCATTCGCCTCGGTTGATTATACGAAAACGGAAAGATGTAGAAACAAAATATTTTATGGGTATATGTGGGGAGGCAATGTGCACAATTTATAATTATTTTGAAGTATACAGGGTGTTTCAGAACTAAGATCCATACCAAAGTTATATTTTTTCTTATGGAACACCCGGTAATATATTTCATTTTTGGATACTTGGGGTTAACTGTATTTAAAATCTTTGGTTTTTGAGATATTTAAAGATATTTAAATTTGCATGCTACAGTAGAATAAACTATTAACACCCTGTACATTACTTTTCAGAATTAATTCTTGTGCTTAGTTTAAAGGGAGAGAAATAAACTTTACAGAAAAATGTTATTGCTTCCTTAAATGTATACAGGGGTATCAAAAATTGCTGGTCTATTTTAAATATTTATTTTACATAAAAACTTCGTTATATCAAATGCAACCCTACGTATTTTTTGAAATAAGTCGAAACAGATTTAAATGCTCTTTCAAACTATATTAGGGTTTTCTATACCTATCTGGCTCAGATTTTGAATAAAAAGCGAGTTTTCAATAAAATTGTATACAAGATAGCTAGTGTCGTCATGGCAAGTTTCTAATGACAGTTAGTAGCTATTTCAAAATCGAAATTAGTTTATGGACTTATTTAAATTTATACAGTTTACTTTTATTTAATTTACCTACAATAGTTTAATACATAATATTTTTTAAATATGTATTATTTATTATTGTATCAAGAAAAACGAAGAAGCAGTTCTTTAGATTGTAATACAACCTAAAGAACTGTGAATTATTTTACGATGACTTGTAGATATATGGATTTTCTATAAAATAGCCAATTGCGGCAAATTCATTTTCTTAACTTCTAACGACAGGTTTCTGCCTAATAGTTTTTTTATAAACCACACTACCAGCTCTGCGAAATAGGACAAGTAGTTTTCCAAAGTAACGCTTATGGATATCTTTAAGCATAATCGCTTGAAGCCCAGAAGCAATTTTACTCACAAAATAATATCACTAGTAACATATCTATTCGTTCTGCCAGCAAATACTGCTTTATTTTTCTTGATAAAATAATGAATACTTACTTTTTATACTATTGTAGGTAAATTTAAGTAAACTGTTATAAATTATAAATAATAATGTCCATAAACTAATGTCGACTTTGAAAATAATTACTAACTGTCACTAGAAAATTGCCATGGCGACACCAGCCATCTTGACTGCAATTTTATTTAAAAATCGATTTTATTCAAAATCTGAGCTAGATAAGTACAGGAAACCCTAATATAGTTTCAAAGAGCATTTGAATCTGCTCCGATTTATTAAAAAAAAAATACAGGGTGTTGCATTTGAAATAACGAAGTTTTTATATATGATAAATATTTAAAATAGACCAGCAATTTTTGATACCCCTGTATACATTAAACGAAGCATTCTAATTTTTCAGTAAAGTTTATTTCTCTACCTTTAAACTCAGCATAAGAATTAATTCTGAAAAGTAATGTACAGGGTGTTTATAGTCTATTCTATTGTAGCATGCAAATTTAAATATCTAAAAAAACTGAAGATTTTAAACATATTTAACTCTTATAACAAATGCCGTTTTTGGGCCCAAGAATCCAAAAATGAAATAAAATACCGGGTGTTCCATAAGAAAAAATATAATATATATGGATCTTTGTTCTGAAACACCCTGTATATTTTAAAATATTTTTAAATTGTGCACATTGTCTCTCCACATATACCCATAAAATGTTATGTTTCTACATCTTTCCATTTTCGTATAATCAACTGAGGCGAATGAGGTGCGCCACCCTGTATACAGAGTGGCCCATTAGTGCGAGGAAGTCCAATAGCATCGTTGCTGTCGAAGATATGAAAAAACGTTTTATACAGATGTTAGATACATAGAGTACACTATTTTTATTTGAAGCACTGTTAGGTTAGGTTAGGTTGCTGGGGTTTGGGATCATGTTTTATCCCTCACTCAGAGGCCTTGGGCCCATTGCGATACCCCTATATTATGGTACTAAACCTTCCTCTCATTATTTCTTTGCGTTAAAGCATTTCCAGCTCTTTGCAAAGTTCCCGATTTGGGAACTTTGAAGCACTGTGCTTTGTCGCCATTTTATTTCTTATTTATTAAAACTTTGGTTAAAAACACTATGTCCGAAAAGTGGTTAAAAACGAGACTGAATTTAACTTTATTAATAATTAGCTCTATTTTTAATTTTTATAAACATTAATATTTAAAATGCTATATCTTGATTTTTTTAAATGCAACACCCTGTATATTATTATTCATTTAGATGCAGAATTAAAAAAATAATATTTTTTGTATTTAAAGTGTTCCTAAGTTGGTTAGCGGTTTTGCAGATATTCGCTGTATTATATTACATAATATGGAGTTTTCAATGGTAAAATACTATACAAAGATCACAGAAGTAATCAAAGATCATGTTAGGTGGCTTTGATAAAAATTTACTGTTGGAAGAGCCATATAGAGGGTCACAGTGCAGTACCTTGTATCATTTTCAATACAATTTTTCAGGAAATCCAAAAAACATATCAACAGGTAATTTTACTTTAAATTATTATTATTTTATATGTAATAATCTACCACCAATATCTGCGAAACCGATAAAAATCGATCACTTTAAATACAAAAAATGTTCACATTTTAATTCTGCATCTAAAATGAAGATAATATACAGGGGGTTGCATTTAATAAATTGAGATATAGCATTTTAAATATTGCGATGTTGGCGCCACCATAAAAATAAAAATAAAATAAATGAAGTATATATGACATATTTGGAGTATTTATGAAATATAATGTTTACAGTTTGTCCCATTGATTAAATCCTCAACAATTAAATTATAATTGTTGGAAACATAGGAAATTATAAGTATATAATGTGATCTAGGGAAATTGTTACGGAATTTATATTCTCATACACTTCTTTTCTAATTTTATTTATTTTTGGGCTCAATATTGTAATTTTAGAGACAATTCTTGAATTTAATTGATTGTTTTATCAAACCTGGGGCATTCGCCATTTCTTTAAAATCTAAAAACAATTTGGTAAATAATATAATTTCTATGCTAAAATATGTTTATTTACTGTTGCATTACACTTTTTCTTTTAACAACATAAAAAAAGGATATAATTTCACTGTAAATTTCTCTGTCTCGTACTGCTTTATAGTTCTTTGAAGCTAAATACGATGCCTTTTTTTGCATGTTATAACAAGTATGCCTATTTTAACAAGTTAAATTTGGTTTATATTCTCATATTTCACACTGATTCCTTGGAATGTACCATTATTATAAAAATGCTATAGCTTTTCCCATGATTATAGGCTTGGTGCATTCTCCGCCGGTGCTGCCACCGCCCGGGATTATCGTAAATAACGAACACATATAAATACATGGGTTTAAATTGCGAGTAAACGAAAAAATTAGTATATAATTATTCTAAAAGTGTTAGAAAGTATAATTTGTGGAAATTCTAAACAAAAAAATAAAAAGATAAATATTTTGATATCTTCAGAAGGTCTAACTTACATTATAATTTATTATTCCAGTTAAAAAAAATTTAGATGCGTTCAACTACGGTAGCGAGTAATAGTTTATCTCCGGTTTTGCTATTGGAGCATAATTGGAGCTATTTCGCCTATAACGAAATTTTTTAAAGGTACATAATTATAATTTTAGAAGATGTTCATAAAACATTTAATCACTAGTTGGTTAAAAAAGTATACCATTAATATTGCATACAAATTATATTTCATCCTCTCATAGTATATGTCTATTTAATTTTTTGATTATGTAACAAGAACTTTTTTTACTCACTTGTTTCGTCGAACTGCTTGAATCCATTTTTGCTACTGATCAAATGGGTGTAAGAAATAATTATATGAAGCTTTAAAATGTTGTTTCGGGAGCGTTGAATATCCGGGAAAGTTGAGTTATTGAATGTTATTGTACCCAACAACGCCTTAATTACGCTGTCCTTTACGCGTTAACATTTTTAACAATTTTGTTAACATTTGAAATTGTCACAACACAAGACACCTAGTTCGAATTCTTTTTTACTTATTTTTTACTACCCGAAACAGCGTTACATCACACAAACCTCGTACCTGAGTGTTTTATAGTCTCAATAACTGCACTAGCAAAAAACTAAAATACTTAAATATTATGACAAAACCCCGATTTCAATATTATTTTAATGCGATCGTCATGACGGCGGCGGCGGCGTGAACTATGTGTTGATCATTTCTGATTTATGCCGTAGAGTGCGCTGCGGTCGGAATTTGTTGAAATCAACTGAAACGCACCAAGCCTATAGTATAGATTTAACTCTATTTTGAATCGAACAAGTGTTGATATCAGTGTAGCACATTCAATAATTGTTGAACATCATAAACTAAAAGCAAATAAAACGTTTTGTAATAATTATTAATAGGTACTTTTAAATAGATTACTTACGATTTATATATTTTTTTATATTTTTTTTTCTTATGACAAAATCCCATGCAAATTTTCTACTGTCCAAATATTGGCTTCACTATTAATTTACAGCAAAATCGTAATTATTTAATTTAAGAAAAATGGCATACTTATATGTTTATATTAAAATTGAACAGGTAACAATGCAAAACTAGGCTAATGTCAACACACCTTAAGTTGTCAACCTACATATATATTTATCATTGTCAAATGTTATTTGTTGTGTGGTTTACACTTGGTTTATACTCTGTTTACACTACTATGTTATGGTTGCGTTATGGTACCCCAGGTTAGTGTTCCCACAATGCATTTTATAATTTAAAACTGGTTTGAATTAGGGAAAAGACTAACGTATACAAAATACAATTTGTTATTAGGTTGGCAGCTTAAGGTATGTCGGCATTTGCTTGGTTTTATATTGTTACCTGTTTAGTTTCAATTTAAAAACAGATAGAGTTTTTCTTAGATTAGTTAAAATTGGCTTGTTCAAAATTGTTCAAATTTGGCATGTGTATTTAGCATACGAAGACCTTTCGAGAAAACATATGTACAACATTGCTGTAAAATCAATAGGGGAACCAATATTATTTGGGCAGTTAAAAAATTTGCATGCAATTTCCTATGTTTCCAACGACGCGACGATGTTCCACCCGCGGTATAAATGAGTCTATTATTGTTAGGTCAATTTACTAATCATTGAAAATCTAATTGCTGGTTTTTTATTCTTCATTAAGGATCTAAGGGTAGTAGTACAAACACACCTCCAAAATTGGTACCTGATCGAGACAGGGAACGTGAACCTTTGAGCGATTGGGAACCTCACGAGCAAGCTACCGTTAAACTTGTTGGTGAGTATGTTCTATTTTTTTTTATCTGTAGTCGATTTAGAATCTTCTAAACATTGTAGCAAAATAATGTAATTAGCCTAGATCATATATACTTACGTGGATAAGTAAGTCACATTGGAAACTGTTGCAAACATATCAACGACTTCCATTTATCTTCTTTTTTTGTTGCACACGCGGTACTTCTACTCTATCTATCCTTGTCGAGGGCCTATCGTCCGCGCGCCAAATTTAAACATTACTTTTAAAAATTTAATTTGTAAAATGCCTATATTTGAACAATAAATTGAATGTTTACTGTCACAAAAATTAAATTATAAAAAATACATTTAGCCACTTCGTACGAATATCAATATTCTTAGGAAATCTAACCAGAAAGTATGCATGTGGCTTAATATAAATAAAAGAACAACTGAATATTTTACTTGCCTATGAAAAGATAATTCGGGGCCCTTTGTATTAGAAGTTTCACACACTAAACACTTTAAAGTAATTTTTACGAGGGGCCATATATAGAGGGGAAATATAGATGTGCACAAACTTAAAATTGACTTCTCATTGAACACACTTGCATCCTTCGCTATATAAAAGCGGTCGATAAAAGTATACGTTTTAAAAATGATACAATTTTTAAAATAAAAGCGCAAAAAACAAGCGTCGTTACACATTGGAAATAAGATTATGACATGATTATGACAATATGATGACAATGAAAAGTTGGTTTCCATAACAGTGTATAATTTGTACTTTCTAAACCGTATAAGATTGTGATTATTTTGGAAATACGTGCAACTTTTAATGCGCATGGGCACAAAGTAAGATCCTCGAGAAAGACATACCTATTGAACGTTTCATAAGTGCAATAAAGAAGGTTTAAAAATGGCATGTCGTGATGAGACATGTTTTTTAAAGCTAAACTTATGGCGTTGATTTATCGACGTAAGTATATAATCTATGGCCGTAACAATAACCATAATTTTCTTTTTTTGTGCAAGACTATTACGGAATTGTGTCAGACAGTCCAGGTAAGGGCAATATATTTTTTTTATTGTTTGGATAATTGTATCATAAACATTCCAACTGCATCAAGTATCACTTTGCGGGATACGTATATGTCGAGCCACATCGCAACTAATAATTATAAATATAAAAATGTAGATATTCAAAATAACAAAACAGCTATTTTTCAGTTCAGACCATTCTGTACTGACCATGTAGCTTTGTGTGTCGATCTTTTAAAACTCGTTGATCGGTTGAGACAGTTCTAGATAATACAATGGACAAAAAACTAAAACATGTCATAAAAAAAACAAGCAAAGATGCAACAACTTTTGCAAAACAAAATCCAAATATCATCCTAACATCAGTAATAAAACAGCAGAAGCAATTGTACAGCGCTCAGCATTTTCCAGGTGTTCGACAGTGTAGCTGCCACGATATATTTCATATTTTAAAAATCCCCAAAACCAGAAATTGAGAACCGACAAATCCGGGAATCAGGGAGGTCATCATGGTCCAATTCATTTGAGAAATAATAATTTAACTAAATTCTAATGTTTTCAAAGTTGTGAGGGGAGTCCCATCTTGCTGAAAGTATATTTTACGTAAATTAGCTAAAGGAATATTTAAGAGTTCCGGTACGATAGCTTCCAAGATTTAAAAATACCAGTAGAGAGTTAAGTTTCCCTAATATATAAAGAATGTATTAGTGGCTCCCAAAATAAAACAAGAGACAGATACTTATAATAATTCTTTAGTTTCTTTGATTATTATCAATCATGGCCTACTAATAAATATGATCTTTTAATAAAAACTTTTAAATATTGCAGTAAATAGTAAAAATAAATATAGAGTGATATATATTTTTGAGAAGCTTATGGCAAACCAGATCATATAATTTTTAAATATACAGGGTGTTCTATTTAAGAAAACATAACTTTAGTTCATATTTTCGAAAATATTTTTTTCGTAGAATGACAGACTAGGCCGTAACAATAACTTGATTAATAATAGCTTTGTATGTCGATCTTTTATAAGTCGTTGATCGATTGAGACAGTTCTAGATAATACAATGGACAAAAACATATCATCAAAAAAACAAGCAAAGATGGATAGTATAACAATGAACAGAAAACTCACAGGAACTTCTTAAATATACTCACAACTTTTGCAAAACAAAATCCAAATATCATCCTAACATCAGTAATAAAACAGCAGAAGCAATTGTACAGGGCTAAAATAAATTTAATGACCCACAAACTACACTCTCTCCCAAGAAGTTTAATGAATACTTCGCCAACATCTCAGACACTCTCTCAGCCAATCTCCGGAGATCTGGTGTTGATCTGTCTCACGAGATCGAAATAAGATTTAACCACCACTTAATAGCGTTCCTAGAGAAAAACAATCTTATATCACCTTGCCAATTTGGCTTCCAGAAGATAAGGTCAACAGCCGATGCCCTGAGGGCTCTGGTTGAATACATTGTTGACTAGTTTGAGGGGGGACATCGGTACTGGCAGTCTTCTGCGAACTCCCGAAGGCATTTCACTTTGTGTCACACCAGATTCTTCTAAATAAACTCCTTTACTATGGAATCAGGGGTAACGCCCTAGGTTGATTTGATGACATCTTATTTATTAAACCGTTTCCAGTTGGTTACCCAGGTGGAGTAAAAAAACAACCCTTACCTATTTTGCTGGCGTCCCACAGGACTCCATGGTGTCCCTCTATTATTCATTCTATATGACAGTGAACTGCCATCATATCTTTCAAGCAAGGCGATTGTACAATACGCCGATGATACTACCATTCTTGATTATACATGCTGAACAGCTCCATTTAACATCATCTCAAGGGTGGCTTCAAAGGTTTAAAGAGGGTCCAATAAATAATGTATATGCCTTTGTGGTAGGGTTTCATTTCTTGAAAAAATCCAGGGTTTCAAGAAATAAATGCGCTTCAATATTTGCCAGTTGACTCGCTAGCGAATGATATGAAAAACGAATATCAGTTTTTGATACAGGTTTAGCTAGGGCATCACAGAATATGATTTCAAAGCATCACATTCTTTACTAAAAGAGGTTGGTGGGCAAGCGCATGAGATAAAACATAAACAGCAGAGAATTATAAGGTTTTTAAAAGTTCGTCAACAAAAGAGCAGTCGGTATATTCGCTAATTGGAATAGGGGGTTACAATTAGCTGTTCCGATTACAGAGGTTGCACTGTTCATATACTAAGAGCTGGCAAAGGTTAGTATTGGGCCGAGATTTCCGTATGTAAGAAGAGTACAATGTCTTTATAATGTACTGAACAAAGAGAGAACAGTAAAAACGTTGCCAAACGTATGAAATAAATCGAGAAATTTTGCACATGCTAGTACTTAAAATTCTAGGAAAGTGTTAGTTATCATGTTCAGCTTTACGATTTAATTACGTCTCGTAATACTTTATTTGTTTATTTATTAACGAATCGTAATTTTCCCTATTGCTTGTAAATTTTTAAGTGAAAGTTAGACTCCGACTTAATAAAATCCCTATGCGATTTACTTCCACACATGTAAATACCGACCCAAAAGTAAGAGTTACTAGCACGGTATATTTAGGATATACTGAGGAGCATATCGTAATTTGTTTTCGTATTTCTAGATACTAAAATTGATACGGGCGCATGTTCACCCGTGTCAAATGACAGTCATATAGCATCACCAGAACCGTTGTCACCTCCGTCAGCGACGCCACCTTTGAAAGCGTACCGGAATGATTACACCCATGATTACCCAAGAGAATCGCCCCATACCCCGCCAATACATGGACATCATCACTCTAGCAGGTAAGCTTTATGATTTTTTGTATATCACTCATAAAATTTGTAAATAAGAACTGGTAAAAGATTAGGATGTATTTACGAGATTTTATAAATAATTTTTCAGTGATAATTTTAACCCTCAACTGGCGTGGTGAAATTTTGTACCGCTTATGGCTTTCTGGGGTCCGACAGACCCCAATTGTTTGTTTCAGTTAAAAGTAAATGACGAAGAGATTTTATAAAAAGTTTGTTGTTTTAACACTGTTTAAAATATATGCAAACTTAGGAATTAATTATGTCATTCATTTTCAATAAATTAATAAGACCGGACACAAAAATAAAGTAAAACGTACTTTTTTAGGAATTTTTGACAACAGAAATATAAGTTGGCTAAAAAACTCTTAGAAATTAAAAACATGTATATTTTTTGATTTTCTCGTATTATTGAAAGTACAGGGTGTCCCACTAAGAATAGCTCTCAGCTGTATCTCGGAAAGTATTAGCCGTAGCGGCTGCGGAAAAAAATATTTATAACTAAAGAGGCTATGGGAAATTGCTGGAAATTATTTTCAAGTTTGTAGAACGACCGCTAGGGGCGCAACTGCAACAAAAATAAGAAAATAGAGTTTTTACACAATTTTGACTAAATAAGGTGTACTATAAGTAACAGCTTCATAATCTTCAGTAAATTTTGAATATTTTTTGTTAGACCCATTTTCCCCTATCTACCAAAATAAAGTGGTGGGGGAAGGTTAGATCTGTTTTTATTTGAATATTAATAACTCTGGACTGGATGATCGGAATCCAACAAGCGAGGGCTCGTTTAAAAGAGCGTTTCTTACTCTATATTGTACCATATAAACAATAATAATAAGCTTTTGAACGTAGACGCTAGGGGTCGTTGTCTTACAATTTAACAAACATTGCGCGTTTTTTCAAAAAAATTAAATGCAATAGTATATGAAATTTTAGCTGATAGGAAAGAGTAGTAAAAGCTTAAAAAGTCAGCGAAAACCGCATCTTGATATCTTCTTTCAAACCAAAGATATTATAGCAAAATTATAATAAATACCAAAAAATATTACAACACCGTATCAGTAGCCCCCTAGATTATGCCCATTCTAACCTAAAAATAAAATAGAAACAGTTAGTATATTTTTAGTTAGTAAAAATTTTAAATAATCGTAACTCCAAAATTACAGTAGCTAGCGAAACGCGGTTTTCAATTTAAGATTAGAAATAATATTTGCAACAAAATTTGTAATAACATCAAAATCAGTCAGTCGCAGTTTTTGAGATATTCCGTGTTTCCGTAGTCCGTTTTTGAGAAAATCCGTGTGGAGAACTCCAAACTCCCATCGGACGCGACCCCAGGTGGCGGATAGGGGAAATAACCGCGGACCAAAATTAAAAAAATTCCTTTACTTTGAAACTAAAAAAACTGCCTACCAACTTTTTATTAACATATTTTACTATGGGCGGCTATGCGTGCCTCCCGGCGCATTTTTTTTTGATAAGATATACTGAAAATAGTCTTCTATTTCAGATTTTGTGAAAATTGCCATAAATAATCAAAATTAAATCTTTAATAACTTTCGTACGGTGAGGTTTACAAAAAAATGATAGGAGACATTTTTTGTAGAGAATTCAATTTCCTACAAACATATGAGACGAGATAATTTCCAAATAGTAGATACCGCGATATAAATTTTTCTTTCTAATAATAAGGAAAAAAATATAAAACTGAAAGACGTAAAACCTTCCTATTAAAATTAAGCGCTCATATTTGGAGAGAATTTTTTGAGGTGGCTACCAACCCTTTTTTCAGAGTGTAAAGTGAAAAAAAAATTGTCGATTTTTTTTGACCCACCCTAATATCCATGTTCGTTCTTGATTCAACACTATAAATAAAAATCCAGCTTATCCATCTACTAAACTAGGTGGAAGAAAAGGGGGGGGGGAATATAAATGTAATTTTTTGTAAATAGGCTTTTCCAAAAAAATAGCTATAATATGAGTTCAAAATGAGTAATTGCAATTGAAAAAGGGAGTATTATAACATTTTAGAAAAGCAAAAATTTTAGAAAAAAATATGCTTTTGGGCTTCTGCTTTAGTAGAACTGAAAAAAATTATAATATTGAGCTGATTTTTTATATCTCAAACAAGGGTTTTTAATTTTATCTGAATTATTATTTTAAGGTCTGTTTCAAATCACCATGTGACAATTGTAAGAGATGTGACATCTCCTATAATTATAGACGATTACAGCAGAAACTCGCCTTCTATAAGGTAAGCTTTGTGTAAATATGAAAATATATAAATGAAGTCTTAAAAATTTAAACACGTTGTTAGTTTTCATTCTTTGATAGATTTGTATTAATAGAATTTTAATTATCGTCGTATTTTTGCTGTTTTAAAATGTCAAAGAAGCCCAAAATTTATTTAGTTCATTGCTACGGAAAGGGTGATAATAGTTATTGGAAAATGTCAACTTTAACAACAACAAAAAGTATGACCTTAATCAAAATTAATAATAACCATCTATCAAGGAATGAAATCGAAGTTATATTACTATAGAAACGTCTTTTGATTTTTGGGACTTCACATTAGTTTGCTCTTCATAAAGAATTTTTACCACGTCTCAGTTGTTGCATGTTTTTGTTTTATTAATGTATAAATTAATAAAATTTGGGTGGATATAGTTTTTTAATGTAGTTGATATGTGTAAACTTCTCTATTTACAGTATACAAGGACCAATAGTAGTATATAGTAGTAATGGGATTACTCGAGTGAAAATTACTCGGTCATCCGAGTATTCATATTCTCGGTATGTCTCGAGTATTTTTGTCGATCCTCGAGAATTACTCGGCACGCAACTAACATCGGGTGTGTTGTACCGTCCTCGCTGCGCGCGACGATACAGGCGATTTACGATTTATGTTGAAACCTTTTTTTGTCGATCCCCGAGCATTACTCGGCACGCAACTAACATCGGGTGTGGCGTACCGTCCTCGCTGCTCGCGACGATACAGGCGATTATACGATTTATGCTGAAACCTTTTATATAGAGGACAGCAGATAACCGTTTAATTACTTGCTCGCATATCGCTCGCAATAATAATCTTCAAATGATACTTCAACAGTTATGTCTTCTTCACTTTCTTCTTTCTCATCTTCTTGCAGAATATCTGGAAATCCATCTATGACAGATGCATCAGTTGTCTCCCCATTAAAATCCTCATCTGTATTTAAGTCAATATTGGAGCAAGACTGACCTTGACAATTAGTACATATTGGTGTACAAAACAATCCGACTCTTTTACAACACGGTTTTACACAGTTTGCGCTACAACACTTTTTGCAATTGCAAAAAATTGTTTTAAATAGTTTTTCTGGAGCAGGTGGAAGTAAAGTTTTAATAATCTCCAAAGTATTATCTATAAATTTCCAACCCCAGTCTTCTGGGTTCAGTTGATTACCTAGCCACAATTGAACTTGATAGTATACTCGATATAAGTGTTGACAGGCAGAAGCAGATGTTGGAGGAAGACAAGAAAGTTGTACCATTTTACTGTTCCGAGTATTTTTAACAAAACTTAAATATCTATACTTGTCTATAGAATCATTTTTTTTTTGGAGCACCATATATAGCAAGAAGCAAGCGAATTCCACTTGTGATGATGACTTGTGGAGAAGAGTCAGTCTTTTTGAATACGCCTGCGCAGACATTACTGTTGAAGTATCATTTGAAGATTACCACTCAGATTAAAATTCTGCGAAAATCAACAATAATCCATTCGACTATAATAATTACCAAGAGCACCGTTTATTAAAATTAATAGTATAATGTGTAATAAAACTTAACCACAATAGATCGTGAACTAGGCCTACAGGGGAAACCACGTTAAAAAAACGTGCCAAGTACACTACTTCACAGGTGGTGCGGAAATGTGTGCATATTATGAAAAATACGAGTTTTTCAACTTTTAAAATCGCCATATCTCAGGAATGGTGATTCGTAAGAAAAAAGTATAAGAACCATTATTGTAGAAAATTTAATGGTCTACAACATTTGTTTAAGGTACTTTTGCGATAGCGCTTACCGTTTAGGAAAAAAAAGCAAAAAAATATTTTTTTGTCTTTTGACCTTGAATAATTTTTTTAGCAGACGTGGGAGGGGTGGGGATTTTTCAGATATCGTTTATAATAGTGTATTTAAGTCCTGTACCAATTTTCAGCTCTATGCGAATTATTGTTATTTAACCCCCTTTTTTTTGTTTATTTTAATTGGGTATTTATTTGATATCAAATGCACTAAACACATTGGATAAATTAAAATTTTTCTGTATACAGGATTTTTTCAGATAACTGGTTCATTCTAAGTTTTTGTAAATTTAGAATTTCAATATGTCAGCTTAAGGCTATCTTTCAGGTGTGTTTTCTTTTTAAAATAGTTTTCATTTGTGGTACTTTTTTTGCTTATTCATCTGATACGGCCCAAATTTGGAAAATGTTCTACTCCAGTTGCAATGAACTGATAAAGATATAAAGTATATTAATTATACAGTATGTCGTCGGATTATCTTTACATGAGGAAAAACTTTTTAATTTTATATATCTGTCGGTCTGTCTGTCCGTCTGTAACACAATAATTTAAAAACCGCTAAACCGATTTTAACCAAATTTGACACAAAAATACTGTGGCACCCGAGAATCCGGTAGAATTAATTTTTGGAGGGGGTGGTGGATTGGTAAGGGGGCAGGGGAGGGGGTTAAAAATTTTTAAAAATCGTAACTCCAAAATTACAGTAGCTAGCGAAACGCGGTTTTCAATTTAAGATTAGAAATAGTATTTGCAACAAAATTTGTAATAACATCAAAATTAGTCAGTCACAGTTTTTGAGATAAAAAAAAATTGAAAAATTTCTTTACTTTGAAACTAAAAGAACTGCCTACCAACTTTTTATTAACATATTTTAGTATGGGCGGCTATATGTGCCTCCCGGCGCCCAATTTTTTTTAACCATATATTACTACATATTTTTTTTAATATTTAATAATAAAACGGCATGGAAATTTGGAAAAGTATGAACGGGATTTACCATTTTAGAACAAGCAATTTTTAGCCGACCATACCAACAGGGCTATTAAGATCAGCAAAAAAAAGTTTTTTTAATTTCACTCCAAATGAGTTATTTGGGTCATAAATGACCTAAATACAAAATATTTTCATGGTGTCTGTCTGTCCGTCTGTAACACGATAACTCAAAAACCGCTAAACCGATTTTAACCAAATTTGGCACAAAATACTGTGGCCCCCGAGAATGTGGCCATTATTTTTGGTGGGGTGGGGGGTTGGTAAGGGGGTATGGGAGGGGGTTAAAAATTTAAAAAAATTGTAACTCCAAAATTACAGTAGCTAGCGAAACGCGGTTCTCAATTTAAGAGTAGGAATAATATTTGCAACAAAATTTGTAATGACATCAAATTCAGTCAAAGTCGCAGTTTTTGAGATAAAAAAATGAAAAAATTCCTTTACTTTGAAACTAAAAAAATTGCCTACCAACTTTTTATTAACATATTTTAGTATGGGCGGTACGTGCCTTCCGGCGCCAATTTTTTTTATGGATAATGCTTTTATCGCAAAATATCAATAATAAGAAAGTTTTTCCTAAAGACAATCCGGGAACATACTGTATACCTGGATGAATTGAATTTGCTTTCATTTTATAAAAGAATAGTACTTAAATCTAAATATTAAATTATTTCAAGCATTGGTATTTTTATAGAACCTTATCACCTGAGATGCACACCAATAGTCACAAACATAGCAGATCAATGTCTCCGGGTAGTAGAAGAAGAAGAGCAGATGCTCATCGAAAACATCGGAGAGACAAAGAGAGGATGAGGGAGAAAAAAAGATTATCCAGGTAAATATAGTCCAATTAAATGATATATTTTTCAAACTGTTAATTTATTAGGATTTTATCCTATTTGGTTGCATTATTGATCTTTTTAATATCTTTGCTATTTGCCACGCCAATTAGCAAATGCCTAGTCAAATAACTACCGTATGATCGAAAAATAACGGCGTCCAGTTGGCTGGGAAATGACGATCGCTGACATTTTTCATATAATTTTACATACAAAATGACGGCGATCTTCATTTCATAGCCATCGCTGACGCCGTTTTTATTCGATCATACGGTATTTGCCTATATTAGCTTTATGCCTACAACATAACTATCTTATAACGTCTTCTGTATTTTAGTTCGCTAGTATTAGTTTTTTGTTTTTTATTATTTTAAAGCTTCAATCATTTGTCTATCCAGTTTCAATGGTCATATAGGAATTTACTAAAAACTGTGCAATAATTTCGTCTGTAAATTTTCCTAAAATATAATATTACGGTCAGAACCATGACCCCTGAGCATTTTTTTATTCATGTCAATACATGCTTTGGTTAATTTTTAAGAGCGAAATGAACTGATAACGATCAGTTTGCAATTGTCAGTTATCATTACTTTTTGATGTATTTTTTTAATATGACGGGATGGTTTTGGTGACTATTGTCGTAACGTCATGTTACACTGCATTGGACACTCTATACTAAATTTTAAAAAAAACGTTAAAGACTAACGGTACAGTCCGGGTTTTAATAAACATTAATAACGATAACAGAACTAACGATATTAAAGAAAAGATCTGTAATACTCAAGTATACAAACAGAAAAAAAAAATTGTAAAAAATACCATAATACTGCCCATAAAATACCATAATGTATTGCTGCCCTTGGCTGCTATAACTGCCTGTATACGTCCGTTCATACTGTCATTGAGGCTATATATATCATATTGCGTTGTTTTCCCATTTTTCTTTACAGAATAAGCGAAGTTCAATTAATAAAGCTGGTACAACTTCGCGATCTCTAACCCTCCGCCAAGCACTTGCCGAACGTTGAACATGATAGGCAGTTCATAGTAGTATAGAGTTCACAATAATCACCAAAGCCGCCTTGTCACATTGAAAAATAACTTCAAAAAGAATTAATTAACCCTGTATAATATGCCAAATACTAAAGTTTATAAAAAACTGAGTTTATGAATTAAAGTTGATATAATTATATACAGCTTGCTAAAAAATTCATGAAAATAGTGCTAGACATAACAAAAATATAACACTTTAAATTTGACCAAAAATTTCTCCGTTGCGTTTTTTTGCATCTGAGTGTATTTTGCAATGTGCTTTTTGAATAAAGTTAGTAAAATTAATTAGGAGTCGAAGTCCACTAAATCGACGGCGATCTCCCAGTTATTCTCGAAGCAGACACTACAGCCCATCGCCATCGAGGAGTAGCAGGAGTAAAAGGCACAAATCGCGGAGTCCTAGAAGAGATAAAAGTCCTAGGTCAGTATTAGGATATGACATGTGTTTATAACAGGGCGAGCGACTATTCTGAATAACGCTTTCATCAGAATTTCTACAAAATATATGATTATTAACCGTTTTTGAGAAAAAAAATATTTAAAATTTTTGGCGAAAAAACTGTAACTCGTAAACGATTAAACTCGTAAAAAAACTCGTAAACGATTTATTTTAGGTATTGGGACATGTATAATCAAAAAGTAACGAATTAAAAAACCTTTTCACTAGTGAACTAAAAAAAGTTTCTATTTGAAAAAAACGATTTATGATAATTTTTTAATCTCTCAATTCCATGACAGCTATGGCCAATATTATATGATATTCAAACAATTTAAAAAGATTCTCAAAAACGGTTAATGTTAGGTATAGAATGTTTCATATAAACATTTATAAAATTTTACAGATAATTCAAATATGTAATAAAAAATGGGGGTACCCATTTAAAATAAAAAAGCTGTTGTCAACTTCCGGTATTTCCTTTTATAGTGAAAATATTTTTAATCAATAGATCTCGTTGTGAAATAAAGATGTGCAAAAAATCTCCGATCTAGATATTGTAGTTCTCTAGAAACTTCACTAGAAAGTAATGCACGCTCAGCCTGAGACACCCTGTATATGTGTGATGGTTGAATTAGGGCAGCTTTAGTTTTCTGAATTAGATTAAAATTGGCATAATAAAATGTAATTTAAAAAAGGAGTCCATTAATCCCAAAGAAACCTGGGCCCGTATTCTGTAACTTTGACATAAAAACGTTACGCTTTCAAAGCGGTGGGCGCAAGTATTCGATCAGCGAAACGCAAAGCATTCGATTTTGGTATTCTCGTTGCCATGCGAATCGTGTTCTGGGTACGCGTTGAGCACATATTGGCAACATCACAATTTCTAAGTAGCTAATAGTCAAAAGTTGATAACTGACGGATGTAACAATGAAAAATGTCAATGTTACGTGAATTTCATAACCTATTGTTGAGTTATAGGCCAGTGCAAATAATTTTGAATTTGCAAAAAATTTTAGAAAGCTGCGACCTTTGAAAATAGTTAGCATTAGTAACCCTTATTAACATACTAACAGTCCCCATTTGTCCGGTGTGTGCGTCATCAAAAAAAATCGGCCGCCATCTTGAGTTTTGGTACTTTTTGGGAAAAAATGTTAATAACTCGAAAACCGTGCGTTATAGCGAAAAACTCCAAGATATAAAAATTAAAGAGAATAAAAAACTCTATTAGAATCAATAAAAAATAGTTTATTATCCTAACGCAGTGACGTACAAATTTTTTTTGAAAATCGAGCAATTCTTAAAAGGAATCACCGAAATGCAAATTACTAATTTTTTAAGCTTATTAACAAATAACATGGATATTTAGCATTAATTCAACTAAAATACAATCCTTGTGACATTTTCAAGAAATATTTATTGGTGGTTTAATAATATTTCAAAATTAACAAAAATTGTAAAAGCTATTCTTTACTAAATACATGTGTACTAATATTGTACGAAAGCACCCTCCTCCTTGTCCCGGTCGGGGCTATTTGCACTTAAACCAAGGTCTCTTTGTTACCATTTTGTAAACAACTTGTTTTTAAAAATACATACAGTGACAGTTTGACAAATTAGGCTACAGGTTGGAAGAAAAAAATAAAATGTTAAGTACTTGCGAATGTCTTTTTGACATAAATATCATCTACGATCTTAACACTTTTTCATTATGATAAATACATTATAAACATACCCCTACAAATCGAATAACAATAATTCAAATTATGACCATTTTAATAAAAATGTGTTACCAACTTGTAATCTAACTTTTCAAACTGTCATCTCTAGAAAAGAAAATGAAGTTTACAATTTTATTCGATTTGTTCTTCATCGACCGAGATTTATTTGTTGTCGCAAGAAATACCATTACAGTTACCACACAAGCTTGAACATGGCATATTAGATTTTAAACATGTACATAGTTTATTACATCCAGATTTGCAATTACAGTAAATCATTTTCAATACAAATTCTGGTGCCACTGCGTTTGACGTTGTTTTTGGAACTAAGGTATCTGTTTTTTAGTCCATCCCCATTCTATTGCCTCTTCTCCGTTATTTAGCCAATACTACATTTGTAAATGATATATAATAATGATTTTCAGCTGCGTTAGTTGTTGGAGGTAAGGTAGCTAAATCAAAATTTTTACTAAGTACCTGACTAGATGTAAGGGTTTTATATTTATAATACCTCACCTGATCTAAATCTTTTGCTAGCCTATGTCGACCATATAATAAAAATAAGAATGTATTTCCAGCTTCGACTAGCTCAGATTTTTGTGCTGCAGGATCTAAAAAAATGGATGTAATTTGTCGCAGATGAGGATCTTTTTGCAACATTTTGAAAGTCGCCAGTTTACCTTTTTTAAACAAGCACGAGGTTGTATCACATCCTCATATAGCATGTGCAAATAAGAGTGAATGCTTCATGTCACCAATCTTGTTCTGCATATTACCGATGTCAGTTACTCTGTGAGGTTTGAACCATTTTCCAGGCCGAAGCATAAAAATAGAATTTTTTGTCCGATAATGCAGTAATAAAACTAACAAATCAGTATCTGTAGCCTAATTTTTCAAACTGTCACTGTATTTTTAAAAACAAGTTGTTTACAAAATGGTAACAAAATGACCTTGGTTTAAGTGCAAATAGCCCCGACCGGGACAAGGTGGAGGCTGCTTTCGTACAATATTAGTACACATGTATTTAGTAAAGAATAGCTTTTACAATTTTTGTTAATTTTGAAACATTATTAAACCACCAATAAATATTTCTTGAAAATGTCACAAGGATTGTATTTTAGTTGAATTAATGCTAAATATCCATGTTATTTGTTAATAAGCTTAAAAAATTAGTAATTTGCATTTCGGTGATTCCTTTTAAAAATTGCTCGATTTTCAAAAAAATTTTGTACGTCACTGCGTTAGGATAATAAACTATTTTTTATTGATAGAGTTTTTTATTCTCTTTAATTTTTACCTCTTGAAGTTTTTCGCTATAACGCACCGTTTTCGAGTTATTTACATTTTTTCCCAAAAAGTACAAAAATTGAAGATGGCGGCCGATTTTTTTTGATGACGCACACACCGGAGAAATGGGGACTTTTAGTATTTTAATAAGGGTTACTAATGCTAAGTATTTTCAATAGTCGCAGCTTTCTAAAAAATTTTGCAATTTCAACATGGTAAATGTCATAACTGCACTGGGGTATTATGTCAAGCTATTTTTCTATGGATATATCATTATTCTTATTATACGAAGGAAGTGTTGAAGACTCTTCTCAGCATTTTCGATGTTTTGAACAATATTTATAGGTGCCAAGTCGTAAGTTATCAATTATTTATTGAAGAATTTATAGAAGTAGTAATTTTCACTAAAGAGCAAGATAACGCACAATATCACATTTTTTCTATTTTCACTGACACACAGTGCTTCGAACATATAGCTCTAGAGGACAAAAATGCAAAACTTCTCTTTTATAGTAGGCAATTTATTCAAACTATGTTTATTTGACACAAATGATGAGTACTCTCATTGTACTAAATGATGTTCTAGTCCCACGTTTATGAAAAAAATCTTATAAATAATAAAAACGTTGGAGCTGTTCCTACAATATAAGCCTAATATAAAATAAAAGTGTTTTTCTTTAATGAAAAAGAAACATTAATGTTATATTTAATTAAAAAAAACTTAAGATACTATAAATTTACTTTAGGACAACAAAATGCATAGATCGTAACTACTCTGATTCAGAAGAATCACTGCTGACAGAATCTTCCAAATTTATAGTATCCAAATCACAGGTAGATGAAGTATCCTCACATATAAGATATTTCTGTACATCATTTTCTAATAAGTTAATTTTTCGCGTTATTACTGTTCTTCTTGCTGGTATGAGGGGTTCGGAAATTAATAGTTATCTCTTTAATAGACCGTATCCATATATTATTTTTTCATTTTCTTGGGTATGAGGTTTTATAATAAATTGAAAGTTGGAAAATTTTTATGCGACGTTTCGCTCCAATATAGTGGGTTTTTTCAGGCACAAGTGGTGTCTCATTTGACTGGAAGGTTCATCAATATCTAATAACGAACACATTTTTTGAAATACAAATAATTTTGAGTTCTTGTCCTTATGATCAAGCCAAATATTAACCAGATCGGCATTGCTTATCAATTTTACTCCATCTGAAAAGTATTATAAAATAAAGTTCGTCGCAAGCAGATGCAGGTGAACTATACAAAAATTAAAAGTGTATGAATATGACAACACAAATATTCAATAAATACGATATGTTTTGATATGTTTTTTTTAAATGCCTTTTTGAAGTTTGAAAACGTAAAATTTTTATACCCATTTAAGAATCATCTTAAAAAATAAAAACTAAACAATCACGAACTTGTTTAGAAATAAATTTAAAGTTCATTCCTTGTTTAACAATATCCATAGTGGCTTTCAATTAAGTACGTACCGTTTAACTCCATAATATACAGAACTACTATGAATGTTATTCTTTTCACTGATAAGATAATGATCGCAAAATTTATTTTTAGTGAAAATATTTGCTAACAAAAAACGCTGTTTATGAAAAATAATATACAGGATGGTTGAACATTGCTATAAGTATATAATTACATATTCAGATATTAGTAAATTTTAACTTTCTTTTTCGATTTTTGTCCATGGGACGAAGCACTGTGTGACAGTTCGACAAGCAAAACGATCCTTTAAGGCAACCGTTTTTAAAGCGCTCAGCGCAATCCGTAAAGACGCTAAGCGCGTCAGACGAGAATACCGAAGTCGTTAATTAAGAGCGCGCTCAGCGAAAATTAACGTCATATACGCTGAGCGTCTAAAAGCGCTTAGCGTTTTCAAAGTTACAGAATACGGGCCCTGGTCTATAAATACAAAAGCCAAAGCCTTAGAGTAGACTAGTCATGACTTAGAATCTTATTACTTTGGCTTTTGTATTTAATAAAATGTAAGCTGTCGCTCTGGGTATTTGACATATTCGACATTTAATGTAATAAATGGCTAAAAATGTTTTTATTAGCCAAATTTTTAAAAAGTTGTCGCTTAATTTTACATAGGTATACCAATTTTCAGTCAGCTAAATAAAAAAAATATTTTTTAACTATCTTAAACTGAAGTTGAGTAATTATTAAAGAGAAAACTTATAGAAGAACGATATCATTTCAATATACCGGGTGCGTCTCAAAAGTGGCTTACCACTATAACTTTTTTATTTTTTTAGATAAAAAAATGAGATTTGGTCTGTTAGTATATGACATAAATTAGGATTGATTGACTTATTCAATTGTTTTGTGTCACTTCCTGTTTCACCGGAAATTACTACAACTTTTGATTTTTAAATGGCACCCTCGGTATTTTTTTTTACTTTATTTGATAGAAAATTACATTCTAAATAGAATGACGTATCATATGTCAACTTTTGACATATTTGCTCAAAAACAAATTGTATTTTAAATATCAATCTAGAGTGCCATGGCTGTGTTAAAAACACTAATTTTTAATCAAGGAGCCTTGGAAAAATAGATTTGATCGTCTAATGTTTTTAGTTTCTTGTCCTGACCGGTTAAACGATGCCCAAATCGTATTTTTGATCATATCTCAATTTTTTCAAATGGAACGAGGGTGGCTCATTAGCATATTTCGAAAAAGCATTTTTTTACGAATAATTTAATACCACATACTTGGTATTTCGAGTCAAATTGTCGTTATGAACCGCATGTTACAATTTCAAATAAACCATATGCTAAAATGTCAAAAATTGACATGTGATATGTCATTCTATTCAGAGTGTCATTTTCTATCGAATAAAGTAAAAAATACCGAGGGTGCCATTTAAAAATCAAAAGTTGTAGCTATTTCCGGTGAAACCGGAAGTGGCCGAAAACAATTGAATATGTCAATCAATCCCAATTTATGTCATATACTAACATACCAAATCTCGTTGTCTTATTTGAAAAAAATAAAAAAAGTTATAGGGGTGAGCCACTTTTGACATGCACCCGGTATATATAGGAGTTATTCATATTTTGCACCATTTCAATCAGTTTTTGACATCTAAATTTATGTTTTCTTTCAAAATTATTAATTAATTTAGTGTGATATTATTTTAAAGCAAAAACTAATGCCAAAGTCAAATTTCACCTAAATAAATTAGTAAAAAAATCCAAGTGGTGCAGACTTCATCTGTAACACTGAAAGTAATTTTAAAATGTACTGCACAAGGAATTCTGTGTATAACAGAACATTTTTGGAACAGTGGGTCACCCTGTATAAACAGTATAATGTGTTTGTATTTACTTATGTATAAAAATAATATTACTGGTTTTTAGGCATAGGCATAGAAGCCCTTCGCCCCGCTCTATCAAACCATCACAACTAACGAATAAAATAACAGATACTAGTCTGTTTGCAGAATTAGTTAAAGATCGACATAAGAGAGAGCAAGAACTGAAACGGTTAGAACAAAGCCTGAGATCGGAAAGGGATTATGAAAATGTAAATAAAAAATTGTAATTTTTTAGCCACTTTTAAAATTTACGCTATTTTCTTAGAATAAACAAGAGGTTATAACGATACAGGACGATGTGGATGGTAAAGTTGCCGAGGCACCGTCAAACGCGGCATCAATACCAATGGATATTGATGACATACCTATACCAGATTCGAAACCTGTTGAAGCAACACAGCCTAGTGAACCGCCAATTCCTAACAACAATTTACAGGTAAGTTTCATAAAAAGAAAATAAATACGGTAATCGCAAAACAATTTCCTATGTACGTGATCAACTTTGAGTGACAAGCGATGGCGACAGCGCTGCCAGATTGTGATGGATTTATGGGACGAATCTTAATGTAAAATTAGGAAGTTTCCTATTTTTTCATTTTCACTATACAAATAGTCCCAAAAATTATAAAAGTAACAGTGATTTTTTTTTAATTATCTTCATAAATAAGAAAGTTATGACCTCGCAAAGTTCAGGATTCCTGTTCGTATCGCGGAAATGGCTGTGACGTCACGCGACACCGTACGAAGCGTTCGACCGTGAATGATCGCCCGGGATCGTCGACTTTCATTTCGTCCAGTTTGTATTGTCGTAGTGTTGTGAATATTCGGATGATTTTGATATTCGGATGATACGGAATCGCAATAAAAAAATATTCGGATGAATCATCCGTATTACGTAATACGTATTATGTGGTATTATTCGATTTTTGTTAATATACTGGCCTAGTTACCGGCATCGGATTAATGCACGAGGAAGACGCGGTTCGGCGTCCCTAACCTCTAAAAGGGTATAATTCTAGTTACCAAACGCAAGTGTATTTTTGAGTCATTTTTTACCACCCTTCATAGAGGCTACCTTTTAAACAATGTCATTTTTGAAGGAAGGTACTTGTTACTGTTTTTTTTAGAATAGATTATTTTTTGTTATTATTTTTTAATAACAAATAATTAATAAAATAATTAAATTTTTTAATCAGTAGCTGGGACTGTTTGTAGGAATTAGTATACCGGGTGTTTCTGGGTTGTGGTTCCCCCTTGTAACTTTTTTATTCATAAAAATAAAAAAACAAACTTTGGTACATAGGTATATTGCATAAAGATGGATTGTTTGACATATTCAGTTTTTTGTTATCACTTCTGGTTCAACCGGAAATGGCCTCGACTTTCTTATTTTAAATGGGACACCCGATATATTTCTACTTATTTCGATAGAATATGACATTCTACGTTGCTTTAAAAGTTTTGCGCCACGAATTTCTGCACTATTGTAACATGGATTACTCGTAAACAATCTATAATCATGTCAATATCAACTTTAGGGTACGAACATAATTGAGGCAGGTTTTTGCTTTCCGGCAACCAGCGCCGTCTCTGGGTACCTATTCTTGATCACTGGCATCTTCAAATATCGCTCACATCTCGCATCTCCGAAACAGCCATATAACAATACACGTGATACGTAACTTTGCGTATATGCATCACGTATATTGTTATATGGCTTTTTCGGAGATGCGAGCAGGGTTCGGAAGTAGTTAATTAAGAGGAAATTTACCTGATTAACTAACCTAACCTAACCAAACCATATTCAAACGCCGCACTCGCCGCGCCGGCGCCGCACATAGGGGTATTTGGTCTATAAACCTGGCCAAAAGTGATATTTTTTTATTTTCATTTTTTATCTTAACTGAATACAAATCTATAAGAACTAAATGTAAGCACGTTTATTAGCTTTTTTTAAGTCGTAAGTTGACTATCAAATAAATAATATATTTCAATTATAAGTATGAATTATCTTGAGTGTATTCTGAATATTTCTAAGATTATAAAATAGTGGAATTGTTTCTAGTGCTTTTTTTGCAAATTGTTTATAATAACTGTCATGATGGACACAGAGCCAGCTGGCAAGTCTTGCAAAGCAATGTTTTATGCCATATTTTTATTTTGAAACGTTTCCTTCTATTCTATTTATGTTTTATATTTAAAAAATCAGAGGCATTTTTATAAGGTGTAAGACTATTCGGCAATATTCCGCATGGAAATTAGTATCCGTTCAATGCTTAAAGTCTCCAGCTTTGGAATATTAACAAAAATCTTGCCAATATTTGCCACTGCCAAAAAAAACATTGATTTAAATAGATTCTTAAAGGGAATAGTCTTTACCCTATAACACCCATCCTCGCTCAAATATCGTCTATAATATACAAACTACTTTCTTGTTCTAGCATCCTCATCCAATTGCTTAGTTTTGCACAGAATGGCCCTATTTGATCGGTGGAAAGGGTTTCAGAGCAGAGGAAAAAATATTGTGTAGGAAAAACAAAATGGGGTTCCATATTAGCACCCTCTCCTCTAATAATTAATATTACTAGCAAAAAGCAAAAAAAAATCTTAAAACATAATTTTGGCCAACTTTTAGTTCTTAATACCCTCTGTGCGCCGTCGGCGCGTGCAAAAGCAGAAATAAATAAATGTTCGTTCCGGTAAAAGCGAGAACGCCGATGAACGCTGGTTGACGGCGCCTACCTGCTTTCACTGTGAACTAGCCGATTTGATAACACGCTTTAATTTTTCAAGGTTATAAGCGCGAGGCGGCGCGGCGCTACTATGTACCCATATACAGGGTGTCCCAGAAATACGTGCAAGTATTTTAACTTAACTTCTAGTATAGTTCAACCCCAGAAACACGCCTATGAGGTTTTTTTCTAAATAATTTTTTTTGAAAATTAGGAATTTTTTGAAAATATTTTTGGAACTTATTGCAATTTTTTTAGTTTTTATTTAAAAAAAATAATTTCTTGATAATATGGCAACATAGGTAGTAGATTAAATTTACAAGTTACACGATAGTCTGGCAGCTCACGACCGTTCGCCGAATAAGAAATTGAATATTTCCGCTATTTTTGGAGATATTGAGTTGATTTTTTAAACGGTTTTATTTAGCTCGACCCGTACGGTATTTATTTATTTGTTTGGGTCAAAATTAGAAATTGAAATTTAAGTACCTTCCTGTTGTCAGATTGATCTGAAGTTTGGTTCACACCTTTAGTTCCGATGACAATACAATATAGTAATATCAATAACATTGTAAATCTAAGATGGCCGCCGGTACAAAATGGCGGATTTCATATTTTTCCACAACCCCCTCAATATGGGTATCAAATGAAAGGGCTACACTAGTAGAATACTGTGATTATGACAAAATTTAAAATCCAAGATGGACGTCGTTACAAAATGGCGTATTAGGTGAGGGCATGAATAGTCGTGGCCAGAACAGTTGTGTCCAAGATTGTGTGACGTTAGAAGGACAGATAAAAAAAATAGGTGATGAATTTGTGAAAATGTTGCGGTCCAACATTGACGTTACAAAAGGATTGGTAAATGGTGCTATAGGCCACATTACAGAAATTGTTTGGCCTCAGTTCCGTGGAACCCAAATGTACGAAACAGATGTACCATCAGTTTGGATTGACTTTGGCAGAGACGGCATACACGTTATACACCCGAAAGCCATACAGTTTCCAGCAAAATTCAATTATGGTACGGCTGAAAGAAGGATGTTACCCTTAATTTTGTCATGGGCATCCACCGTCCATAAAATGCAGGGCAGCACAGTCGACCATGCAGTAGTGTATTTGGGCTCAAAATTGTTTGAGGAAGGGCAAGCATACGTGGCTCTAAGTCGAGTCAAGTCTCTGGAAGGGCTATGTATTGAGGAATTAGATTGTAATAAATTATCAGGTAAAAAACCGTGTAATAATGATGCACTAAATGACTTAAATAGAATGAGGAATATTCGGTAGGCATTTCCGTTAAATACTAAAAACTAGAAAATAAAAAATCGGTAGAAAAACATATTTTTAAGTTAAACGGTTTAAGTTATTTTATGTGCACTGAAAACTAGAAAATAATAATAACAATTAGGTATTTTGAACTTCTAGTTCAGAAATATTTTAGTACTAGGCAGAATAGCTTTTAGGCATATTAGACTAAAATAACAACGTGGGGCCCATTAACTATTGCTGTAATACTTTCTTCTATACTAAGTGTGGATTGCATCGACTTACTATAATCGTAACTGGAGATTTTGACAATCAATAACCAGCCGTGGCGGCTTCACCAGCGAACGCCGAGCTCATGATCTACCAAAGTATAAAGATATGCTTCGCCATAGGTAGGATTTCAGAGGGGCCCCACGTTTTTATTTTACTCTAATATGCCTAATAGCTATTCTTCCTAGTACTAAAATATTTCTGAACTAGAAGTTCAAAATACCTAATTGTTATTATTATTTTCTAGTTTTCAGTGCACATAAGATAAAACCGTTTAACTTAAAAGTTTTTTTATCGATTTTTTATATTTTAGTCTAATATTCCTAAAAGCTATTCTGCCTAGTACTAAAATATTTCTGAACTAGAAGTTCAAAAGACCTAATTGTTATTATTATTTTCTAGTTTTCAGTGCACATAAGATAAAACCGTTTAACTTAAAAGTTTTTTTACCGATTTTTTATTTCGACTTTCATCAAGTTAATGAATAGACTACTAAATGACATGGAACTCCACACGATTTTCGACCTAAGGAAACTTCCTAATTGGGAAACAATATATTTATTATATCATTTTTAAAGATTTTTACGTTTTATTAGCCGACTATACCAGGTATGGTAGGCTATTAAGATCGGCAAAAAAAAAAGGTGGGGGTGGGGGGTTGATAAGGGAGTATGGGAGGGAGTTAAAAATTTTAAAAAATTGTAACCCCAAAATTGCAATAGCTAGCGAAACGCGGTTTTCAATTTAAGATTAAGAATAATATTTGCAACAAAATTTGTAATAGCATCAAAATCAGTGAAAGTCGCAGTTTTTGAGATAAAAAAAAATTGGAAAAATTCCTTTACTTTGAAACTGAAAGAACTGGCTACCAACTTTTTATTAACATATTTTAGTATGGGCGGCTATATGTGCCTCCCGGCGCCAATTTTTTTTTAAATTTAATAATTAATATTTTTTAATTAATTGATTTATTTGTCTTATAGCTTTACTTATTACATATTGGCAAAAACTAGTCCATTATGAAGATTATTCTAAGCGTTATTATGGATTATTTATTTATTGATGTACGACTTATAACACCACAAGTGGTAATAACAAGTAAGAGGGTACCATTCAATGCAGAAACTAATATTCACAGATTTTACTAAAAACTAACGTAGAAATAATTTTGAAGTGGTATATTGTACTTACCGATCACACTTACTTCTCTGACTGCAGTCAAGGGTAATAAAACACCTTTATTGTCACGTTCTCGTTCAAAATAGTTTATCAGTGAAGCTACCCCAGTAGCACACCAACATTGGTAAAATAATATATTTACATATTGGCCCAATAAAGAAAAGGCGAGATTTTTTTTTAATGGTAAAATATAGCATTCATATATTTATCCTTTGTTAAATATCAATATTGATCCAATATGGGTATTTAATATTTATCCTATATTTACTATATTTATAGACATAATGTATTTTTTCAATAATGGTCCAACATAATTTACTTATATTTTTCTATTATGTTTTGCAAATCTTGGACCAATATTTATTCTGTACATTGAACCTATGTACATACCACATAATCAAGATTCGGAATAGGAAACTCCCTGGAAACTTTTTATGGTCACTTGATAGTTCGAAAAGTCAAATATCTCTTACAATAATTTGTTCTATAAAGTAAAACGAAGAGCTGCTTGGTATCTTAAATTATACAACAAATTTAAACATTTTTGCCAAAATTTCATTTAGCAGGTTTATAGGCTTTAGTATCAATTTCGACATGACTCATGACGTGCATCGGAAAATGTTTTGCGATTACCGTAAATGCATATTATTGACGCAGTTGAATTAATTATTATTCATTTAAAATCTCATCCAGCTGATAATACATTTATATTAATACCTAATAATATATTTTCAGTCAAATCAAGAAGCAATAACTGTGCCACCGCCTGCATCAGTTATAAATTCTGAGCCAAAAACCAGCCATTATTAATAATACTCCAATAAAAGCAAACGATGTTATTAAACCTAAGCCAAAGAGTGTTACCAATCTGCCTATGCCACCTGGAATGGACCAAACAGAGTAAGTTTATTTCAATATTAACATTAGAACACTCAATTTAATTAGCTTTCACTATTGATGCTCTTAGTAGTCAACTATTGAGGATTTTGTAATAGTTGTTGCCTATTGATAAAACAAAAGAAAACATTAGACCTTGAATTAACGTAACCTTCTAGAACAAAGATAGGGTAGTATTATGTAGAATGTTTAGGAGAGGGGTTAATCACACCGCGACCTTACAGATCTATTGTGTCTTGTTCCCCTTTCTTGAGTTATATCATCATACAGTCTCAGGGCTTTGACAAAAGTCAGTATCTGAGACGGCTCCACAGAGGCCAGCTCTCTATCTTCAACATCAGCCATACTAAAGTTTATGGCATAACAGTTGTTGTCTAGGTGCACTCAGTGATAAGGTGTTCTGGTGTTTGCCCATTTTTCCCACAGAATCTGCATTCGCCGTTGTTTCTCAGCTTCAATTGTCAGTCCTGTTAGAAACCCCGTAAATAAAGGAAAATCTTTGATTTTTCTCGGTCGTAAGTTCTGAGGAACTTTTTCGAGTGTTTTAAACCGTTCCAGGTTCCAGGTTCGGTTCGATATTCCCAGTTTCGGATGAAGTCTTCCAGGTTCTTCAGATCCGCTTTAAGTTGGCTTGGGACGCAAAACAGTTCTGGTCCATTTAGTGGAGTGTTTGTCTCCTTCTCTGGCAAATCGTTTGTTTTTTCATTGCCTTCTATCCTTTGATGAGTGGGCACCCAGAGTAGGAGGACTTTATTTTCTTTGCCTAATTTAATCAGGTATTATTATTATACTTCTCTAGGCATTCTTTGACCAATTTCGAATTAATGGTTTTTAGTGCTGCTTGATTAGCGGATAAGATGGTTATTTCCTGTTTTCGATGGTTCCTATCTAAGATAAATTGTACCCATGTTTCGATAGCGTAGATTCGTGCCTGAAGGTTGCTGGGGTAGGTGCCCATTGGTCCAACATATTTAGTTTTCGGCCTAAATACTCCTATCCATGCTTTGGTTTTGGAAGCATCAGTATACCAAATTATAGCATGGTCTTCACATGCTGAACAAATGTTTTCTCTCCCAATCTTTTTTATTGCTGGATACTACAGTGAGGTGTTTCTCATAGTTGTAAATTCTTGATATGTCATGTGTTCCAAGCCCCTGACCTGAAAATTCTCCCAGTATTGTTTCCCTCAATGACCATTCTAACCGCTGTCGCATTGGCGTAACTACCGACGACAATGTGCAGTGGTTGTAGGTCTAGGATGACCTCCATTGCTGCTGTTTAGACGGCTGGGGAAAGACAATCGATGATAATGTTGACGTGGTCAATCTCTAGATGTCATTTACTAAAAATTGACATAAAACATATCAAAACATTTCCAGACACACACAAATCTATTTCAAAAAAAATATCTTTTCTCAAATTTTAAACTACACTATTTAAAAATCGTTTTTACTCGATATAAAAATAAATTACACAATTCTTAAAACCAACTGGCAGTAAACGCAATTAGAAAATAAAGAGGAGTGAAAGCCAAGTAAATAACATCTAGTGATTGACCTCGCCAAAATTATCATCGATTGTCATTCCCGAGCCGTCTTTGACGCCGTTTTTTTTTCGATCGTATGATATTTTTTTTATCTTTGTGTTAACTGAATTTTAAAACAAAGTAAATATACACGATGGTGTATAGGTGGACGAACTTTAAAAAATTGGTGATCCCAATGATTAATAATCATTTTAACTTGATATTACATCCATGTTAAAGAACCTTTGTTACACCATTCAGTCAACTGGTATTTTTGACAGTAATGATCGATAATATCAAAAATGTATTTATGAAAAAATATTTAGGTTGGAAGCCATAGAATCGCCACCTAGTAGATCCCCAACGCCGCCACCTCCTAAACCAAAAACGCCACCATTGAATACCAGAAAAAGTATAAAGGATTTGCCAATGCCACCAGGTAAGCGATTGAAAATAAACATGTCTACGAAAATTTAATGAATATTGACACTATTTACATATTAAATATTTGTTTTTAGTTATACCGGGAACAGAAGAACTTAGTGGTGATGACGACATACCTACAACGCCTCCTAGGAACAACACTAAAGTTATAGACAAGCCCAAACCTCTAGCGAAACCAAAACTAGTAAAACGGCCGAGAATATTGAAACGTCGTAATTCGAGGAATTTCCAAATGAGTGGCAAAGATTGGGGCGAAAGGTGTGTCGATATGTTCGAGGTAATCGCACAAATTGGAGAAGGTTAGTTCAATATCTATCTATACTAATATCACAGAATATCTAGCTACGCAACAGAAGCCTCGTTACATGTATAAAATTGTAGGTATCAAAAGGAGACAGGCTTTTAAAGACTGTCTCCAAATCAGATATTTTGATGCGGTAGTTTCGCTACTACATTATAGAGGGCGATAAATTTAAAAGAAAACTGTTTTCTACAAACGAAATTTAAAAGAATTTTGTGCAGTGTTGCCATTGTGTAATTCATATTGTAATACTTCCTGATAAAGCCTACCTTCAAATTTGCTATTTAAACATATTAAAATAGATCAGAGCTCTTTTTTTCAAACGTTTAAGTATTTAACTTGCCATGTTAATTGGAGTTAAATCTTACGAGCTGAATTACAATCAGTTCCTGGCGTTTGATTGTAAATTGAATCCTGAATTTTGATTGTAATTCGGCGACAATATAATAAGTATTGTTCTACTATTATGATACTACTTCCTGACGTTCAATTGTGTTCATACTTTATACCGTATGATCGGGAAAAAAACGGCGTCAGCGATGGCTATGAAATGAAAATCGCTGTCATTTTATATGTATGTAAATTTATATGGGAAATAGTATACCATAATATAGTACCATATTAGATACATGGCAGTCGATAGGGCTTAAACTTGGTATACTACGTATCTTCGGTGACATTGTAATTTTATAGTACCATGGAGCATATATAGTGGTACCTTCTATAGTACCATATAATGTTACCACTTCCTGATGTTCGATTGGGCTCATATTTGATATATACTTGCGTATTCTTGATAACATTGCAATATTATGGTACCATGAAGCATATCAAGTGGTACCATAATATAGTACCACACTACATACATGGCGTTCGATTGGGCTTAAACTTGGTATACTACGTATATTCGGTGACATTGTAATATGATGGTAGTATGATGCATATAAAGTGGTACCTTCTATAGTACCATATTATGATACCACTTCCTAACGTTCGATTGAGCTCATATTTGACATATAATTTCGAATTTTTGATGACATTGCAATATTATGATACCATGGACCAATCAAGTGGTACCATAATATAGTACCATATTACGTATGTACATGGCGTTCAATTGGGCTTAAACTTGGTATACTACGTATCTTCGGTGACATTGTAATATTATGGTACCATGGAGCATATAAAGTGGTACCTTCTATAGTACTACATTATGATACCACTTCCTGCCGTTCGATTGGGCTCGTATCTGATATATACTTGCGTAAGTTTGATGACATTGCAATATTATGGTACCATGAAGCATATTAAGAGGTACCATAATGTAGTACCATATTACGTATCTATTTCCTGGCGTTGGATTGGGCTTAAACTTGGTATACTACGGATCTTCGGTGACTGCAATATTATGGTATCTTGAAGCATATCGGGTGGTACCATAATATAGTACAATATTATGATATCATTTCCTGGATTTCGATTGTGTCCAAATTTGGTATACTTGCGTTTCTTTATAAAGATTTGTTTAATTAATATTTTTAATTTATTTTACGAATTTTAATTTATTGTACGATGTCGGTGACAGCAACTTTTATGCCGATTATGATATTACTATTAATTGTACCTGTAATATAAATAACGTGGCAAACAGAAGAAATTTGTTTGGTTTGGTTTGGTACTGTTGTACTGCATTTTAATAAATTATTTTCATTATTATTAAACTTATATTTCATTACTAACGCTCCAGCATTAATAAATATCACTATCTATCGCCCTGTATATTATTAATTTTAAAGGTAATTAAAGGTATTTACTTAGTTAACAATATAAGGTAGTGTATATTAAAAATGTATTTTGTGAGTAGGTATATGTTTTGTAATAATATACTAAAAAATATTTTAAAAGCCAAACGAATAATTAATATAAGCAGATATAAGTGTGTCTGACAAGAAAAGAAGAATAGAAAGAAATTATTATACGCCAGAAAAAGAATGGGATGCCAATTAAAATCTTTTTGAATCTCAAACTATTTAGCTAAGGCAAACTATGCCTTAGCATTCACAACGTCTAAAAAACGCAATTAAAATTAATAGAATATCCTAGCAATAGCTTGCTATATGCAACTATGCATATTTAGCCGAGCTTCAAGGCCGTCGACGTGTCGTCGATCCAAAATAATTCCAAAACTGAAAGTTCAAAATTTCCAATTATATTCTGATTATGATATTGTCGCGCCATCTAGTATTTTATTTGTGCAATTTTAGCTCTTTCATTTCGAGTATTTTTCTGTTGCGTAGCTAGATATTCTGTGCTAATATATAAAATCCTTAAGTGACTCACTGATTAATCACGATCCTGCTCAAACCACTCAACGTAAGAAGCTCAATTTTGGCATACAGGTTGATTCTAGGGTGTAGAGGTTCGATAAGAAGGGATTTTTCGAAATTCCAGCTCCAAGGGGGTGAAACCACCCCTCAAATATTACGATATTTTTTATTTAAAAAACGGTCAAGTTTCCGAAAAAACGCTGAAACACGTATATTTTATTTTGTTTTTTTACATACTTTAAGATTTTTTAAAAATGTATACAGAATGTTTCGAAAAATCTGGTCATTGATTAACCACGATCCTGCTTAAAGCGCTTGACGTAAAAAGCTGATTTTTGGAAAACGGATTGACTTTAGGTTGTAGAGGTTCGATAAGAAGGGATTTTTGAAACTCGAATTTAAGGGGTGAAACCACCCCTCAAATATTAGAATATTTTTATTTAAAAACCGATGAGTTTTCGGAAAAACTCTTAAACCGTATATTTTATTTTGTTGTTTTACATATTTTAAGATTCTTTAAAAATTTATAGAGGGTGTTTCATAAAATATGACTATTGAGTAATCCCAATTCTGCTTAAACTGTTTGACGTTTAAAGCTGATTTTTGGCAAACGGATTGACTGTGGGGTGTTCGAGGTTCGAGAAGGAGGTGTTTCTCGAATCTCAAATTCCAAGAGGGTAAAAACGCCCCTCAAATATTACAAAATTTGTTATTTAAAAAACGGTTAGTCTTTCGGGAAAACGCTTGGACACGCATAATTTACTTTGTTTTTTACATATTTTGAAATTTTTAAAAAAATCATACAGGGTGTTCCAAAAAGTTGGGTAATTGATTAACCACGATTCTGCTTAAACTTTTTGACGTAAAAAGGTTATTTTTGGCAAACGGATTTTTCTAAGGAGGTGAAATGGGGTGAAAATGATTTTATCTTTCATATTGAGTAACTGCCAAAATATAATAATATCGCCATATTGTTTTTTCTCATGCTGACATAAATGTGAGAAAATTTTATCCAGTTTGTATGTTAATGGAAATTCTTGCTTTGCTTTATCATCACCATTACAAATGATTAATTCGACGCGAACGAAGTCGCGGGTATATTATATTATTATGAAATGGCGTTAGCATGTTAAAGATTTAAGGTTAGAGGCAAATCTACCACATTATTATATTATTAAGTTAGAAAACATAAATTGTAGCTAGAGTTTTGACGACATTTATTAGGATTTGTCATCTTAATCATAAAACTTTTTTTATAGTATAGTGATATAATTTCTTATATTCTATTTGTTATCTTTTGTCTTAGGGACATACGGCCAAGTGTATAAAGCTAGGATGTACGCGCCAACGAACTAGTGGCTCTAAAGAAAGTAAGACTGGAAAATGAGAAAGAAGGCTTTCCTATCACAGCAGTTCGGGAGATTAAAATCCTGAGGCAGCTAAATCACAAAAACATAGTTAACCTACGAGAAATCGTCACCGATAAACAAGATGCGGTGGATTTTCGAAAAGTAAGCAAGAAGTATGAAAGTTTAAGGCTGTATTTTACACTGCCGTTAAACGGTAGCTTACTAAAATGCCGTTAATAGGTATGACGTCGTTGATGTGACGCACTTGACGGCTTTATGAAATATAGGAATTTTATAAGGACTAATCAACGCTATCCACCCCTCCAAATAACTAACTTAACCAACGCAACTAACCTCGACAGTGATAAAAAATATAAAAAACATATATAAATTAGTAAAAATCAACCAACCCCACCAAATAACCAACTAACCAATGAATTAACACCCTTCACAAATAACCACGCTAACCGGTTGGTTAGCGTGGTTATTTGCATTGGTTTATATTGCATTGGTTTCACTCTTTTTGGTTGGATTGGTTTAGTTATTTGACGGGTTGTCAAATAACTTGGTTTCACTCTTTTTGGTTGGATTGGTTTAGTTATTTGACGGGTTGTCAAATAACTAAACCAATCCAACCAAAAAGAGTGAAACCAATGCAATAAGATATAAGCAAAAAAAAATATATAAAAAAGTCTTGGTCGGCGTGAGATTTGAACCACGGATCATTCGCTTACGAAGCGATAGCCTCAGCCACTGACCCACAAGTGCTCTTGCAAAATGCTTAAGGTTAGAAATTACTTTCCGCCGGCATGAACGACGTCACAATATCTTTTTAACGGCATTTTAGTAGGCTACCGTTTAACGTCTGTTTAAGTACATCGAAAGTTTAATATAATATCCATGGTAGTGTTGGTTGTAATAGTTGCGTTGAATATAGTCAGAGAAATGATAATACACTACTTGGCTATTTGCTTCATAAAATAGCAGTTCTAACGCTATAAACTCTTCTGTGTTATACAAAATTAGGTTTTTGTGTACAAAAAAAAATTATCGAGATTTGTTAAATAGTATATTTGTGTGGATAAGTATGACAGTTGTGCTTAACCTGTACTACTGAATTTTAATTGGCTAATATCTTAAATTGAAACAGCTGTATTAGCTAAAATTGGGTAAATTGGGAGATTTTAAGGAAACTTGCAAACGTTTTAGAAATCTAAATGAATACATATTTTTCATATCATCTAATATTGTATTAAAAATTCCAATGTTGAAAGGATTTTATCCTCCATGGGTATCCTATGAACTGATTCGAATAACAGACTACTCATAGAAATAGTAAGTAGGTAAATATTTTGGGTAAATACCGGGTGCGTCTCAAAAGTGGCTCACTGGCGTTTGGCTGCAAAAAAATGCCTTTTACCATCTTTTTACTATCGATAGTTGCGCCTCGGTGGTACGAAAGTACTACCATTGACACAGGCCGCTATCTCCCGTTCGGGACTTAATATCTAACCGACACTTTCCGACAAGTCGGAATTAACTATCTTGCTGTGGTTGTCATTTTGTGGATCTTACTTTAAACTCACCTGATGATGGAGTAGGGCTCCAGAAACCGGTAGTGAGAAACAGGTTGATCCACATTATGACTAAACACAGCGTAGGAAATGCGAACTTCTATATCAGCAGTTAAGTGGCAAGAATCCTTATATAATTTTTATTGCTTTTATACCACAGCTTAAGTAAAACCAGCTCGGACGGTGTAGCATGCCGCTGATCATTTTACGCTCCAGTTTGCGATTCGAAAGAGGAGAACTAGAGCAGCGGGCTCTCGCCAACCAATAGCCGCGTAAGCTCAGTTAGCCAAGAGGCGTATTAAAAACATTTTTACACGTGACATAAAAAATTATTCGACTGGTGCTAGGAGCATAATTTAGATACACGTTTTTTAAATTGTTGACTTTAAATAAATATACATTCTCAAAAACATTTAAAAAACAAAGAAACCGAAAAAAAAACAAATACCTCTGGTTAAATTTAAGAAAAAATCGAATTAAAATCTTCCGTAATACGGCCCTACGCGTCACCGGTGGAGGCTATGCATCGACTGAATGAAGCTGACTGTCGCCCGCTTAATTCAGTTAAGCATCGCCGGAGTGGGGCGTTTTAAATTCGAGCGTGGGAAAAATTGGCGAGTGTCCAAGCTATATTATTCTGTAAGCTGTGCCTATACTGCAAGAAATTTGTTTTCTATTTTATAATAATATATATAACCAATAAAAAGATACCTACTAACTTTAAAAAAGACCATTGTAAAAAATACCAATAGATATTTTTTTCAATTTCGTGTTTTTTGTGATTGAATTGATATTTCTCTATATCACATATATTTTGTATTAGAAGAATTGATTTTATGTATAAATGAAGACCAATATAAAAATAGCGCATAAAAATTGTTTTTTACGCCGTTTTTTTGTAAAATAATTTTTCCACAAAATATTTTCAAATGTCCCAAATTTCAAAAAGAGTAACCTGATAACTCTATTTAGGGACCACGTTCGCACATACGAAGCTATCACCAATGATGACAGTGTAAACTAAAAAAACAATAGTATTTCTTTTATCAATCATAGTTATTAAACTAATGAAATCGGCAACAGTTGTAAAATAGAATAAAGATAAAAACGATTTATCTCTAAATTATAGAACTACATTTATTAAAATTCATTCCAAGATTTTGCTGAAGTTCTGTAATATTTTAATTTCTAATTTGTATTACAGGAAATATACAAATACCAGAGGTGTTTACCATGGGAGTTAGTTAGGCGCAGCTTTTCCACTCGGAATTTTACAGTTTTTCTTCAATTAAATATCGCATATAAAAGTAACTTTTGAAGGAGTCTATCTAAATTATTTATTTCTTTTTGTTACAGGAAAAAGGGTCCTTTTACCTTGTGTTTGAATATATGGATCACGACTTAATGGGTCTTCTTGAATCTGGCATGGTTGATTTTAACGAACTGAACAATGCGTGTATAATGAAACAACTGTTGGATGGTTTGAACTATTGCCACAAGAAGAACTTTCTTCATAGGGACATAAAGTGCAGTAATATTTTAATGAATAATAAGTAAGTAAATTATTAAATAATCATTTCTTAAATTTCATTATCGTATACATTAAAATGTGCTTAAATTTAAAACATTGGTTTGAAATATTCATTAACATTTCTAATAATATATCTATTCTTGGTAATTTCTCGAACTGTTGCCAGTGAAACAACACATTTAAAAATTATGATATCAGTAGGCTGGATTTCAACTGGATTGTTGACAAAGAAACCCGTTAGACAAAATGTTATTTTGGTATTTTAAAATTTTCAGTTTTAACTGGCATCGAATTTTGGCCCGCAGTATTACCCACACTTAAGCTTGATATTCATGCATCCGTTGTCCGACAATACGATATTAATTTTATTGGTTGAATTTAAAGACTTCGATCGGTTAGAAAATTACGCAGTTTTTAAATTTATTGCATTTTCATGCCTCCGTTCATCGTACATAGCGATTTCGCTATTTTGCTTATATTCTAAGAGCTACGTTTTCGAGTGAGAATTTTAAGAAATTTGGTTCTTTAATATATCTTTAGCTATGCTCTCCTTAACAAAGTGCAAACCGTCTGGCTGCCGGTAGACGCACTACTGCGCATCACAAATTCGCCCGGTATTTCAGGAACTAAGGAGGCTAGGACAAACATATGTGCAGCTTATTTAGTTTCATAAAAAAGTAGCAAAGTAGTGTGAAAATCGCCTCATTGTATCTACTCATAAACTAGAAATCCCATAAAACACACGAAAATGGGATACCCTGTACAGGTGTCATGTGCAGTAGTCTACCGGCGCGGCAGCCAGACGGCCCACACTTTGGTCAGGAGAGCACAGGAAAAGATATGTACTTAAGAACCAGCTTACTTAAAATTCTCGTTTTCCCGACGGTGCTACCTCTTGTACTATTATATTTGTATTAAGGTTAGATTAAATTTGTCAAAAAAGTGTCAGAACGTCCGTTATCGTACGATCTTTCTCTGTTGACGGCTTTGGTTGACGGCCTAGGTTGACGGGCTGGAGTAAAAAATTTACGGATGAAAAGTGGCGCGAAAACGCTATGACCAATCAGTGCGTCGTCGGACCATCGTATCAACGGATAACGGACGCATGAAAATCAAGCTTTACCCTACATATGCCTGCATTACTTTTGGTTCATATTCGAAACCAGGAATGCTTTTCAAGATATTTATCTTTTAAGGTTTACCAAAAAAAAACATAAAATGTAAGAAAATTTTTCTAGAATTGGCTGTTTTGTTCCACTGGCACTTCAATTTATTTTTTATAGATCTTCTAATGGAGCTAAATTTTACAGTTAATAAAATAATAAAACATATGTTTAAATGTATTTTGATTTTCATTTTTGAACAAAACTTTTCCAAATTAAAACTTAATTTTCAATTTCTCCATGCAAGATTTGTTAGTTTTATTGTTGACCTGTGCTAAAACAGGGGGGAGGTGAAACTAGCGGACTTCGGATTGGCCCGACTGTACAACGCGGACGACACAGAGCGACCCTACACCAACAAAGTGATCACGTTGTGGTACAGGCCGCCAGAGTTGCTATTGGGAGAGGAACGATATGGTCCGGCAATTGACATATGGAGCTGTGGCTGCATCCTAGGGGAACTCTTTCTCAAGAAACCAGTATTTCAAGTAACAATCAATTTACTATAACAATTATAACCAATAATTGATTTTTTTTATTAATCGCATAAGTCTTCTTCAAATCTTATAAGGCTTAAGCTTCATTCAGAACCTCGCAATTAGTGGAATAAATTAGTGGTTTCAATTATACTTTATACTTTTTAGTTTACAATCATTCACAACGTCTAAAAAACGCAATTAAAATTAATAGAATATCCTAGCAATAGCTTGCAATACTCAGTTGTATCCATAGAGAAAGCCTTCGTGATTGACTTTTGATTTCTAACCACAAAGTCTCTTGACGGATGATAATCAAAGGCCAATAGTGGAAATGTGGTATAATTGTAATAGTAAATGAAGTATAATTAGTGGAAAAGTTAAAAGTTTGTTAACTTTTTCTACTAGTTGAAAATGACTACCACTAATTTTAACGTTCTGAATGCTTACATTGGAATTTAAGGAACAAACTTCTACGCTAATTGAAACTTGAAACCACTAGAATGTAGAATAAGTAAGAGAGGGGGTTAAGCACTGCGACCTTAAAGATCTATTGTGCGCCCCTTCCTTGAGTCATCACACAGTCTATAACTCATCATACCCCTGTTGTAGAGGGGACAGGATATTTCCCATCCTCCTCTGACAACAGTTCTTCCTCCGAGGGTACACACCCTTCCATGGTTGGAGTTTGGCTCTCCGTGCCGCCCTTAACAGTCGAAGAGCTTGGCTGAGGAACCCGTAAGCTGGAGGCTGGAGGATCTGTCTCCATTTTCTCCACCTCTTTAACTTGGTCTCTCCTTAGACCTGATACCCGTGTTGTCCCGTATCTATAATAGAGGACATGTCCCTCTTTCTCTATTGCCTCCTTGGATTTGAGGTCAATTCCTATTGTGAGGGCCTGACCATGACCCTCCTCCCTCGAGTTGATGACTCGTCAACTCGATGTCCTTACATTGAAGTTCTGACCCTGGATAAGGCTCAGTAGGTAGATGGTGTCTTTCTCCTTGCTCCTCGGCAGAAAGACCGTGATGGCCTCCCCTTTAGAGATGTTTTCTCCCTTCACTGCAACCAGTTTCGGCCCTTGCCAATTTTTAAGCTTAGGTGCGATTTCCACCAACCAATTCGCCGATTCGTGAGATACACAATCTATGAGGATCATGCCCACCCGAAAGTGTATCCCCGCAAAACGCAGCTGACCAACATTTTGTAGATCGTTGTGTTGCGATCCAATCGTGTCTTCTAGAGACGTTTGCTGGTCGGTGGTCAGAGCAACCTCTGGGAAATCCTTTGGCAGCACCGCCATTTTCACTTGTCCAGCAATAGCGGCAAAGCTGGTGATACGTCCCTGCTTGCCTCCCGGTGTTGGACGGCTTTCCATCCTGGCTTTTTTCTCCCCTGCCGGAGAAGAGGTGAGAGGTTCTCGCTCCCTCTCTTGCCCTTTGATGGAGATGAGTCAGGTTGTTTCTTGGTTTCTTTACTCTCCCCTTTTCGGAGGAGTGTTTTCGCTTTTGTTTCCTCTGGAGCAAGTCCTTCGTGGAGCAGTCGGAGGTATAGTAAACGCCACGAATGTTTGGGAGTGATTCATCGCTTGATGAAGTTAGAATCGACATGCGCGCTATCATTTTTACATTAAAAACGTAAATTTTTACCGCAGACGTAGGTTTTTAAAGGCCCGGTCTAATCATCTGCCTGCGCTCCTCCTACTTATTCTAAAATGTTAGCGTGATTGACAAAGACGATACTATATCGCGTTTTTTTGATTGATTCGTTTTTGTGCGTCAGTCCATTGGTGTGCTTGCAGTGCGATTATTTATAACCAAATATATGTTTTGACAAGACTTTGACAAGTTAAAACAACAAATTACAACAGATTATATATTGATTATTATATGACTTGAAACACCACGGCACTGGAATTAAGTTTTATGTGACCTTGAACAGATTAGTTCACATGGTAGCGACCGATGAATCACTCCCAAACATTCGTGGCGTTTACTATATCTCCGTGCTTCTGCTCCGCTAAGACCTACTCTCAGAGAATCGTCTAGCCCGCCTGGTTGGCCCAGGCCGGGTAGACGACACGGTAACCCACTAATTTCGACGTTCTGAATGAAGCTTTAGGTTATATAACAATTTATGTTTTTTACTGAAATACACAACATATTTTTCCACCATAATACCCTATTCTGTTTAGTATCGTCTGACGAAATTATATATTCTATTTATTTATTTTTTACGAAATTATATATTCTATTTAGTGATGGGAAAAACCGATTAATTTCAATAATCGAGTACTCGAGTATCAAGCGATTGCAATAACCGAGTGATAGTCACACGAAGACGGTCAAAACTTCTCATTTTTTTTTAAAATTCCCACGGATTGCTCAAAATCAATTATAGTTGACGAGGGACAATATTTTTTTTTCTTACATCCGACTAACTAGACATTATACTACCATTTTAACGAAAAGTCATTTGTTTTCCAAAAATAATGCAACTCTATCAACCGTAGCTAATTGGTACATTAAAAGACCTACAACACAAAAACAAAAAAATACACAAATACGTCCCTGCCATTTTCTCTTTGGATCTCGAAATTTCCCACGTATCGGGAAATTTCCCACAAGTTGGCATCACTGATATACTATATAAAGTAGAAAAGTTTAAATGTGAAAAAAATTTCAAATACAATTTCAATTCAACAAAAAAAAAATTAAACTACAACATAAAAGTTAATAAATGTTACAATACAAATTCATAAGACTACAATAATAATTATTAAAATTCACAAAAAAATATTGGTAGATGAAGTATATTCATAATCAAGTAACATTTCTTTTGAAAATAGATTATATTTTTAATAACTAAGTTTATATGCATTGGACATACATCGTCCGTCGTTGATTTTTTGCAGTTTTATTGCTTTATTTAAAAAATGACAGCTCATACTTAAATAGATTGAAGTTGGACGGACGATGCATGTAAACCCGCTCTAATTATATTTATTTACCAAAAGAAAAAAAAAGAAGTATATTGCGAGAGAAAATTTAATTTGAACTATTCTGACTTTGTGACTTTTGACCTATAGCCTGTTCAAGAAGAAATATATGCGACTGACATATCCAAAAAATTGACAAAAAAGTCTATTTTTGAAATAAAATTACCAATATTATTCAGCTCTATTTAAAGCACACTATTAGTTCTTTGATTTTTTATATTAAATGTAGCAATTTACTCTAGTTTCAATATGTTATTATTATTAATTTAGGCAAACACAGAAATGGACCAATTGGACCGAATATCGAAGATATGTGGCACTCCTACCCCAGCTGTTTGGCCTAATGTAGTTAACTTACCATTATTTCGTACATTAAAGCCAACTAAGATTTACCGAAGAAAATTAAGAGAAGTCTTCGTTTTTATGCCAACCTCTGCTTTGGACCTTTTAGACAGGATGTTAGATTTGGACCCTGTCAGACGTATTACGGCTGAAGATGCTTTGAAGGGACCTTGGTTGAGAAATATCAACTTTGATCAGTAAGTATATTTTTTATTTTGTATAACATTGTTACATACTCAAATGAGTTGCTCTGTAGAAAGTCTCGTGTAATAAAATTGTGATTTGCGATATTATTTAGAGATTGAAGAGCCACAAGCAGCTATAAGTTTTAAAGCTTGATTTTCATGCATCCGTTGTCCGACGATACGATGATACGATATTAATTTTATTGGTTGAATTTAAAGTCTTCGATTTGGACCAATCGAAGCCGGTTAACCGTTTCTAACCAATCGAAGTGTTTAAATTCAACCAATAAAATTAATATCGTATCAACGTGTCGTCGGATAACGGATGCATGAAAATTAAGCTTAAGTAACAATAGTTATTAGTCTACTAAACTCGCAGTAGTTGCAAAAAATTATTTAATTAAAAAATAACAGAATTCTGCTGCTCAACGATTTTTACTCTGTAGCCAGATGTCTAAATACAACGAATATTTATCATCATATTATTAATGAATATTGTAGAAGAACTAACTATGTATTTTTATAAGCTTTTATTTAACTTGCTTTGTACGTATGTATATTTGTTCGGGGCAAATCTTGTAAGCTAAATTAGAACCACTTCCTTTCATTGTAGGAAATTGAAATTTGATCTGGTTTTCCCCGTGTAGTCTTCAAATGATCTAAAAATTCAGCAGGAATGACCCATTATGCAGCAAACACACTAATGTTGAATCATTGGAAGCTTTTTTGTGGGCATTTCACAAATAAAATCAAATGTCTGATCAAAAACTGAAAATGCAAAACAGTTAGTAAACTTTATAAATACATACATATATATTTATATAAATAATCATACCTAGATCTATTTATGTCGTACAATGCAACCAATATTTTAATATCCTAACCCAAGTAAATAATCAAAAATGCACTTTTTATATCAAAAGCAGTAATGTTACAGGGTTCCAATTAATATAAAGAATTTAAAAAAAAACACGATTCTAATTTTTATTATTTTTCTAAATACGTATTGTCTGATAGGCAATTACAAAATATAAATTTGATGTAAATAGAAAAATATGATGTAAAAACAGGTAAAAACTCTTCGGTAAAAAAGGGTAAAACCATCGTAAAACCATATACAAACAAGTGCAAACAACAACAAAAACTCTAACCAAAGATTTAACCGTCATACGACAAAAGCATCACGTGATTGCACAATACCCAACGATAGGGCACGTACCTTTTACATCTGATTGGACGGTTGGTTGCGTATTTTAATGTCTTCTGGCAGAGTTAGCCTGCCGTGTGATATATATGCCGTGGAAAAGACCTTCATAAAAACTACATTAAAAAATATGGCTCGTGTTGATAACTCCACCGTGAAGCATCGCTGACCAGTCAACCACAAAACAAGGGGAAGAGGACTCTTATAGGGCGGTTAAGCCGCTTGATATTTATTTAGAACATTGGAACAATTAAGAGATGTTCTAATAAAAATTTCAATTTTTATTTGAATTTGATTGTTAATGTCCTGAGGAAGGAATAAATAAATTCCGAAAGCTTGACAATTAACAAAGTGTATTAATTCTTTGTCAAACCCTTCCGACTGCAACCCCACTAGATCCTAGATTTTCTATATTAGTATAGATATATATTACACAATTTTATATTATATAAAACCTTGTCGCGAGATTTCTCTACCTCATCGATAAACAAGTAAATTAACTAAAACCTGTGTCTACCCTGTCTCATTTTCAAAGTTTGTGTTATGATAGACCACTAGACCAGGAATTACAAGATAAAGTTGTCGTACCATATACCACATTTTTATGAGTGCAACTGTACACTCATTTCCCGTTAAAAGTTTTAAAGAAAAAGTTTATTTTTTTTCTGTCTGTTAATCGGTCATTTATATTATTCTCTGTCAAACGCATTAAAATCCAGACCACATAAATTGGATGATCAGCAGGATTTATGGAAATATAACCAGCTTTCTTATTTTATTTTATTTGGCTGTATGAACCCGCCATTAATCATTCGCATTACAAATTGTTATTTTATTACAGAATTCAAGCACCCGAATTACCGACATGGCAGGATTGCCACGAGTTATGGAGCAAGAAGCAGAAACGTAAGCGACAACAAGAGGCGATACAAAATTTGCCCCCTGGAAAGCCGGCGCTACTGACCCGAGGCGATAAGTTAACCGGCAAACCTGAAGAGAACGAAGGGGGGTGAGTGATGTTTCATTTTAGAAGGCAGTGTCTTGTTCCTATGATGCACATATTGCTGATAATAGTAGACGATGCCCACGTGCATTCTAATAGTTGTGATGTAATTATTACTGGCTTAGGAAACAGATATTTTTCAAAAAAAAGGCTCCAAACGGAATTCGTGTAATTTACTGATTAATCGGAAACAATTTAACGTGGCTTATACGGAACTTGTGGTGCTTTTCCTAGTATGGTTGCCTGTTCCCTTTTTTTGTAAAATAGCTGTTTTAAGCTTGATTTTCATTCGTCCGTTATCCGTTGATACGATGGTCCGATATTAATTTTATTGCTTGACTTTAGAAACGGTTAACCAATCGAAGTCTTTAAATTCAACCAATAAAATTAATATCGTATCGTCGGACAACGGATGCATGAAAATCAAGCTTTAGTTGACGAACTAGACTTTAAAGTGTGATATTTTGGGACGTTTAAATACGCGACTAGATTTCTATTGATAATGGAAAAATTCGAGTTAAGTACTTCCTTCAGTATGAACGGGGAAATAATTTCTAATAAGTCTGCATGTTCTCTAAATTTCCTAGTTATTCAGATTATTTCCCTGTTGTCTGTAAAGATTAAATCAAATTTTAACTTTATTTTAATAACTTAAATATGTAGATATAGCAATCGAAGTGGAAAAGGTACTGTTGTATTCTTTTATTTTATTATTTTATCACAATTTTTTTCTTTTTTGATTTTGTATATTTTATATTTAGTTATTACATTATGGAAGTAATGATACAATATCTTTTCTTTTTTTTCCTGTAGCATTGTTTTTTGTTATGTAAATTTATTTATTTAAAAGGATTAAGATTAAGACTAATTATTAATGCCGTTTTAAAATTTTTGTTGACAACGGTCGCAACAATAATATTGTATAAATAAATCACTAATGGGTGCTAAAATATGTCTAAAATATAATCCTGTTAAATGTGATTAAAATGAATGTATTTATTAATTTATATAATTTATAAATAAATGATCTTAGGGCATATTTGCTACATAATTTTTCCTTAACAATTCATGCAGTCACTACTTGTACATTTTGTAATAAATAATCTGGTACCTATACCACATATAATAACAGTTTAGAGCTGTAAATATCTGTATGTTATAGATTATTTAGCTAATAAATTGTTTATTTAAATTTGTATTTTTTATTCTATTAGTTTTACTGGAATAAATGGGATTATTTATTATTTTTTGGTATTTTTATTTTTTTATGTTGCAACAACTAATCAAAAAGTACGTTATTGCAGTAATAATTATTAAAAGTATGCTATTGTATAATAATAAAGTTTAATATAGTAACTTACTTTTTGAATGTACCTTCATGTCGCATGATTGGAACCTTTTTCATTAGATGCTAGAATAATTTGCTCTTTTGATATAAACGTCTTGAAATTGATCTAAATTTAATATTATAGTTCTGTAGTACATACTTTGTCTTCCCTAATTGTTTTGACTGGGTAGTTCTTCTATAGAAATTTATTGAATTTATACATTTTCATGGGCTTATAGTACAGGATTATCCAGCATTACGAAAAAGCTCTATATCAGGTTTCTGGTATGAGATTTTTAGTCCAATGCAGGCAAAGGTATTACACATTTTAAAAATATTTTTGTCAGTATACGAGCCCTAACAACTAAATGTTCGGACAAACAAAAATTTGTTAAAAACCTTTATTTTCATTAACTGAATTATTTACATTTAAGAAATACATTAAAAATATATTAAAATCTAACATTTATAATGAGTATTTAAATAGTTTAGTTTCTATAAACATTAAAATAAACTGTAGGCCAGTAAATAAACAAAAATATTGCACAATATCGTGACAACTAAATGTTCGGACACTTTAAAAAATAACTGTTCTAATATGGCGCTACATCAACATGAACTTTTGCAACCACTGCATGTCTGTTTGGCATTGTTTTTATTAATGATTGGCATACGCCAGAGTAAAAATTTTGCCATAATTCACTTAATATAGTAGTTTTAGCCATATGGCATGCCCCGCCATCCTGTTGAAATATAAAATTCATATCCTGGTAAAGGTCTGTCGCACTTGGCACAAAACTGTTTTTCAAAATTTCTTGATATTTTGACACATTAGTTGTGCCTTTCTACCGCCTCATACCTTCCTAGACCCATTGCGGACATAAACTCGAAAAGCATAATGTCTTTAGGAAATGCCACTGTCCATCTTTCATAAAGATCATGCATGCGTGCAGATGTAATCCTTGAACTTGCAATTTGCGATTAGAATTATCAGCGTCGGATTGGAACTTCTGATGTCACAAACTACAAAAATGACATTAAGGTAAAATATTTAATTATTTCCCAATCCGACGCTAATAATTCCAATCGCAAATGGCAAGTGCACGAATTACATGTGCACATGAGCCACCTTAATATCGATATAATTAACACCGCTAGAGTGTCTATTTGATAAAAATTGCCTCAAAAGGACAGTGAAATTTCCTAAAGGCATTATGATTTGAAGGAGTATGTCCAAAATAGGCCCAGAAAAGTATGAGGTGGTAGAGGGCATAATTGATGCGTCAAAAAATCAAAAAATTTTGAAAAAATATTCTTGTGTCGAGTGGGAAGAACAAAGGTCCTTGTAACCAATTTTTCTGGTAAAGATCAGGACAATAATTTTATATTTCAACAGGATAGCGGGGCATGCCATACAGCTCAAACTACTAAAACTGGTTTAGGAACATGAACATCAAGGTCCCCTCATGGCCTTCGCACAGTCCGGACCTTAATGTTATCGAGACATGTGGCATAAAACAAAATAAAAATTGTGCCACGATCCTCAAGAAACCGTTGCCCATTTGACGATGATATTAAGTGAATTATGGCAAAATTTTTACTCTGGCGTATGTCAATCATTAATAAAAACCATGCCAAACAGGCTTGCAGTGGTTGCAAAAGTTCATGCCGATGTAACGCAATATTAGAACAGTTATTTTTTAAAGTGTCCGAACATTTAGTTGTCACGATATTGTGCAATCTTTTTGTTTATTTATTGGCCCACGATTTATTTTAATGTTTATAGAAACTCAACTATTTAAATAATCATTAGAAATGTGAGATTTTAATATATTTTTAAATGTAAATAATTCAGTTAATGAAAATAAAAAATTTTAATAAATTTTTGTTTGTCCGAATATTTAGTTGTTAGGGCTCGTACAATGAGGGTAAACATATTTTCAAACTAACGTATACATGGTGTTTCAAAAAACATGTGCCATCTCTCATGGGGAGATTCCTCACGTAAAAATAAGATTTATTTTTCATATCAACATAGGTCCGATTCTGCTTTGTTTCGTAGCTACAGGGAATTATTTATGGTCTTAATAATTTTTGGATTTATTATAATTTTCTTCCAAGTATTTTTAGCGATTCGAATGAAATTTTGAGGGTAAAAGTTACTATAAGTGCTACCTATTTTAATGCTAAAAAAGTGTGGATAAATTCATCAGCGACGTGCATATAGGTTATCACTGGAATTTTTTATAAAAACATGTGCCGCTGACTTTTTTCTTTTGATGTCAAAATTGTCTAAGCCGTTTGATGCCAATTAAGTTATTTCTTAAGATATTTTGTCAAATTCGACCTTGACGCAATTTTATTAATCACAATTAATAAAATAAAAATAAAATTAATAAATTATATATTTTACCTAATTTATTATTAAATATTATTACTATTAGTTACTAGCAGTCCAACATACATCAATTTCAAATAAAAAAATAATGGTATTTAAGATAAATACAAAACACCTAATTTTAAAAAGTTTTAACATCCTGTAACACTAAAACTATGCATTTCCATACCCATGTTTATAGTAACTTTTTTTCAATTTTTTTTGGAATCACTGAGTACTTATTGAAAACTTTCGCAAGTTAATGGTATTAAAATTTTTTAAAGGTTGCTATTAGACTTGAATCAAGGCAAATTAATAAAATTGGGAGATAATCTCATCAGAGAGGCCGAAATCAACAAAATATCAAGAGAACTTTTAATCAGCATTAAACTGCGTACACTATTTCGCTAACAAGAGAAAAAAAATCAGTGGCGTACATGCTTTTTTGGAAAAATATTCCAGTGATATCCCATGTGCACGTCCCTGATGAATATGTCAAAAGTTTTTTAGTTTTAAAATATGTCGCATTTATGTCGCTTTTACTCTCAAAATTTCATTCGAAACGCTAAAAGTATTTGAAAAAAAAAATTTAATTTTGACTCACGTCATGTGCTACTGCGTCAAGACTACACATTTTAGTAGCCTAAATTATGAATATCACTATTATACGGTACTTAAGTAAGAGTATGCAAAATATTGGATTTTATATTTATAGAATTTTGACAGTTTTAAATAAGCAGAAAGAGGAATACTCCAGCTACGAAAAAGAAGAAGAAGAGCAGAATGGTTTCAGAGGAGGAAGATCATCGAGAAGAAATCTGTAATGAACCAGGAAGTTCATATAACATTCATCGATCTACAAAAAGCATGATACAGTGCCAATAATAAAATTATGGGAAGTATTGCACGAATCAAGAATTAACGCAGCTCTGATAAAAGCTGTACAAAATCTTTACCATGGAGGAAAGTCGCAAATAAAAACGGTCAACGGTCTCTCAGAGGAAACTGCTATCACTAAAGGGCTCCGACAGGGTTGCTGTATATCCCCAACACTATTTAAAATTTATATTGCCAAGGCCTTACATCTATGGAAAAGAAAGTGTAACAGAATGGGTATAGAACTAAATGACATATGCTTATACACCTTGCAATTTGCAGACGACCAGGCCATAATTGCAAACGACAAAGATGACATGGAATATATGCGGAAAATAATTTGAAGTCATTCCGCAGTGCGGAAAATAATTGAAGAATATGCTAAATGGAGTCTCACAGTAAATACAGAAAAAACAAAATACCTTCCAATTGGAGCCAATACAGAAAATCTTATTTTGGACAATAATATGGAAATTAGGGATGTAAAGATATCGAACCCAGGTACCTGTAACCTGGGTTCGATATTTACAGGAGATGGAACGGACGAGAGAGAAATAATCAACAGAGTAATACAGGCACGAAGAGTTATCAGATGCATAAATGGCATTCTATGGAGCACTGAAATTACAAAAAACAGGAAATATAATATATACGAGACACTAGTTAAAAGCATATTACTCTATGGATGTGAAACATGGCGACTCACTAAAAGGAATAAAAGGAAATTAGAGACAACAGAAATGGACTCGATTAGAAGAGCAATGAGAATTTCACGGAGGGATAAGATCAGAAATGAAGACATTAGGCAACAGATGGGAATAGAGGGAACAATAGTAAGTGATATAGAACAAAAACAATTAATATGGTACGGCCACGTTCAGAGAATGCACAATGAAAGAATTCCAAAACAAGTCATTCATTGGATACCACCTGGTAAACGAAAGAGAGGACGTCCCTAGAAAACATGGATGGAAGGAATAAGAAGGTCGATGAGTGAGAAAAATCTGACCGAAAATCAATGGGAAAATCGCACAGGGTGGAAGTTAGGCATCGGAGAACGTCGTAGGACGTTCTAACCCGAATTTATAGATATATTAAATAAGCAGATACTTTAGTTTAAAAAAGCTCATTTGAAAAACCACTCAGTGTAAAATATGACATGGTATTTATGGAATCGTAATTTAATGACGAATTGTCTGAGATAAAAATTATAGCAAAATATATTGCTGTATTGAGAAAATATGTTGTAATGACCCAGTATATTCACAAAAATGTTTTTATAAAATATTGGTGTATGAATTTTAAAAATCTGTTATGATGCTCATTTCAAAATTTGAAATTTGGTTCTTTAGAGAGTTTACAGCGTTAAATGTAGTTATAAAAAATAAGCGCCTAAATCAGTGTAAAGATTGACAATAAAGCCTCTCCATACAAAGAAATTTAGAGTAAATCAATAGGACATGGTTTTATCTCGATCATTTGAGAGAGGTCTTAAGAATGTCATTTAATATTTGCATAAGCCAGAAATAGGATCAGCGGACGCTGTAATTTTTATCTGGTAATACCAACATCTTATTTAAGCAATAGTTCATATACCGATTTGGTCATCGAAACTGTGCAGTCTGGATTTTAACGTGTAAGACAGTGATGTATACAGCTCAATGGAAAATCAAATGTATTAAAAAGAGATCAAAATTGGTTCGATACATATCTTTTATGCGGTATTGCCGGATTTTGCATTAAAATTTCAAACCGCACAAGTAGGCGTTTACGAAAAATCTATCTAGGGTTGGAATTTTATTTTTCACTCTTAGTTACTCATTTTACTACAGTTGTAATAGATTATATTTATCTTAGATATAATATTATCTTCATTTCCGTAGTATACATGAAAGTTTTTAAAATAGCTTATATTTTTCTACATACATTTTCCTACAAACGTAAAAAACCCGGCAACACTGTATGCCGCTTTTGATTTTGTCTCTCTGTCTGTCAACCGGTCATTTATATTATTCTTCGTCACACGCATTAAAATCCAGACCACATAGTTTGCCTGATATAGTATTTTCCAAATCCAAATACTACAGAATATATCCTTTCTTTTTGTAATCAATTTCAAAATTATATGCAACAAAAATTTGTAAATTAATTTATTAGACTGATTTGTGTCTTCATACAAATTCTGACTGATTCATTTACAATACAGGGTGATTCACGGCCATGGTACGTTAGACGTTTATGGAGAACTGGTGATTTTTTTGAAAATTTGGATTTTTGCATAAAGATACCTGCTCCATCTGTCTATATTATTTTCGGCGTTACAGTGTTGTCGCTTCATATTAAAAGTGGTAGCACCTTTGTTATATTAAATGGGACATCCAGTATATTATTACATTTTTTGGAAACTACTTTTCAGACCTCCATAATTTTTCTATTATACTAAACTATACCTATCTAACTGTTTCCGAGATAAAAAATAAATCGTGTGTAAAATTGATAAAAACATTATCTTGAATGAGCGTTGGTTTGTGGGTTAAGTAAAGTCGACAAATTCGATGTCTAAATCAGCCCATTGGATATTAAACAGAGATTAAAAAAATATTAAATCAAGCAATAAAATTCTCAAATGGTCGATAATGACATGTATAATGATATAAACCATTCCTGATTGTTTTTGTAACAATTTTAAAATTGTTACAAATATACAGAGTATAATCCAAAAGATTTATGATAGGGGCCTAACAATTTTATTTTGTTAAGTTGCAAGGGCTAAACAAATAAATTTTTATATAACTTGTGTAAGAATTGTTTATCATCCAAAGTCCTATTGAGAAAGACTTTGTAAAATTTGTTTAAATTAACCATATAGCATTGAGAGTCTTGACTATATACTTAACTTAAAACTTTGGAACAGTACTCTGTCTAAACTTACTGGTTTAGATAGAGTAGTATAGACTTGCCAACTTTCAAAATATAAAATAGAGGACGTGAGGAGGAAAGGTTATTAAACCTTATACGGTTGATGGTCTTTCTTACTTTCTTAAAAATATTTGTACTCACAATTTGGTTATAAGACAAACGATTTTCTACAAAACTTTTTATTTCAAAAGGATTAGCAGGTAAGTACACATAAGAAGCTCTCTTATGTGTACTTATGAGAGATGTTTATCGCATCTACAAATATTTTTGTACATAAACACTTCGTTTCTGTACGAACGAGTAGGAGTAGCGAAAGACACATTGTTGCCAAATTAATATAATTTTATTAAATATTGTGGCGATAGACGAGTATTTTTTAGATTTCGGGTTTGGTGAGTAAAAACGAGGACCTTTTCAATCCGTGAAAGAAAAGGAAACAGTACGAGCAAAAAGGGGACTGCCCTCTGGAATAGAGGACAGTTGGCAGGTCTAGAGTAGTTTAATCACATAATTACTATGTTATCTGTGGTTTGGTATTAACTATGTTTTCTGTGGTATAATGATAAATCTCCGTGTCCATGAAACCTTTAGAAAACTATTTACTGGGTGCGTCTCAAAAGTGGCTCACCCCTATAACTTTTATTTCTTCAGATAAAAAACGAGATTTGATATGTCAACATATGATATAAATTAGGATTGATTGACGTATTCAATTGTTTTTGGTCGCTTCCTGTTTCACCGGAAATGACTACAACTTTTGATTTTTAAATGGCACCCTCGGAATTTTTTTAGTTTATTCGAAAGGAAATCACATTCTGAATAGAATGACATATCATATGTCAACTTTTGACATTATCTCTTAATAAAAAATCGTATTTTAAAATTCAATCTAGAGTCCCATGGCTATGTTAAAAACGCTAATTCTTAGTCAAGGAGCCTTGGAAAACTAGATTTGATCGTATAATGTTTTTGTGACTTGTCCTGGCCAGTTAGAAAATGCCCTAAAAATCGTATTTTTAAGCATATCTCAGTTTTTTCACATGGAACGAGGGTGGCGCATTAGCATATTTGGAAAAAGCATTTTTTTACGAATAATTTGATACCACACACGGTATTTCGAGTCAAATTTTCGTTATGAACCGCAAGTATTATAATTTCAAATAAACCATACGCGAAAATGTCAAAAGTTGACATATGATATGTCATTCTATTCAGAGTGTTATTTTCTTGCGAATAAAGTAAAAAAATACCGAGGGTGCCATTTAAAAATCAAAAGTTATAGTCATTTCCAGTGAAACAGGAAGTGACCGAAAGCAATTGAATTCGTCAATCAATCCTAATTTATGTCATATACCAAATCTCATTTTTTAAGCTAAAAAATTAAAATAGTTATAGGGGTGAACCACTTTTGATACGCACCCGGTATATATTAATGTTATAGATTTTTTAAGGATACCTGTATAATTTTTTCTATTTTGTGAACTACCCTTTCAAAACCAGTTTTTACTCATTTATGTATCTATTAGAAACAAAGTTAGGCTCTTATTAATATTTAAAATCTATTAGAAATATTTCGTTTCTATGTATGTAGTTGCATCTAACCTAAATTTAAATTGAGGTATCGAAACCAATACTGGAGATCTCTTTCAGCTCGTCTAAAGTTTTAAAAATGGAAGCTTACGATGCAGCGGTTCTATCCTATGCCCTAGCTACAGCAGCAATTAAAAGTCGTCCTGGACAAGGATTACTAGGTAAGTCATTAACCTCAAAGCAAAATTTATACCGAGCCATTCGCGCTATTTGGCGTGAAGTATTGTAACTAAATGATTAGATTTTAGTCATTAAAATATTGGGGAGTCGCTTTTTATTCAAAGAGGAGCCGTTAATAGTATATTACATGCCGAGGAGAGAAGTGTTTCTGTCGAGAGATTAACTAAATCTTGAGACAATAATGAAAACTTTCCTCCGAGGTTTGTATACTATTTTATTTACAACCACATCATTAATTAAAACATAGGGACAATATTTTATTTTGAAAAAAAAATTAATATGCGAAAATTTGTCGTTTTGTGTTTTGGCATTTCCATATCTATAATTACCTACCGGCATGGTTACCGGTACCAGTGGTTGTTATGGCGCAAACCTTCAACAACAAAACAAACAACTAAGTGACAGTTTTGAATTTCTCGTTCGCTTTTTCCTATGGCTTTTTCGAATTTATATAACTTAGAAAGCCAGAATGTCGTCGGAGAGTTCTAATAATGAAGACTACTTTAATACTGGTACTCCACCAGAATTTACAGAAACTGCAAAAAGAGCAGAAGCCAGTTTACTTCCAGAGAAAAGTAGGGGGCGATATGAAATAGCATTGAAAGTATACGAAAAATGGTGTGCCGAAAAAAATGCTAAGAATATTGTTTCGGAGACAGTCTTGATGGCATATTTTAGCGACATGGCAAGGCAAAAAAGTCATCTACTCTTTGGACTACGTACAGCATGATACGGACAATGCTAGAATTAAGGGAAAAACTGACATATCAAAATATCACAAACTCGTCGCTTTTTTAAACCGCCAGAATGTAGGTTTTAAGCCAAAGAAGTCTAGCATTTTTACCAGGCAAAACTTGGAGGATTTTCTCACGAAAGCACCTCAAGAATTCCTTCCTAGTAAAGTAAGGTTTTTTAAATGTTTTCTTTTTCTGTTTTTAAATATTTATTTTCATTGTTTTAGGTTGCGCTTATAGTAGGTGTGTCTGGGGCATGTCGAAGTGATGAGCTACTGAAGATGAAAACTACGCATATTGATATTTTAGAAAACAAAATTTGCATAGAAATTCCCGATACAAAAACTTATAAGAGCAGATAATTTATGATAACTAACACAAGTTGGATAGAAATTGTGAAAGAATTTATACAGTTACGAAAAGATATTCGTGTTATATCTACATATATAAAATGCTAATGTTTATCTGTGTCGTCTCTACTGAAGTAACGACTTGCTCTAGAAAGTTGCTTTTTTTACTAAAAGATAGCTAATTCGCTCTTCTAAAAACTGTCGTCGCCGGATTTTTTGTTTTTCATTTAACTAAAAAGAATAAAAAGTATCTTTTCTTCCTGATGTCGTGGCGAATGCGCCAGGCTTCAACTAGTTATATATAATAGGAAAAGCTCGAAATCAACCCTTTGGATACAATTCTATATCTAAATTTCCGTACAAAATTGCTAGCTTTATGAAACTTCCCAATGCAAAAACCTACACAGGTCATGCTTTTAGACGAACAGCGGCTACGTTGCTGGTAAATAGCGGAGCTGATATTTTACAGCTGAAGCGTCTAGGGGGATGGAAATCCAATACTGTGGCTGAGGGTTATGTGGATGCATCTGTAGCCAACCAAATGAAACCGCAAATATGATACCTTCAACGACATCGTTGCCATCGTCTTCATGTAGCAATTCAAACTCTTTATCTTCTTTTGTTGACATTAGAAGACCTGGCACAAGTCAGGAGTTAAGTTTTTGCGGCAGTTAAACCTCAATGAGTGAAACACATAATCAGGGCGGCCCACAGTGTTTTGTCTAATGTACAAAAATAAAAAAAATTACGTATCAATGTTGATAATATTCTTATTTATTATATTTTTATTTTATTTATTATTCTTATAACTTATTGAGTCATCAGAAGGAAATGCAACGTAAAACTTCAGCAACAGAATATTTTAGTTATAAGTAGGCTGTAAAAACAAGTGATATTCGGATCAGATTCTGATCGCCATATCAGCTCTGTCATTTCTGTATTTTGACGTTGTTTTGTGACAGGTAAATTTGTGAATATAATCGTGTAAATAATGGATAATATTATCCAAGGTATATACTTTATGGTTTTAATATTTTCATATGAAAATTATGTTCTATACATATATATATTTATGTATCTAGAATTTTGCTTGTTAAAATGCGAAAACAATATATATTTTTACATTTCATTTCGGCTTTTCAAAAATACCCCCAAAAACCCCCTCAGGATTTTAGGCTGATAATAATCTCTAAACTATGTAGTTTTCGAAACCGCAATACAAATTTGCCCCAACTTGCCCCAAACCTTTTTTCTTAATTTTTTTTAGGAAGGGAGATTCATGTAAAAAATCGGTCTTATTTGAGGAATGGTCTGTGTTGCCGAAAAATTGTGAAGCCTTTTAATACCCAATGGTTAAGACACGAATTTAAACAAACTCATTCAGCAGACAAGTAAATATTTTTGTTTAAAAATGGCCGCAAAGTGGAAGGAAAGCAACTCGCTCGCGTTTTGTGCAAAATAATAAAACTTGGCTGAACACCAGGATAATGTTACCTAATGTTAGCCGAAATGATATTAATATGTGATACCTAATAATTAATACTGATTATTGTGATTATTAATGATATTGTTCATGTGATTGATACTGGTGAGGGAACAGATTTATCCCTGCCTCTTGATTTGTCTAATTTAGTGGAAAATGAATCAGAAAGTGAAGATTCCGACTAATTGGTTATTTCTACATTTTTGTTATATTGATCTCTGTTATAAACATATTTCAGTGTTAAGTATACAAAAATATAGATAGATATTAAGTCGATTTCAGTTCAGTAAAGAAAAAAGTAAGAAAACACTATTTATTAAACATTAATATAATCAATTAGCAGGAGCAGAATCCTTCGACTAATTTGTTATTTCTACATTTTTTATATTGATCTCTGTTATGAACCTATTTAGTGTTAAGTATACATAGATGTAATATATTAAGTTGATTTCAGTTCAGTGAATAAAAAGTAAGAAACCACTATTTATAAAACATTAATACAATCAATTATGGCGCGGGCAGAATTCTTTTATTAATTGACTCATAAAAAACTTCATTAATTATGAGTTAAATTTTGCTAATAATATTGTATTTTTTAAATATGAATTATGTGTATAGATACCCTTGAATATGATTGACAAATATAGAGTAATAGTATTATTATACCGGCTGTATAGCAAAATAAATTATTTTTGTCCCCTAGTCCCTATATCATAAAACACTGTGCGGCCCCTTAACAATATCGATTAACGCGTACAATAAGTCAAATTTGACCATTAATTTCAACAAATAAATGTATTAAAATCTTCAATTATTATTGTTAATCTTTTTGCTTATTTTTGTGGATGTTAGATAAGTATTTAATAAAGATATTACAAGAATATTTTGCTTAATTAAATGAGGCGAGAAATAAGAAAAACCGAGTGAGGGAAATGTAGATAATTTGACACTTTCAATTTTTTAAAAGTCAGTAATGTCAGTATTACATATGTGGTTGTAAATAAAAAATTATTTTACCTGGTAACCCTAGTAGTTAGTAGACTTCTCATCATTGTCAATGTCTAAAAATCTGATCATTTAGTTTTCATCCCATTATTGTTACTCCTTTTGCCATATCAGATGGTGATATAAAATTTTCAAACTCACGTTTCTTTTTTTTAAATTTTGTAAGTGCTTTTTGGTTTTGGAACTTTAAAAGGACTTATAAAAATTTAAAAGAAGAAACGTCAGTTTGAAAATTTGATATCACCATCTTATAGAGCTAAAGAAGTAGCAATAATGAGATGTAAAAAATTTATTTTGTTATATCTATTCAAATTAGTGTGTGACCGAAGCTGCTTTTTGAGGCCGAAACCGAAACCGAATTTCGGCTAATATCGTAGTTCTATTTAAAATAAAGAAGTAACTTGCTTTTAAAAGTGACCATTGTTCAATATTAATTTTCTCTCACCCTGTACAACTTTTCGGGTAAAATTTTAATTTGGTTTAACAATACAATACTAAATATCAAGCTATACAATTTAGGTAGCTGTTATTGAAATTTGAAATGTATTCTTCATTTTCACAAAATGTAAAATATGTCAAAATCCTTACACTTTAGGCACGGCACATGAAACAATCGGTACGCCAAATTTGACCTTGACGGAGCCATTATCGTTTCCTAGTCAGGGCCGGATTAAAACGTATCAAAAAGTTTCTCAGAAAATACGACAGGGTCGTATTAAAAAAAAATACTGTAATTGACTGAAACTGAATTTTATTTACACAATACTTTTGTCCAAACAAATGAATCCTCAACCGCGCATACTTCTCGACAAGTAAAAATGAAAAAATCAATTAAATATTTCACTGTAGAGAATAGACAATTAAAATTAAAAAACATGCAACGAACAAAAACATGCCAGGAGTTACAAACAAGAATTAAAGAAATACCAATAAAATATTTATTGAACAATATAAAGAGGCTACGTACAAATTATGCCCATCAATGGCGTAGCAAATTTTATTAATATTCAAATTTCACAAATTAATAAATCCACAATTTTTTTTGAGAAACTTCTATTTTTTTTCATGGCAGGAAACAAAGTAGTACCGCATTGTATTTTATACGGTTACAAAGTGAATTGGTAAACATTTTAAATTCAAAATGAACAGAACGCAACTTGTACCTTTTGTGGGCCTTATTTATATATTCAAAATGTATTGTTAACTTATTTTAGATATACTCATTTTATTTACTTTTATAATTATAATTAAATTAATAGTATAATGATTTTTAAATTTAGTTTTTAATGTCTAGATACAACATTAAATTTTACTAAATATTTAACATTAAATCTTACTAATATTAAAGTTTGTTAAAATTTTTAATTAGATCTTCCTATTTAGCTGAATGTCCTAATATGTATACTACTGTTTTTTTTTCACAACTAAAATATGTTAAAATAATTAATCACATATATACAAACCTAATAGGATCTCTAGGAAACAGAAAGAAACTTTTCTTGAACAACAAAAATAAAACTACTAAAACAAATTATATTACATTATAATAATACTAGCTCCCGTATATAGCGTTTGACGCCTTGGGAGTAGCAAGGTACAGCTTCCCATACTAGAGCCGTTCGGTATACAAAGGAAGGTAATGTGGCTAGCACTACGCTTCAACCGCCTATTGTTTCTCGAAATTTCGCGTTACCTCAGGATTGTGAATCCCAAGTACTCATTTAAGGCTGAGTCGACCTAGGTACCCAAACTATTTTTATTTTAATAAAAATTGTCGGCTGATGAAATGCCGGGTGTGGGATTCGAACCCACTACCTTGAGATTGGTAGACGAGAGCCTGTACCTCTACGCCACCGGGCACCTTTTAGCAATTATAATACATAAGAAACGAAAATAAAACTAGAAAACCCAAATATATCACACAAACAAAATAAAACAACAAAAACAAAATATATCACTCAAGAAAAAATCAAAATAAATTAAGTCGCACTACTGACCCGAATCTGCCGTAACTGTGTGTTGTCGCTGAAAAAACTACGACACTGGTTACTTTCTGTTGATGGAAACGCAAATGGCGGCGTGCGCGAGGATATGCGCGTAGCGTTCCCGCCAAAGCGAGTCGGCCTGCCGTGTGATTTATATGCCGTGCTTTAGGCATATACTTCTTTAATGGAACTCACCTTTATTATTTTCCTAGAATCCCAAAATCAATTAATATATAGGGTGTTTCTTTACAAAAAACCCAACTTTGATACGTAACTTTTTTTGGAGACACCCTGTAGAATTCAAGAAGATGCTTTCAATTAACCTACCTATTTTAATTCCTAAAATTTCATTTCGATATAAACTACCATTCTCCTTGGAGCCCCCGAGTCGTATGAGGGGCGCCATCCTGTATATTGTGTTTTTCAATTTTGATCCAACTCTGGGTTTTGGATCAATAGTTATTATTGTAGTTATTTTTAATTGCCCACTATCTGTCAAAATTCCGTTAGTTTTACTGGATGTCTCCTAACTTAGTTAGTTCAACATACATAGAATAAGATCGATTATGATTTACTACAGTGTCACTAAAATATCACGGCATTATGCAGACATAGACTAAAGTTATCAACCTGGGAGTAATTAAGTAAACTTCTTTAGATATAATAAGTGTAAATAAAGAAAATGAAGAAGGCAAATTCTACAGGGTCCGGCAATATTGCGTCGGGCATCTGTAGCTCCTAGAATAAAAAACCTAAGAATTTTGTTTAGCAAATCTAAAGTATGTTCTAGGATGTATTCCAGGAAAATATTTTAACTTCTATAGGGTGGCTCAAAAAAGTGTGATTGGATCGGGATATTTTTTTTTAAATGGAACACCCTGTATATTATTTCATTTTTGGCTTCCTTTCAGATCACTTTACATAATCGATAATAATTACGATATGATATATATATATATATATATATATATATATATATATATATATATATATATATATATATATATATATATATATATATATATATATATATATATATATATATATATATTTCAATAGTTTCAGAGATAATAAATAAATAAATATATATTTTTCAGCCTTTCTTAAAAAAATATTAAAAATACGAGAACTGTTCTGAAATCAAAACTATATTAGATGTTTACTTTAGATGGTCTGTACTTACTTTGCTATAAATATGGTAATCGAAATATCATATAGGATGTTCAAAATTTTACGCCAAACTTTCTAAAATATAAAATAATTTTTCTTCGTTTTTTTAAACGGAACACCCTGTATATTATTTTTTTCAATAGATGGAGAATTAAAAAATTTACATTTTTTTGTATTTAGAGTATTTCAAAAATTTTAACGGTTTCGCAGATATTCGCGGTTTTATAAAGCTACCCTATGATTTTTCTCTCGTATTTTACCGTTGAGCCAGCCATATGAAATAATACTGCGTGTATCTGTGAACCCATTAAAATTTTTGAAATACTTTAAATATAAAAAATGTTCATTTTTAATTCTCCATCTAATAAAAAAATAATATAAGGGTGTTCCATTTAAAAAAACAAAGAAAAATTATTTTGTATTTTAGAAAGTTTGGCGTAGAATTTTGAACATCCTGTAATGATATAAGATTACCATATTTATACCAAAGTTAAGTATAGACCATCTAAAGTAAATACCTAATATAGTTTTGTTTTCAGGATAGTTCTTGTATTTGTAATATATTTTTTTAATGAAGCTTGAAAGATATATTTTTTTTTATTTATTCATTAATATCTCTGAAACTATCTAAATATATTTATTCATATCTTAGGATTATGTAAAGTGATCTGAAAGGAAGCCAAAAATGCAATAATATACAGGGTGTTCCATTTAAAAAAAATCATCCCGATCCACTCACACTTTTTTGAGCCACCCTGTAGAAGTTACAATATTTTCCTGAAATACATCTTGGTACATACTTTAGGTTTACACTTAAACAAAATTCTCAAGTTTTTTATTCTAGGAGCTACAGATGCCCGGCGCACTATTTACACTTATACTTTATCACCATTTTTTATTTTTTATAAATCATGATTTGTCTGAGCATTTTAATGTTGCATATTTTCTCATATTTTTATACTAGGTATTGCCCCAGGATTACCGTCAATACCGAGTCCTAAAGAAACAGAAGAAGTCGATTCTAGAAGCTATTTGTATCAATTGTTATACAATATGGAGCAAATGATTATTAATAAAACTGCGGTGCCTTTGTCACTTCTTATGGAAGTTTGTAGTATGAAGCAATCTGAAGTCTTAGAGAAGGTTAGTAATAGCAAAGGTAATAGTTTACTTAAGTTTAATGTAATCAAGTCTAGTATATGATTAGCATATACAATGAATGTATATTATACATACATCAAGTTACGTCGAACAACTGAGAAACCGATAAAAAATTTGAAACCCTTTAATTACACAAAATGTTTATTTCTTTACTTCACCATTTTTACAAAATTATGAAAATAATAAATTCTATATATTTAAAACCTAAAAAACTAAAAAAAATAATACATTATATACAGGGTGTTTCAAAAAAGATGTGCCATCTCTCGTTGGGAGATTCCTCACGTAAAAATAAGATTTATTTTTCATATCCACATAGATCCTATTCTGCTTTGTTTCGTAGCTACAGGGTGTTAAAGTCTTAATATCTTTTGATTTATTATAATTTTCTTCCAAGTACTTTTAATGATTCAAATGAAATTGTGTGGGTAAAAGTTACTATAATTGCTACATATTTTAATACTAAAAAAGTGTCGATAAATTCATTAGGGACGTGCATATGGGTTATCACTGGAATATTTTTCAAAAAAAAACATGTGCGCCACTGATTTTTTTCTTTTGATATCAAAATTGTGTAGTTCGTTTAAAGCCAATTAAAGATTAGCTCTTGATATTTTGTCGAATTCGGCCTCCTTGATGAGATAAACGGAATTTTATTCATCACAATAATAAAATTAAAATAAAAAAAATTAATAAATTATATATTTTACCTAATTTTTTATTAAATATTATTACCATTAGTTATGATTACTATTAGTCCAACCTACAGCAATTTCATATAAAAAATAATGGTATTTAAGATAATTACAAAAACACTAATTTAAAAAAATTTTAACATCCTGTAACTCCAAAATTATGCATTTCCAAACCCATGTATATGGGAACTTTTTTTCATATTTTTGGATGAGGAATCAATGAGTATTTATTTAAAACTTTCGTGAGTTAATGATATCAAAATTGTTTGAAAGGTTGCTATTAAACTTATTGGATCAAGACACAAATTAATATAATTGCGTTTATCTCATCAAGGAGGCCGTAATCGACAAAATATCGAGAGACAACTTTTAATCGGCATTAAAGTGTTTACACTATTTCGCCAACAATAGAAAAAAACTTAGTGGCTACATGCTTTTTTTAGAAAAATATTCTAGTGAAAACCCATATGCACGTCCCTGGTGAATATGTCGACACTTTTTTAGCTTTAAAATATGTCGTATTAACGTTTACCCTCAAAATTTAATTCGAAACACTAAAAGTACTTGGAACAAAATTAAAATAAATCGAAAGGTTATTAAGACTTTAACACCCTGTAGCTACGAAACGAAGCAGAATCGGACCTATATTGATATGAAAAATAAATCTTATTTTTACTTGAGGAATCTCCCCACGAGAGACGGCACATGTTTTTTGAAACACCTTGGATAATCTATAAACTAAAAGAGAAAATATAGTAATAAGTTTTACAATTATTACTTATTTACATTACACCTATCTACATACCACCCAAAACAGACCTCAATTTTGCCCTGAATGAAGCCAGGGATACATTGAAATAATCTAGACCAGGATAACAATTATTAACTAGTAAAACTATTCTGTTATATGTCATATTCTGAAACTGGCGGGAATTGAAGTCATTGCAGGCGAGCAGTAGTGATCTTCTAATGTTCCTAGGTGGAACATGAAATCTAACCCAAGCTAAGACATCAGGTGAACTTATCAACCTATTTATTATTCTAAAGAAAAAACAAATCTAAGAATTTCCTGCGAGCCTGCAACAAATTCAATCCCAAAGTACACACTGGGCCCAGTCGTAGACCCCTTTGCGCCACTGTAAAATTTAAATATTTAATAAATCTTCTCTTGGGAAGATTCTAACCGCTTAATATAGATTTCGTAATGCGGGCCCCAAATAATGGATCCATACTCCAAAATACACACAACCAAACTTATATGGAACCATCTATTATTTTTCATAATTTTTGAGACGTATGAAAATTTTGTGGTTATGAATAAAACTTAGTCCTTACCAATGACTTTTAATGAAATATAATCCATATAGCCAGAGAATAGCATATAGCAATAAAAAAATTAATCAGTTCCCAAAATAAACATAATGGAATTTTTTTCGTTTCTGGAACGAAATTAAGATTTAAATTTTTAATAACCAAAAAGCAAAAAGAAAAAGAAAATTGATAATTTTAATTATCCTTGTTGCCACTAGCCTTTATACAAGCTTCTATTCGCGCTTGCACGCTTCTTATTAAATTATCAACATTGTCTTTTTTGGGGTATGTTTTCCCATTCTGCTAATGCTGCATCAATAAGCTATGCGAGATTTCCTGGATTGTTTCGACTAGCTCTAACCCTTTTTTTGAGCTGGTCCTACAGGTGTTCGATAGGGTTTAGATCTGGTGAACATACAGGCCAGTCCAAAACTATGACACCTTCCGTTTCAAGACATTCTCTAGTCACTCTGCTGGTATGGGAAAGTGCACTATCATGCATCAAGTTAAAATTCACAGCACTAAATCAACATACCCCCGTCCCGTTAAAGTTTGTTGAAGTGGTAACAGTGGAGTTTTTACTCCCAGCATAATACCTCCCCAGAATATTACAGTTCCTCCTTTATGATATAGTATAGTATAGATTTGGAGTCTCGCTCGTATTCCTAGAGCTCTGAGCACCTGAATTCGATGGTCATCGGATCTTAGGCCAATTCTGGTCTCATCCGAAAAAAGAACATTTTGCCAATTTTCAGTTGTCCAGTTTTGATGTTGAAGGCGTCAATTTAGCCGGTCAATTTTATTTTGCTCTCTCCTGCTGTAAAACCTCGAGCACGAAGACTTTTTCTTATGGTTTCAACTGAAACAATCACACCTGTAGCTGCCAGAAGTTGTCTTTGTAACTCTGTATGAGAAACATTGGGATTTCTTCTAGCAATTTGAAATTTGACACACAAGGCGGTCTTGTTGTTCAGTTGTGACTCTTTGACGACTTTGTCTGGGCCTGTTCTTGTGTGTTCCTAATTCCAATTACCTTGCATCACTCTTTGGGGCATTCCTTCTCCAGTGAGAGCAATCATTCTTCCCCTCTGTACATCTCTTAATCCAATATAAGGCATTTTCTTTTATTTTTTTGGGTCGAATGAAAATTACCGGACAATCGTGATTTTACTAATGAACACAAAATTCAAAAGAAAATAAATCGCAGCAGTCGTTTATTCTTTATTATCATGTTTATTTACAACAGACAGCCTTATCTTAAAGTTGTATACCAATTTTTTTCCTTGCAAGAAATTTAGTCAGAAATAAAGAGTGATTCCATATTGTAAGTTTGGTTGTGTGTAGGTCTAACATATGAAACATGCATACATATTATACACTTTATATCATTAAAATCATCACACGTACGAATCAGTAAACCCAACATTCGATTTGCTCTGCCAATCATATTATCACAATGAAAATTACCGGACGAAGTAAAACGAAGAGCTTCGTCCAGATAAACTCCCAGATCCTTGACGGTCCCGACCATCCAGATCTCAATTTCTCCAATGCGATAGTTGCCTCTGTAACCACCCTTTTGCGACCAAATATGATATAAGAACATTTACCTATATTCAATCTTTGATTGTTTTTTGCGCACCATTGATGTAATAGATTAAGATCATTCTGTAACAACTTGCAGTCCAAAGGAGACTTGATCGCTCTATAGATCTTTAGGTCATCTGCGAAAAGGAGATAATTAGATGCAAGATATTTGCCAGTATCACCTGACGTCACCTGGAATTCTTTTGACAAAAAAACATTCGCCCTTACCCGCAAAGTTCTGCCCTTTAGGTAACTCTTAAACCAAGACAGAAGAGTTCCAGATATACCAAACAACCCCAACTTATTCAACAAGATATCTTGATCAACAAGATCAAAGGCCTTGCTAAAATCCGTATACAGGGTGCTACAAATTCGAGGTACGAGCATTGGTATCTCGGTAACCGTAATAGATACGAACATGGTTAAATTGGGACAAAGTTGCGTATTGGGATGTTCACCAAGATGCCATCAAAAAAGTTTTAAAAATTTCAAAGATTGCTGAGTTTTTTGGAAAAAATTGATTTTTTTGAAAATCAATTTTATTTTTTCCAGTCGTTACTTTTTCGAAAATCAAAAAACTAATTGCACATTCTCATAGCCACTTTATTAGGGCTATCTGATAGTATTTTTAGATTTTCAAATTAGCTGATAATTTTTGAGATACAGACTCCAACTTATTTTTTTTAAATACGGACCTGCATTTTTTATTTCAGGTTTTGAAAGAACTCGGTCTCCTGTATACAATGATATGCCACACTTTATACTTTTTTTGTTTTGGATACTTTAACAGCAACACAACTATTTAATTATTATTTAAAATAATTTGAAGTCCGACTCTGGTTTCTTAAATTATTTAATCTGATTATATTCATAGCTACAATATTGATCAGCGCTAATTAACATTGAATAAGAAAAATCGAGCCAATTGGAAGATTCAAATAAATAATATCCAGGTCAGAAATTTAAAGATATTATTTTTAACTTTTTTATTGTGAATTTGAAATCTCAGTATGTGATCTAATAATATGCATAATATTAATCATAGTTATTATAAATAAATCAACTTTTACTTACTAGTTTCTAATGTTCTACTTGTTCGAAAGGGTTACCACCGTCCTTATTGCACAAATTTATTTTTCGCTCAATTTTACTTATACCTCTTTGAACTTTCTTCTTATACTTCCGCATGCATTTTGTACTCTTTATTATAAACGTTGAGATGAATTGAGTTCACTTTTACAAATGACGTCAAATAATTTGGCCCCTTGGCGATAGGTCCAGGAATCTCGCTGGACATTATACTGCTCTACCATTTCCAATCCATCTTCCGGGAAAATGATTTGATTGTTTATATTATATTATATTTATATTAATTATTTTATATTATTTTATGGCATTTGATTTTCCGTATTTAATGTTTTACTCCACGTCATTGTTAAGTTTGAAAGCTTATCTCAATATTGTAACGATGAATAGATTAAATATTTAAAAAAAACAGAGCCGGACTTGAAATTAGATTAAATGAATTGTGTTCAAATGTCAAAACAAAAAAAAATATTAAGTGTGGCACATCATTGTACTCAGGAGAGCGAGTTCATTCAAAATCTGAAATAACAAATGCAGGTCCGTATTTAAAAAAATTAAGTTTGCCTCTGTATCTCAAAAATTATAAGCTAATTTGAAATTCTAAAATATTATCAGATAGCCCTAATAAAGTGGCTATGAGAATGTGCATTTAGTTTTTTGATTTTCTAAAAAGTAACGACAGGAAAAAATAAAATTGATTTTCAAAAAAGTCAGTTTTTTCCAAAAAACTTAGCAATCCTTGAAATTTTTAAAACTTTTTGATGGCATCTTGGTGAACATCCCAAACCGCAACTTTACCCCCATTTAACCATGTTCGTATATACGGTTACCGAGATGCCAATGCTCGTACCTCGAATTTGTAGCACCCTGTAGACATAGTGCCCTTTACAACTCTTATCCATTGCCTTACCTATTCAGGGTGCAATTCGAGGTACGAGCATTGGTATCTCGGAAACCGTAATAGATACGAAGATGGTTAAATTGGGGCCAAGTTGCCTCCTTGGCATGTTCACCAAGACGCCATCAAAAAAGTTTTAAAAATTTCAAGGATTGATGAGTTTTTTGGAAAAAACTGATTTTTTTGAAAATCAATTTTATTATTTCCTGTCGTTAGTTTTTAGAAAATCAAAAAACTAATTGCGCATTCTCATGGCCACTTTATTAGGACTATCCTGGTATTTTTAGATTTTCAAATTAGCTGATAATATGTGAGATACAGAGGCCAACTTATTTTTTTTTCAATACGGACCTGATTTTTTTATTTCAGGTTTTGAAAGAACTCGGTTTCCTGAGTACAATGATATGCCACACTTGATACTTTTTTTTTGTTTTGGGTACCTTAATAATAACAAAACTATTTAACTGTTATTTAAAATAATTTGAAATCCGACTCTGTTTTTTTAAATTTGAATATGATTATATTCAGCACAACAATATTGATCAGGGCTAATTAACATTCAATAAGGAAAATCACGCCAATTGAAAGATTCAAATAATTAATATCCAGGTCAGCAATTTAAAGATATCTATTATTTATAACTTTTTTTATTGTGAATTTGAAATTGTCATTTAGTTGAGATATAAACAAAAGTTCTAACTAATGAACTTGAACTGTTTTAATTATTCATATTATTGACAATATGGCATTAGTTAGGTACTTTGAGATTGTTATTGGGGAGTTTTACAGGGCATTTTGAAACAACGATCTACGAAATTTACAGAAGTTCATCTGATAATCTTGCTTTATTACAGGTCATATCGTGGCCTTCCACACAAAGTGTCGTAAATAACCCACAATTTATTTTGACTAACAATACCCACAACAAATTGTAACAGCAAAGGCTCATATGATGCTGTAGCAGACAAAATAAATGGCATATCTAACAAAAGTGAATTTTTAAATCGCACTAAAAGTCGCTTTTTGTCGCTCTATGTAGAATTTTCAAAATGTCAGTTACGATACTTTGTGTGGAATATAATATACAGGGTGGCCCATCGAAAACGTTCCGCAAGGCATAACGGCCAGAGTAATTTTTTTTCAGAAAATTCAAAAACACGTCAATTTTGTTTGTGAGGAGGACAACTTTTGCCCTAAAAATGATTGCAAAATCTTCAACACTCTAAGCGGGGGTGTCATCCCCCAACTTTTTTCAAATGGGAAGGGGGGTCAAGTGGCGCCGCAAGGAAAAGAGCTTTCTATTCTCTATATTTCCCCGTTTCGTTTTTGAAAATCGGTCAAGTAATTGAGAAAATATGAAGGATTGAAATTTGAAAAGTTTATTTAAACATTTATGAGAGTAAATGATAAGGATAAATTCCTTCGACCAATTTGCTATTTTTTCTTATTATTTCTAGATGTTAACGCATTTTTTCAATTGCCACAAGGTTGAACGATCAGGTGCGGTAGTTGCTCTTTTCAATATTGTTAAAATTTTTAACAATAATTATGGTGTACTCACTTGCAGAAAAAGTGGAAATAATAGAACTTTATTTTAAAAATAATGAATTTATCGGGTTGTGTACGTATTCAATGAACGCTATCTTGACAAACACCTTTATTTCGCCTTTATGGCAAAATTGTTCGCAAGTTAGTAACAAAATTTCGCAAAACTGGTTCCGTTATGAATAAAAAGAGGCAGAGGGAAAATACTGTAGTAAATGAAGCTATGGAGGTATTTTGTATTGAGCCAAGTTGCCATGGATAGTACGCTGAGTACAAGAAAATTAGCCAATGAGACCGGCGTGAATCGTACAAGTGTCCAAAGGATATTAAAAAAACACAAGTTCCACCCGTACAAAATTCAGTTGGTACAAGAACTCAACGAAGTCTATTTTGATCGACGTTTGCAATTTTGTGAAATGATGAGTGAACGAGTGGCGAATGATAATAATTTCCTATTTAATGTGTGTTTTTCGGATGAGTGTACTTTCTTTTTGAACGGTGTAGTTAATCGGCACAACTGTCGGTACTGGGCTGAGGACAACCGCAGGGTTTTTCACGAGGAGCACACACAAAACCCTCAGAAATTGAACGTTTGGGCTGATATTTTTGGAAACTCTATTGTAGGTCAGTTTAACGATATTGAGAAGAACTTCAACGCACAAGTCACAGAACAGCCATCTAGCATCTACCGCACCTGATCGTTCAACCTTGTGGCAAGTGAAAAAATGCGTAAACATTTAGAAATAATAAGAAAAAACAGCAAATTTGTCGAAGGAATTTATCCTTATCATTTACTCTGATAAATGTTAAAATAAACTTTTCAAATTTCAATCCTTCATATTTTCTCAATGACTCGACCGATTTTCAAAAACGAAGTGGGGAAATCTAGAGAATAGAAAGCTCTTTTTATTGCGGTGCCACTTGACCCCCCTTCCCATTTAAAAAAAGTTGGGGGATGACACCCCCGCTTAGAGGGTTAAATATTTTGCAATCATTTTTGGGGCAAAAGTTGTCCCCCTCACAAACAAAATTTACGTGTTTTTGGATTTTTTGAAAAAAAAATACCCTGGCCGTTATGCCTTGCGGAACGTTTTCGATGGGCCACCCTGTAGATGCCCGACACACTGTTTTGTTTTACATGTTAACAAATTTGTTTTAGATGTTAACAAATCTTTTCGATCTCTATAGAAAAAAATATATATATGTATTTTTCATAACCATAAAAAAGTAAGAATCTTCTTTTTTAGGGTGAATCTCAAATAATCATCACACTGGAATCTTTACTAGCAGAACTACGATCAATATGTAAAGCAAATCCTGGTGCAATTCATTTGCTTACTTTAAGTTTTGAAGGTGAGTGTATTTATAATACTAAGGGCTGGCAAAGGTTAGTCTTGGGTAGAGATTTCCGTATGTAAGAAGAGTACAATGGCGTTTATAATGTACTGAACAAAGAGAGAACAGTAAACACGTTGCCAAACGCACGAAATAAACCGAGAAACTGCGCACATTGCTAAGAGACGGGGAAGGGGATATAGCAGATTTGTCACAGTCCACCGATCGACCCAATCAGTACCTCTATCAGTACTTAAAGTTCTAGGGAAAGGTGTATATCGTGCGTTCAGCTTCACGATTTAATTACGTCTCGGGATACTTTGTTTATTTATTAACGAGTCGTAATTTTCCCCAGAGCTTGAAAATTTTTAAGTGCAAGTTAGAAACACTTGCATTTTTGGTAAAAATAAGTGGAATTGACTTGGTGTTCGACAGTGGTCGCGCTATTAGAACTCTGAATTCAAAATGAACCGATATCTCAAAATATATTAAAAAATAATCGATTGTAGTTTTATTAAAAAACTTCTTTCTCAACATTTCTGCTATATTTTCTTCGCAGACAGTATGTGAAAATATTTATAAATAAAAAAGTTACATGATTGCTGAAAATTGCTATGTACTAAAAGTAAATGGATGGATTGTTAAAAATTTTTGAATGGAAAAAACAACCTTATCGAATTTTTCTTATTTAAACATATTGTAAAAGATCCGATCTTCAAAATAAAAAAAAGTTTCAATATCTAAAGTGGTTCTTGAGTTACGGCGTGTTATGTGTTAAAAAGTTGAGTTTTTAAATTATCGCGATATCTGACGTTTTGTCGTTTTATTTTTTATTTATAAAAAAATGGACACCCTAACGATATCCTTATAATTCCATTTCAGATGCTCAGAAACATATCTAACTTTTTTAACTACATATCTGACTTTATTTAGTTATCTGTTCGAAAAAAATGTCGTTTAAAAATAAGCGGTTTGAGATTTTACTTTACCTGATAGGGAAAGGCGTATCGGCAACGCCGCAACAGTACACGGTCGCATTTCTCTCACTTCGACTTAATAAGATCCCTATGCGACTTATTCCACACATGTAAATTCCGACCCAAAAGTAACAGTTGCCAGCACGGTAGTACTTATGTACGTATGTGATTACTCGTGGATAGAGTATATAAACATATTACATATTTCATTTCTAACGACATAGATAAAGAAAGACATAAATTGAAACTAACACTTTTACACTTACTTACTGCACCCTGGTTTTTTAAATATTTGTAGAAAATTGTCTTTTTCTTTCAGATGATCAAAGTACTACATCTTTAAATACTGAAAAAGTTTGTAAATCATTATCTGATTTGTTACGCCAGTTTGGTCTACAAAATGGAGCAAACATAGTGAAAAATCACTCTAAGAAATCATCCTAATATTATATACTGTACCATATTTTATTTTAAAATTATATTAACGACATAGATTTTTTGTTCTATGATAATAAAGTTCTATGTTTTTGTCTAGTCTTATTTTTTTATTATCTCTTTTTATATTTTTTATCATCTCTTCTTCAAAAAAAAAACAATGGGGAAAGTATGGATGCATATAGAGCAGACAGATCCATAGAAACTGCTCTGTACCAATTAACCGAGCTAATACAGGCAAGCCTGGATAGCAGAGAAACAGCAATCTGTGCTTTCATGGACATTGCGGGGACGTACATGGCTCTACCGGAAGTACACGGCATAGGGTATGCAGATGATCTATTATATCGCTGGGGGGGAACATGACGGCACCCTGTGTGATATTATCCAAAGAGGACACCGTATTGCTGAGATGGTGCAGGACTGTCGGGCTGAGCATCAACTCAGACAAAAATCGCAGTAGTACCATTCACAAGAAAACGAAGTCTGCGAAACACTTGAAAAGAATCCATCTAGATGGAAAGGAAATACTGCCATCACAGGAAGGCAACTATCTAGGAATAACCCTGGTCAGTAAACTTCTCTGGAACAAGTATATTAAGAACATTACCAGCAAAACCACAAAGGCTCACATGAAATGCAGAGGACTGGCGGGAAATAGATGGGGCGGCACCAATAACATTTTGCGCTGGATGTATACCATAATAGTAAGACCCACGGTTACCTATGGAGTAGTTTGCTTTGGTACACAAAACTAGAACAACGTACAGGAAGGCAAAACCTGTGTAAAGTACAGAGGCTGTACACAATAGCAGCAATGGACGTTATCCTAGACCTAACAATTGCACATTGTCGTCGGTAGCTATGCCAATGCGACAATGATTAGACGGTCATTGACGGATTCAGTACTGGGAGAATTCTCAGGTCAGGGGTCTTGGAACACTCCCAAAAAGAAAATTCCACTTCTCCAACTCTCCATTGAGAGTTACTGAGGCATACCAAGAATTTACAACTTTGAGAAACACCTCAGTGTAGTATTGAGCAATAAAAAGGATTGGAACAGAGAAACATTTACTCAGCATATAAAAGACCTTACCATAGCGTATACTGATGCTTCCAAAACCAAAGCAGGGATAGGGAGTATTTGGGCCAAAAACTAAATACTTCGAACCAATAGGTCTCCTCAATTATTGACACACACCTCAGTAGATTGAAGCTGAGAAACAACCTATCCCAGCATCCGTCAGGCAGAATTCTACGCTATCGAAAGATCCCCAAGCAGCATTTGGACGTCGGAACAACGTTGTGTCACGCGACCAAACGTCGGGACGCAACGTCGGCACAACCTCGTGCCAACCCTAGTCTGCACTAGTTTGGAGAATAATTTTTGGGTCGAAACGACGTTGGATACCTACATTGGCTAGCAGCCTAACTTAGCATAAACTGCAACGTTGTTTAAAATCCTAATTCACAGAAATACAAAACTATAATAATATGGCGTCTAAGTCGCGTTTTGTCCTAAATTGGGATATTTATAGTAAACATATTATTCTTATGATTTAGTTAGAGACATAATATGCCAGATGGCAGTAAAGGAAAACAAAACAAAAGTACCTATTTAAGTGTGGAGGATGTTTGAAGATCATAATTATTGAAACACTTTAACCAACTCTGTAACTCGTTACCCAAGGCAAAAAAGTTAAACGCAAACAACTTTATTGATAAATGTATTGTTTCTACTTTGAAAAATACTAATGGGCCTTAAAATTAAAGAAGTTTTAAAAAATTTCTTTAATTTTTTTTAGTAAAATGAGAATAATCTATTCGAAGTCGAAAAAAAAATTGTTTCTGCGTGTTGTTTAGGGTCAAATATTTCAGGTTAATGTATTCAAAAAGCAGGAATTGCTATTTTAGGAACGAAACATTGTCTTATTCAACAACATGGCGGCTTTCACTTTGTTGTTTTGGAGATTAAGATGGAGTAGTTAGTCGCATACTGGACTAATTAAGTCGCAGTTCAGCCGTAACAGGTAGTATACTAGTCGCAAGATTGCCTAATTTAGTCATCCTAGAGCCTAGACATGGCCATCAAATGTCAAACGTCAAAGCCAAATTTGCTTGTCCCGCCCTCTATATTCTAAATAAACGAGGGAGTGGATAAAGTATCGGTAATATGTCGATGTATATTTAAATTTAGTTTTATATGTGCCTTTCTTACGTTTTATATGTGCATTTCTCCCATTTTAATTAAGTTTTTTTTATAAAAATAAAAACAGCACTGAACTGTCTGACTGAACGGAACAATGAAATGAAAATTTAAGATTTAAGGTTATGGTTCAATACAGTTGCAAAAAGGTAGTGGCTCGACGTCCTACCAACGTAAGAATAAGGAAATCTAAACAACGTTGGAATTAGTAAAACAAACGAAGTTTCCATAACGTTGGAATAGGTCCTGAAAGTGACGGAAAACTCTTTATTGCCCAACATTGTAACTACGTTATCCGAATCACCTAAAGATCACTTAAGCAAAAAAGGTTACAAGATAACGTTTATTCGACGTCGCAGAAGCTTTTACTTTGTTGTAGTACTAGTTCAACGTCGGCACAACGTTAAAAAAACGTTTACATTTATTTTAATACCTAAGGTACGGAGCTAACTATTTTTTGTAACTATTTCAACGTTGTGTTTAGTAAACATGTGGTCGCAAGTCGTGAAAATGCTGTTTGGGGCACAATTTATCTTAGATAGGAACTATCGAAAACAGGAAATAGCCATCTTATCCGATAGTCAAGCAGCACTAAAAACGATCAACTCAGTAACCATCAATTCGAAGTTGGCCAAAGCATGCTTAGAGCCTTTTTGCCTAGAGAAAAGATTTTCTTTGATTTTTCTCGGTCTTCTTCTTTCAAGTAAGAACAATCTTCGGATTGTCACGGGGTTTTTAACAGGACACTGTCTCCTCAACGAACACCTCAGTAGATTGAAGCTGAGAAACAACGGCGAATGCAGATTCTGTGGGGAAATGGGGAAACACCAGAACACCTTATCACTGAGTGCGCCGAGACGACAACCGTTCGTGCCATAAACTTTGGGACAGCTGATGTCGAAGATGGCGCTCGCCTCTGTGGAGCCCTGAGACTGTATGATGACTTATAACCTGTTATAACTCAAGAAAGGGGAACACACAGTAGATCTGTGAGGTGGCGGTGATTAACCACCCTCCTAAACATTGCTATGTTATTAACCACCCTCCTATGCTAAGACTTATATCATAATTTATTTTGTAGTATTTTATACCAAAGCTTATCATCGGTATTAAAAATATTTGAACTTAGCTAATTTTTAATGAAAAGCGCTAATATTTTGTACACCTTTTATTAACGAATTTAGTAAAAATGTTCTGAAAAAGTCTAAAAATAATGTTTACATACATATATAATTTACAATTCCATACACGTTCAAAACAAATATATTTTGTGCTCATTCCTATTTCTACAGGAATGTTATTATAATTAACGATTTTTTCTCATAGAAAATCAGTACTTAAGTTAAAGTCTACTTGGAATAAACACTTTTCTTATCTACATATATTATAAAGACCCAAACTAAACTCATTGTCTCAAAGCCTAATTGTAGTAAAAAATGGCGATAAAATAAAAAATATCTATATTTACAATCAAAGTATTTTACCACAGTAGACTTGTCACTTTTAGTGATTTTGTTTATATTTGTACAAAAATTTATACCTATATGTGCTTATTTACAATATTTTTTCAACTATAATCACAAGTAATTTCTGAAAAGAAATATTATTAAATAAATAATAATAGAAACGTTAAGTTATTATTATATTGCTAATAGATAACTTAAACAGTTTAAAACTAAAAGCAATTTCTAAAAGAATTTAAATATTGGATATAATTAATATTTACATTTAACATGAGAATAAAAGAGAATAAAAAATAATCAAATTTATATTTATCTGACATAAAACTGGCATACACGTGTGTTTTGTATAAAAATTCTTAAATTATTACTAACCAAATTGACACTTCTCAATTACCTAGTCAAAGATGATACAATGATAGAAGCTAAGGAAAATCACTGGAAATTGTTCGAAATCGGTAATGAAAACAATTTTGTCTATTGTCAAAAAAAGTAGTACAGGAAGGTTACACATTTTTATATTCAATTGTCGATACCTCTGTTTGGGATGAACAGATTTTAACGTTAAGTTGTTATGGAAAAAAAATCTTTTTTGTTCCATTCATTGTGTCATAAACTCTCTCATAATGACTTTGTAAATGATCACTAGATGGCATTGTTTTGATATTCTTCAAATATTGCAGATTTTCTCAATAAAATCAAATGGTATGCTAAGACTTATATCATAGTGTATTTTGTAGTATAAAGGGCATTGATACAGGTGCCCGGTGGCGTAGAGGTACAGGCTCTCGTCTACCAATCTCAAGGTAGTGGGTTCGAATCCCACACCCGGCATTTCATCAACCGACTATTTTTATTAAAATAAAAATAGTTTGGGCACCTAGGTCGACACAGCCTTAAATGAGTACTTGGGATTCACAATCCTGAGGTAATAATAGGCGGTTAAAGCGTAGTGCTAGCCACATAACCTTCCTTGTATACCGAACGGCTCTAGCATGGCAAGCTGTACCTTGCTACTCCCAAGGCGTCAAACGCTATATACGGGAGCTATTATTATTATTATTATTATAAAGGGCATTGAATAGTAAAATGAAAACAAAAATGGTTTAGAGGAAAACGGATGTACATAGTTATTAAAAATTGGAATTTCAATTGAGTGTTGCTATTACATCTCCTAGCGGCCAATTTTCGAACTTATAGGAAATAGTTTACATCTTATCATTAACGGTTCCCGAGCTACAACCGACGTCCTCTATTGAACCACCCTGTATAATGATGAATTTATTGAACCATAAAAGTTTATTTTGGTACTACTATGAACTAGGTTTATTTTTATTACACTAGGAAACACGAAATCTCTTCAGTATTCGACTTTGACCTATTCCAGCTTACTTGTACTTGTACGCCAGTAGTCTAGAGGCGTTTGGATTATAGAGATGGAATTTGGATAGAGATGGAGTTTGGATTCTAGATAAACAATTTTTAAGTGAAATTGCGTTAGAAGTTCTTCTTCTCTTTTTATGATAGCTCTGCTAAGAGGCAATTCTCCAGCTCAATTTGAGAGTGGTCAAGATATTGACTGGCTCTAAAATCACAGGTTACCTTCATAGAAGTCAGTCATAACCATAGATAAAGGAAAATAATCTTCTATATAACAGAGTACGTAAACCGACAAGTAGCGACAGAAACCGTCGGCGTCGGCTCTTTTGATGTGGTGGGACCAAATTTGCTTTCTCTCTCTTTTGACGTGTTTGACAAATAGACTATCTAAATAACTGGTCTAATTATGAAGTGGTCCTATAAACATGGTATACACTGCTCATAATTTGAAGTAGAATTAATTATAAAGTTTTACACATATTTTTTTTGTTTTGTTTAATCCCTATTTCTAAATTTCAATGTATAAAATATCTTACAGCTAATAAATAATTAAAAAAATGATTCGTTGCCTGAGGCATACTTGAAATAGAGTATACAGAGATATTTGATAAATGGCAACAGTGGCAACTTCGCTTCGTCATATGACAGATAGATTATCTATTTCGCGCAGCCGCAAAGAAAATTGAAAACCGGACTGTCGCTAATCGTCGGTTTACTTACTCTGGTCATAACATGTTTAACTGTTATATCTGTCATAACCTAGATGATTATTCTAAGATACCTCCGTCTAATGGTTAGATTATGAATATTTGATGTTTGTTTCTTCTGTATATTTTTATTACAAAAAATAAACGAAATTTTATATATCTAGTAAAACTGTAAACGAATTTTTTAACAACTGACTCAGATGTGCAAGAAATTTACAACTAATAAAAAAGTAACCTTGAAATCCTAAGAGAAATAATAATCAGAAAATGTAAAAAACAGATCGTTGAATTTTGTTTTTATCCTTAGTTAAGTGACAAGGACCATTGACTTATCGTTCCATTGCACAATTCTTCTCAACTAAAGCCGTAGATAATTTAGAAGTGTCAACAAAATCTATTAAGCGTATCATTATAATTAAACATATATGATATGATTAATAATTATTAGTCTAAAGCCAGCAAAAGTCACTTTTTAAAAAAGCAAACAACGAACAATAGGTAATATTGCCCTTATAATAAATATATATAAAAATGTAATATAATTTAGATATTAATTAATACAAAATTATTCGAAAATGTTTTTTGTGTATAAAATTCAAAACGTGTAAAAATGTATTTTCTTACAACTAGTTTGAGAAAAGGCACCATAAGTCTTTTGTCTGAAGGCATTTTCATAAAAAGGATATTCAAAAGAGTATTGCTTACACAATCATGAACGCATTGCTCCTTTAATATCTTTGTCATTTATCACAATATATTTTTCTAATCGATTTATTTAAATTTTCTGAAAACGTATAGTTTTAATAGCAAAATTGTAAACAAAATACAAATTCATTGTACCTAACATAAACCAAAATAACAATTTATAAACGTTTTATAGAAAAATACTTAACCAAAACTAAATAAAATATCATCTCTAAAGAGTATTTCGTGTATTATCTATAGTTCTAGCTCTTCTAAAGTCTTCGATAAGCGGTTATTGTCAATTTTGCGCCTCTGGCTTCGTCTCACTGCATCTGCTCTTCGATATGGTTCACTTTTAAGGCCCAAAAGTATGTCTTCGAGTGCGCCGTTGTAGACCTCGTCTTGCTGAAGAAGCTTCTTCTCCTGTACCATTCTCGTTTTAGTTTTAAGTTCGTTTATAACTGCGTCCTGTTGATCGGATTAATTATTATGTAAAATATGACATTCTACTAACGAAAGAAGTCGTTCAAATAATATATACTATATGGAGTAGTAATCGACTTTAATATAAAATGCATAAAATAAAGTATACTTATTAATAATTCTTAGTGAAAAAATATATTGAAGAATTAAAATTGTAGAAAACAGAGAGTTTTATAGATAGATAGATTATTTAGATCTGTTTAACTAGACACTTTAAATTTGACTAAATAGATGAAAATATTTGTTTTTATATGTGTGAAAACAAAATATTCTAAAAACTGTATACAGGGTGGTTCGAATGTATTCGGGTAGCTTATTCTGCAGATAAAAATTTCGTTTCGGAGATACAGGACGTAGAAGTTACATTTTGTTTTCGGTTTTTTCCAAATAATTTATGAACTATAGTCGATATTTGGGTAAAAATTGGTACCTGGGTGTTTTTTGACGAGAGATGAGAAATTTGATTTTGGTATCAATGACTTCTACTTGTAGAATGCGTTACTTATATATTTTTTAACTGTTTTGAAGAGTATAAACTTTTCGTTCGTACCTGCATAATACTACTGAGTGTATAAATATCGTTCACTTCTTCGTCACTTCTTATGTAAAAAAAGTCTCTTGGTAAAAGTCGTTACGAGCAACCGTTATCAAGATATTTGGAATAGAAATAGTCAATACATGTTATTATTGACAAAAAAAATAACATGTTGAATAGATAGTTATTTGACTGAAATGATAAATTTGGAAACATTTTATTTTTTAAATTAGTCATAAATTTTTCTTCGGAAAAATTATGATAAAACAGTTTCTGTTGAACCTTTAGCACAGAGCATTTCAAATTTATTACTTCAGTCTAATAATTATCCAGTCATACTACTGAGTGTATAAATATCGTTCACTTCTTCGTCACTTCTTATGTAAAAAAAAGTCTCTTGGTAAAAGTCGTTACGAGCAACCGTTATCAAGATATTTAGAATAGAAATAGTCAATACATGTTATTATTGACAAAAAAAATAACATGTTGAATAGATAGTTATTTGACTGAAATGATAAATTTGGAAACATTTTATTTTTTAAATTAGTCATAAATTTTTCTTCGGAAAAATTATGATAAAACAGTTTCTGTTGAACCTTTAGCACAGAGCATTTCAAATTTATTACTTCAGTCTAATAATTATCTAGTCAACATGTTTAAATTATGTGAATGATGACATGTATTGATTGATATGACTATTTTGATTCTAGAGACCTTTTTTACGCAAAAAACGGCGGAAATGTATATCTTTTGTCAGTAGTTTTATACAGGAACGGACGAAAAGTTATTACTCTTCAAACCAGTCAAAAAAATAGGTAGGTGGCGCCCTCTACAAGTAGGAATCATATTGACATCAAAATTTCTCATGTCAAAAAACTCATAGACACAATCGAAATATTGATGTTAGTTCAGAAATTTATATAAAAAAAATCAAAATAAAAATGAAACTGCAACACCCTGTATCTCCTAAACTAAGCATTTTAGGATATAAATTTATAAGAACTTTTTTCTTATTTTTACCTAGAAAATATGCTGCAAAAGATTTAGTCCAATCAGTGGGGGCCATTATAGGCCTTTGCCATACAAAAGGTGATGTAGTAGTAGTTTTTTAATATGTTATTAAGGTTTAGGTCTTGATGAAAAATCCAAGTTTTCGACCTTGGGGTGCGACCGCTCGAGCCACCATCTTGAATTAAAGATACAAAAAACTGTATTTTCGAAAATATATCCGCAGCGGTTAATCTTACGATCAAAATGTTGGAATAAAAGTTAGATATCAATATTTTTCGATGTATCAAATATAACGGGACATCGTAAAAGGGCGGAACAATTTGGAATTTTTTTCCAGGAATTATTTTTAGCCGGCGAAAACAATAAAGGCCGTTTAATTTCGATGTTCACTAAAAAAATGGAGCAGGCTGCTATTACTGTCAACCAGGCGGAAGAAGATGCTGATGTGTTGATTGTCAGAACAGGGATTTCCTTATGCCCAAAATTTAATGCTGTTTTCGTAGTTGGCGAAGACGTTGACCTTCTCGTTTTGCTGACAGCATCGGCACCGTCTCAAGGAAACATCTACCTCCGCAAACCAGGAAAAGGCAAAATTGCTGAAATAATATATTCAGCTAATAGTTTAAAACATAAAAAAGTAGCTGAGAACATTCTGTTTCTTCAATCTTTTAGTGGCTGTGACACGACATCGTCAATCTTCAACCAAGGAAAAATGAAGTTTTGTTCGCTTCTCAAGAAAACAGCAGGACTCAGTGACACCATTGGCATTTTTAAACATCAGGATGCAACAGCAGAGGACATCGCAGATGCTGGAGCACGCTTTCTCGTTGCTTTGTATGGTGGCAACTTGGAAGAAGACACCTTAGAAGAAATCCGCTACCAACGTTTTGCTAGATCAACCACAAAAAGTAAATCCAATCTTGCTTCATTGTCACCAACGAAGGATGCTGTCCAGTATCATTCTTTCAGGACATATCATCAAGTCCAGAAATAGTATGGAATCGAGAAAAAACCTGAAAACTGGGGCTGGAAACTGGGCAGCAATGGGCTTGTTCCACTCACCATGACAGGACAAGCAGCACCCGACAACTTATTGAAATTCATTTCATGCACTTGTAGAAAAGGATGCGCCGCAGCTTGTGGTTGCAGGAAAGCTGGGTTGAAGTGTTCCGTTGTATGTGGCTTCTGCAGTGGTCAGTCATGCGAAAATGTCCCGGTGGTTCACATCGACATTGAGGACGAAGATGACCAAGACTTAACAATGGGAGAGCAATATATTCCCATAAGCACCGATTACGACGACACCGAAGACAATACTCAAAACGTTATTAATAACCGATCCGGACCATCAAAGAAAAGAAAACGCTAATAAATCGCCATGGCACTACCTTATTTTTCAGTTTTTTTCATGTTGTGCATTATATTAATGAGACATATGAAGGTTATAACATATTTTTTTCACTCCGTGGCACCGTGGCTCTACCTCACCAGCCGCTGCTGTTTATACAAGGAACCTATATTTAAAAAATAGCGAGAATTTCGGAAAAAATACAAAACTGGGGAGTTTTTCTATTTTTTTGGAAAATATGTTCAACTTTTCGTTATTGTACCTTCTATCCAAGATGGCGGCTCGAGCGGTCCCACCCCAAGGTCAAAAACTTGGATTTCTTGTCAAGACTCAAACCTTAACAACATATAAAAAAATACTACTACACCACCTTTTGTATGGCAAAACACCCCACTGACTGGACTAATTCCCAAATAAACAATTCGGACCACCTTGTGTAACCGACACCTCGCCCTAGTTCCCTATTATCAAATGATAATATAACTGTCATCCTTTGGCTATGCAATGACAGGCAATTTTCAGTCGACCGACCATTTTGTTGCAGGTTTGTAACCGATGTATTCTTATGGAGCCGCGCTCACATGCAATAAATAGTCGGCCGATCGGCTCCATAAGAACGTATTGTTTTCACTTTGACAACTAAATAGACGGCAGACTAAAAATTGCATGTCAGCGGATAGGTATAAGGTAACCGTAGATCATATGATCTAGGAAGGTAACTCCCCTAATTTAAATATTTTTAAATGATTCGAGTCTACAATGGGGTCCGTGCACGTGTCGGGTAAAACTTAAATATTTATGATTTCTAATACATCTTTTCCTAAAACATATAATATATGTTTTATTATATATATTATGTAAAATCAATTTGTACAAATTCCATCTGGAAAGTATTTAAATTAATTATTGAAATTCGCAATCTGGAGCCTGGCGCGAAAGCGAGGTGTCACGTCATAGATGTTGAAAATTTCTGCCGGCAGCGAACGCATTTCATTTAAATAAGGTGTTGACAACTAAATAAATGGATTTTCTAATTTATTGAGATTTTTTTAAATTTATTTAGATATCATTGGGCGTTTCAGTTTGTTAGAATAATGTCAGACAATTTACGGAAAGCAAATTCGACGATGATCACCCATTATTTTTCGCAGAATGTTTTGTTTACTTATGCCGAAATTGGAGGAGCAAAAGTAAATAGGTAGGTACATGATTTTAGCATGTTTAGAACTTGTCAACAAGTCGACGATTTACAGACTGACGTTTGTTTGGCGCACGAGCAATGTTGCCAGAAATTTTCGAGCGAATTTCTTTTAACGGAACCTTAAAAAAACCTTCATATTGCTTCAACTTCACAAAACATTCCAGGTCTTGTGTAAAATCAACAAATTTAGTGTATTTTACCTATTTTATAATTAGGAGAAAATTTTTAAAAACTTATTTCTGGTAATTTTTGAACACCGATGTATTTAAATAAACTTTTTGTTAAAAAATAAAACAACCAAAAATGCTATGATAGGTTATAAATTATGTTTCAGAAATTTATTGTTTATAATGACTGCTTGAATCGAAAAAAATGATTAATCGTACAAAACGCCATGACTTACCTTTTCAACATCAAGAACTTTGGTTTAGTTATGGTATGTTTGTAAAAAGATGTGTTGAAAGATTAAAATGTATCTATTAGATACTTTTTGTTAAAAGTTAAAATCTTTCGAATTGCAAACTTTTGAATTACTTAAAACTGGGGCATCCTTAATTAAACACAGTTAAAGTGCAAAAATCGATTTAGGAAAAACAATTTTTTTTCAATTCCGGCAACACTGGTTCTGACATAACAAACAAACTAAAACACCTTATCTAAAATGCATACGTTCGCTGTCGGAGGAAAATTTTAACATTTATGACGTCAGATCTCGTTTTCGCGCCAGGCGAATTTCAATAATTAATATAAATACTTTCCAGATGGAATTTGTACAAACTGATTTTACATATACAGGGTTGTTCACCACATACGACGCGGAGTATTGTAGCTAAACTCTTAGATTTTTGCAAATTGTAAGTCTTGGGTTAGTTAAAGGACTATTAGAGCTACAATTTAAAAATATTTTTACAAGATACAGAATGGTCCAAATAAATAAAAAATATCAAAGTTGTATTTTTTAAATGGAACACCCTGTATATTATTACATTTTTAGTTTCTACGATTAAAATAAAAGTAAGTTTGATTAACGTTTACCGCATTTTAATCTTACGGTTTTTGAAATATTTAGGTTTTTGTCAAAATACAGTAATAATAATTTTAATGCTTTATTTCTCCAGGCGTATTTAAGTTTTTAAAACCAAATATTGTACTGAAGTATTTCTATTTACTAAATTTTGTGTTGCAATAATAAAAATTATACTACCTTATACAGAGTGTCTAAAAATTTATTTTAAATAATAACTAGCTATAAACAGCAATGACTTCTTTAATTTAAATGGAACACCCTGTATATTTTATGATAATCAGATGCACAATTTAATTGCCTATCAAATTGTATTACAATTTTATTACAAATTTTATTACATTTTTTGCCGGATGCTTATTTATAACAGAGACGTTCATTTTCATAACTTTTTATTATATGTATTGATTTCTTATTTCAAATCCACATTTATTTAGAATAATTATATTAACTAACACAATTAAATATGTAATCAATTAATATTTGGGCGGAAATAATGGTGGTATATTTAATTAATGATATACTCTTTTATAAAGATTTAAATAGTTTTATTTTTGTAAACAAATAGGCTGGTAATATTATCGTTTCTAGCACCTGTACATTTGTTGCTTTAAAAACAATCTAAAATGTCAATATTCCATGATAACTGAAGTCTAAATTATAGAGAAAATGCATTTTCTATGAAAACTTGAAGGATAGGTAAAAGTGGTATAATACAATTTGATGGACAATTAAATTGTGCATCTAAAGGCGGGCGGCCACTGCAGGCGAAACTAAACTAAGCGAAGATAAGATTTGTAAAAAATCAGCTTCCATACTTTTTAATGCGTCAGCGGCTGCTTGACCGAAACAAACGAAAATATATGAACGAAGATTCGAATCGTAGTTTAGTTTCGCTCGTTTTAGTTCGTGACAGGTTCCAGCGAATTTTTCGCAGCGATTAGTAGTGCTATGATAGCAGAGATACAATACGAAAACTTAGCTGACTACTGAGCGAAAAATCGTTTCCTAGTGGAGTTCCCATTTAATTACCGTTTGTTTTCATATTCTAGCTTAGTTTAGTTACGCTCGCAGTGGCCGCCCGCCTTAATTCTCCTAAAATATACAGAATTGTCCATTTAAATTAAACGTTATTGCCGTTTAAAGCTAGAAATTATTTAAAATATAAATTTTAGACACTCTGTATGATGTAGTATTATTTTTATTATTGCAACACAATAACTGATCAATAATTAAACTTCAGTAAATATTTAGTATTAAAAACTTTGATACTCTTGGAGAAATGAAGCCTTAAAATTTTTACTGCAATTTCACAAAATTGAAAATATTTCAAAACGAGTGGGTTTAAGGATGATAAACTTTAATCAAATTTACCTTTATTTTAATCATAGAAACTAAAAATGTAATAATATACAGGATGTTATATTAAAAAAAATACAACTTTGATATTTTTTATATATTTGGGACACTCTGTATCTTGTAAAATATTTTTAAATTGTAGCTCTAGTCCTTCAACGGACTTAAAACTTACAATTTGTAAAAATCTAATCGTTTAGCTACAATACTCCGCGTCGTATGTGGTGAACAACCCTGTATAATATGTTTTAGATAAAGATGTATTAGAAATCATAAATATTTGAGTTTTACCCGACACGTGCATGGACCTAATTGGAACAAGTTGTCTATTATTTTTTATTTCTATCATTTCACACCTTTACTACACTTCCTAAGTAATGAAATATGGTTAAAAAAGCTTTCGAAAATTGGCCCATAGTCGTAAAGTTGAAGTTTGAACAAATCTTCTTTCATATTTTTCGATAGTTGATCAATCTAACTTTACTTTTTGCACATACGCCATAGTATTTTTTTATCAGGCTACGCGTTGACAGGCAATTTTTATTCAGCCGATTATTTAGTTGCAGATTTGTAACCAACGAGCCGCACGCGCATGCAATAGGCCCATCGGCTCCATAAGAATGTATTGTTTTCACTTTTGCTAAATAGTCGGCCGACTAAAAATTGCATCTCAGCGCGTAGCCTACTTGTTCCTAAAAAAACTCCATATCAAATATTATTGGCGGGTTTGTACCGTATGATGAAAAAAACGGCATCCAGTTGGCTTTTAAATGAATATCGATGACATTCCCCATATAATTTTACATGTAAAATGACAGTGATCCTCATTTCGTAGCCATCGTTGACGCCGTTTTTTTCGATCGTATTGTATGTTTTGTTGCGAAAATGACAATACAATAAATGTTTCATAAAAAGTTTATGTAAAAGTTTCACAGATGAACGATAAAATATTTATACCAGTTTTAAGAAACTCTTGAAAAAGCTAACAAGCCGAAACATATGTAAATACTAAATTTTATACATCTAAAAGCGTGTTTTATTAAAATACTTATTACATACTTTATTAAAAGATTGGTCGTCATGATGACAATAGAATCAAACAAAATACATTGAATAAAAAAATTAAGGAAGGAGTATAATGCTATCCATGTATTCATTAATGGTCGACAGAAAGAGGACTCTAGGGTGGGGATCCTTGACAGTTCTGTTTGATGATTCATTTGACACCTCTGAATTTGATTTGAAATTTTGTGGATTTGTCAGTCTTTACCGAGCTTATTTTTTGTTATTTATTATTTATTCTACTACTGATAGTTGTTTAAAGGTAGTAAATCTAGAAGAAAATTGTGACAAAACTCTTTATTCTTTGTATTTTTGTTTGCTTCCGACGACGGAAAGTGATAAACTTTCCGAAACGTTAAGCATTAAAATTTAAGCATTTACTTTGTTCGTTAGGCAAATTTGTTTATCTGTAAACTTAACTGCTGACAAGTAGTTTCCGTTGGATTAACGCAGAAGTGTGTACAAAAAAATAACTATTTTATTTTGTAGATTTTCTTGCAGTGGCAAAATACCCATACAGGATTTTTTTCGAGAGATGAATCCGCCACATAGGTATTTTTATCTATTTTTATTAGAGATTATATATATTTTAATAACAATTTTAATAACTAACAAACTACCAAACATTTATTCACAACGTAAAATAAAACAACAAATTATTGAGTCTACCCCACGGCTACCCTACATCATATTTTTACACGTTTTGAATAAAATTAGATCGGTACTAATAAACCCGAATTTAAGTCGGCCATTTTAGAGTCCCGCAGCGGTCGATCTAACATTTTTGATATGCTCCTTCCTTAATCTTTTTATTCAAAGATTGTAACAGTATACTTATTTGAACGACATACACTATTTAAGTTTATTAGCGTTAATGTTTATTTTTTTAATACGGTTACTTATGCAAAAGAGCAGTGAAAAGGTGTGTGTGAATGATTAAGCATGATAATCAAGCAGTGAAATGAAATGGATTCCTATACCTACTATCAGATTGTAAAATTATCAAAACTTAAATATCATTTTTATACCCAAAAATACTCTACTAATACAAAGGTGACTTACACAAACTTTATTCCTCAAGTATTTTAACCAAAAAATTTGGCAATTTTGGCGGCTGAAAGAGACGAAATATACCAAATAGTAAAAAAATGACAGGTCTTTAAATCTATTTAAACAGTATTAGAAACATTTTCATCAGAAATACATGCCGTAATAAATTTAATGACAACAAATCTAATTTAGAATAGCAGCCAAAGAATGTACCCTACAATGTCTAACAATTAATCACACGACATATTTTTAATGCTGTTAGTATATTTTAAAATTTCCTAAAATATAAAATAAATAAACCTACTTTATATTTTCACCCTTCATGATAATCTTTAAATGAAAAATGATATATGACTTGATTATCTAATAAAGTTTCTAGACACTTACATATGTAAACATAAGATAAAACATTTTAGACACCGACAAATAAAGAATGCATGCAAAAGTGGTTATTAAGGAAAGGGGTGCTGTGGAATTGTGTAATTTTTAAAAAAATTTACTGATTTAGTACATATTAGTATGATACAATTAAGAAAAAATACCCAATAAACCATATAAGACTAGAACAAAACCAAACATTTTATTTTGATTGCCGAAATTTATAAAAACTTCATATCCAAAAAATACTCTAAATTTTAAAACTTAATGCATGCAAACACAACATTAAATGAATTAAAATGAATTAATACTAAAACTATTAAAATCATTATAGTAAAATGGGATAAAGCTTAGGTAGTTCAAACAAATGAGACAGAAATATGAAATGCTCACCTGTTGCTTCTTTTGGTTGATTTTGTTCTTCTTCGCTACATCTTCATTAGCTTTATTATTGGCGTTTTGAGCTGCGATTTCTAATCTTCTCCTCTGTTCGTTTTCTTGGTCTGCAGTCTTAACATAATAACACAATGAATTAATATATAATTACATGTACTAAATACTGTACAGGGTGTCCCATTTTGGTTGAAATCATACGGTATCTCCGTTATTCGTGATGATAGAAGGGTGCGGTTTGCACAGACCTGTCCCACTTTTTGTCAAACGGAAGATGCCGTAAACAAAATTTTCATAGTCCTCTTCGTTTCTGAGCTACAGGATTTTTTGAAAATTTTGCAATTTGGGACGCTCCCTGTATTTCTGTTATTGTTAAAGGTATCGAGACGGTGAAAACTGTTTATTGTAGAACTTTTATGTAGAATACAGTGGCGTAGTCTGCTATTTTACGAAAAGAATATTTTTATAGATATGAACTAAATTTATGTTTTCTTAAATGGAACACCCTGTATATTTATAAATTATATGATCTGGCTTGCCATAAACTTCTCAAAAATATATATCACTCTATATTTATTTTCAGTATTTAATGCAATATTTAAAAAATATATTATTAAAAGATCCTATTTATCAGTAGGCCATGATTGATAATAACACAAACTAAAAATTGTTAAAAAGTATACCGCTATCTGTCTCTTGTTTTATTTTTAGAGAGCAACTAGCCAAATTCTTTATATATTAGGGAAACTTAACTCTCTACCGCAATTTGTAAAATCTTGGAATCGCATCGGAACTTTTAAATATTCCTAAAATGATATATTTTAAATATTGCAGTAAATAGTGAAAATAAATATAGAGTATACACTCCTTTTTGAAGCTCTCATAAAGGCGGATGTTCCATTTGACAAGGGTGTTCACATTTGAAAAAAAACATAACTTTAGTTCATATTTTCAAAATATTTTTTCGTAGAAAAACAGACTACGCCACTGTATTCACCGTGAAAAAATTCTACAAGAATCAGTTTCCACCTTCTCGATATCATACATAATAACGGAGGTACGGGGGCAGTCCCAATTTACAAAATTTTCGAAAAGACCCTGTAGCTCAGAAACGAAGAGGGCTCGAAAAAAAGAAACGAAAATTTTGTTGACAGCATCTTCCGTTTGACAAAAAAAGTGGCACAGGTTTGTGCAAACCGCACCCTTCTATCTTCACAAATAATGGAGATACCGTATGATTTCAACCAAAATGGGACACTCTGTACAATGTCTAGAAAGATAATTACAATATTGACACCAAAACTAAGTAAATACATTAATTAATACCATATGACCGAATAAAAACGCCACAGTAAACAAAATAACATTTCAGCTTGATCTTTACTGTCTTTACTATGTCTATTACTGAAATTCTTTAAAATTAATAATTCTTTGTGATTTAGTTAAATTATTTGTGAACTTTTAATAATACAATAAGAAAAATTATAAATAAGTTGTAAAGTTTACATTATTGCTTCGAAGCAATTTATTTTTTTATATTATAGTTTAACTTTTACAAGAAGGCTTTCAATAACTCACGATTAATTGTTACTGTTAAGATCGTCAGCGAAGTGTTATTTCGACACACAGTAATATCACAGATTATACAGATTATAAACTTTGTTTTTTCTTTGTTGTTTGTCGTGGTTCAAATTTTCGGAATCGGGTACTAGTTAGGTTACTAGTTTGCGCACATAGCACGCACACTTATGGCCTCTAAAATTGTACAGAGCGCCTGACCAGCCCAGTTATTAGAGACATATCGGTAAACCGAATAGCGTCATGCAGTATTTACGCGTACCTTATTTTGACAGTTACGATATGCGCGAGTCAATTTTTAACGCAACGCCCGCTAATAACGTTACCGCCTGACGTAATTTGCGGATCAATTACACCAAGCGTTTTTTAATTAAATAAATATGGCCTAAAATATGGATTCCACCTCTTCCAATATTAAAGAACCTATAAAGAGGCTTAGGTTTACAGCAGATGACAACTTTGTTGCCCTAAACCCACTGGCAGACGTTGAACAACAAAGCACTGAAAATAAGCACTGCACTTTAGTTTTAAAATACCTAGTAAACAAAACAATTTCAAAGTTTTAAATTCAAAGTTAGGTTAAGTTTAAATAGCGGACGCGACGCGAAAAGAATTCTTTCCGATCCGATAACTATAAATGAAGAGAGTTAATACCACCTCACGTAAAGGAAATAACACCTGGCGTTATTAACGTCCATGCACGCTATTCGGTTGACCGATGTCTCTCTATTACGCTGTTTATTGTTATTTTACGCGAGTTTATTTTTGCGCAGGAAATTTTACTCGTTTGCTCAACGTCATAAAAAACAATTTCGTACCACGAATTAGGGATAAGATTTTTATCTGTATACATATAGTATACCTAATCTGGGGTAATATCGTTTTAACTCGAGCACCTGATATATATGTATTTAAGGAAACAGTACTTACTTTGAAAGCTTTTACAAATCTAACTAGTAGTGAGAAGAAAGAGTTTGCATCAGTTGTTCTAGGAGATTCAGCAAAATACTCAACACATTCCCTAAAGGCCTGAAATTAAATAAAATTTTCCTTTAAAATAATATTGTATCTTTCTTTAAGTTTAAGAAAATAAGTTTGTGTGAAATGGTTCTTTGTTTGATAACAGATAAACAATTCTTATTGGAAATTATATCAGAATTTTTCAACGTCTTTTTTAATATCTAAAGCCAATTATGTCAAGTGGTTTTGTTGATTAGGTGTGAATCGTGAAACAGTCTGTCCAACAAGTCAGTGAAGATTTAGACAGACCACCAGTGGCGGCTCGTAGTTATTATTGTAGGGAGGTAAATATCTAAAAATATTGCGTGGATTTTTTTTAAGACGCGACCAAATTTAATTGGTTTCTTACAAGGTACTTGTACGTTTAGTTAAAGGAAAATAAATCTAAAAATAAAGACAAATTATGTTAAAATAAAACCTACCCTTACATTTTTAAACAGGTGGTCTAGTGCCATTTCACTAAAAATCCAGTCAATGTTCTTTACATAAATTTTCCACGGTAGGATTTAAAAGACACTTAAATAATAATGTCACAAAAATATAAAAACATAATATACAGGGTGGTCCGAATTGTATTCCGGAAACTTCGACAGCATATTCTGCAGATAAAAATAAGTAAAAAAGTTCGTATAGATGTATGTCCTAAAATGCTTAGTTTCGGAGATACAGGGTATAGAAGTTTCATTTTCATTTCGATTTTTTAAAAATAATTTCTGAAGTAACGTCAATATTTCGATGAAAATTGGTATCTGGGAGTATTGTGACACGAGAAATTTGATTTTGATGTCAAAATTACTCCTATTTGTAGGGGGCGCCACCTACATGTGTTTTAACTGTTTTGAAGAGTAATACCTTTGTACCTGTATAAAACCACTGACTAAAAAAAAATATACATTTTCATGACTTTTTATGTAAAAAATGTCTCTTGGTAAAAATCGCTACGAGCATCCGTTCTCATGATATTTAGAATGGAAATAGTCAATACATGTCATTATTGACAAAAAATAAGCACACGTTGAGTATAGTTATTTGACTGAAATGATAAATTTTTATGTTTTTAAATTAATCATAAGTTTTTCTGCGAAAAAATGATGATAAAACAATTTCTTTTGAACATTTGACACAAAAAGATTTCAAATTTATGATTTCAGTCTAATTACTATTTAGTCAACATGTTTAATTTATGTCAATGATGACAGGTATTAATAATTTCGATTCCAAATATCTCGAGAACCATTACTCGTAGCGATTTTTACCAAGAGACCTTTTATGTAAAAAAAGTCGCAAATGTATATTTTTTTACTCAGTAGTTTTATACAGGTACCGACGAAAAGTTATTACTCTTCAAAACATGTAGGTGGACGACTTCATACATGTAGGTGGACACCCCCGCTTAGAGGGTTGAAGATTTTGCAATCATTTTTGGGGCAAAAATTGTCCCCCTCACAAACAAAATTGACGTGTTTTTGGATTTTTTGAAAAAAATACCCTGGCCGTTATGCCTTGCGGAACGTTTTCGATGGGCCACCCTGTATATTTACACTATGTTATTTTAGTAATTTACTATATCTTATTTTTTTGACTATTGATATCGAATTAATGAAATAGAAAAATATAACATAATCTTACCTCTTGAGCCATTTTGGCATCACTTTTCAGCCTTCTAAGTTTGTCCTCAGCATTGGCCAAGAAATCTCTTACAACTAAACTGTGATTGCCTCTGCCTCGAATTTCTGCCTCTTTTCTTACAGCTTCCATACCCTTTTCCAGCTCATGAACGTCAGTAGAAATATTTTCTAGTGAAACTAAAATAGAAATAAATTTTGTACTATTTATATCTAAAGAAATCTCGAGAGCAGTGAAGATAAGTGTACACAAGACACAGTATTCATACGGACGTTGATTTTTTGGCTGTGAAAGTTGGGTATCATGTTATCTTAATAAACTGCACTGAAAACAAACTTGTGCAGCTTTTAGATAACACTCAATCAGAGTTCAGAGTTAATGATATTTTTGATGCACTTGTGCAATAATTATACACACATAACCTAGCGTGGAATAGCCAATAACCAAAATTTGACGTCGAATAAATTATATGATATGTTGTTTTGATTACCTAATTAAAACCGGCTGCCTATGTTAAAAAATTAAGTAATGCATTTTTTACCTTGTTTATGAGAATCAGTATAGAGTAAAAACTAATATGACAGTTTCAATCTTTTACGTTTTTGAAAAATTGTGACAAAATTCTTACCAACAGCTGCCTTTTCGATATAGTGCAATTCTGAGTCAAAAGTAAGTAAGTCCGAAAATTTCTGCCTTATTGTCGCCACAATATAATGAAGAAGACATAATCGCTTATCTGTCGATTTGGTATCAAGCAATGAATCAAGAGATTGCAGTTTAAAGCCATAAGCCGGTCCTCTCTTGGCACTGAAATTCAAAATAAAGTGTCAATAAAAGTAGAATGATAAGCTGTATTTTCTGTTTCTCTTTTTTTAAAACTCCATTATGCTAGATATATCCATAGTATAAGGAAACTAGTAACTTTACTCCTTGTCAAATCCTTTGTTCTTTTTCTGCCACTTTATATGACCTTGTTCTCGCGTCGCGTGACCACTGACGTGCTGTATAGTCGTGGTCTATAACTAGGCAAAGTATAGTCGTGGCACTCGCCATAGTTTCACAGAGATGTATTTAGGAAAATATGAGTTCACAATAAAATAAAATAAAAAAAAATGATCAAGTAAAAATTTGCTTGAAAACAGAATTTGTCACATTTCGTGTAAGTAACAATTCTGCTGTATCTGAAAGTCTTCTGTTGGGAAGAAATGCGGAAAAAATATATAATGACATATTTTTATATTACATATTTCTATTTCTATTTCAAAGATTTTCTACAACTTTTTTTAATTTAAAACAAGTTTAGTTTTAACATTAATGTGTTTGTTTTGTAGTAATATATTGGTAAGCTGATTTTCACTTGATAATTAATACATAGAAAAACACATTGTACTAAATAATAAAATAACATATTAAAACTTCAATCATTATTGCTAATTACAGAAATTTCAAAAGAGAAAAGAAGCAAGAACAATGAGAAATAGCATCACTACTTTTTCACGTAATAAAAGAATATTTTATAGTTATTGTTCTCGAAGGTACCGAAAGAACCGGGAATTAATAATTTCGAGTCCCGGTTCTTTGATATCTCAAGAGAACCGGGAATTTCCGGCTCTAAACCCTAGTTACTATATTATCAAGAAATTATGTTTTTTTAACTAAAAAATTGCGCAGAAAAATCCTCATATTTCTGGGGCCAAAATATACTACCCCTAAAAATATTTGCTCTTATTTAAGACTCACCCTGTATAGGGCTATTCACGGTTATGTTACGTTATAGCGTTTCCGGAACCGGAGCTGTTTTTCGGAACAGGTAATTTCGGTACCATGCCTCTAAGGAACCAGGATTTCCAGTTTTTTTTTTGGTATTTTCGTTTTTTTTTTCAATTGCTATTTAACGAACTCTACCAAAGATATACAAAAAGCAAGGGATGGTTGTCTAAAGTAAAATCGATAAAAATTGAGGTTTAAATGAAAATAATTTCAAATTATTAAGTAATCAGTAGTAATCAGTCATGAGAAAATTAACCTGAACACAAACATGATCACAAATGACTCTTAAAAAAAACTCAAAGCATAATTTTTTGAATTATTACTACAATCAATAGCAGCACACAGTAAGGCACTCATTTTTTGTCAATCCGTCTCTGTGCTGGGACGCAACGCTCGAACCTCCCAGGTCGACGGACGGAACTCAACTAAAACGCTCTGCAAACTGCCGATATTCGACAGATTGTAAAAACTGGCAGAAAATATTTGGGAGAGTGCAACTACTCTTTTCCTTCTACTATGATATATCTAAGTTCAATTTAAAATACTTCAGTTTTAAACTTTACCTGTTGAGGTAATTACCAAAAGCTAGAATAACTTCCAATACAGAACGTAATTTTCTAGAATTCTTAACTGAATTTGACCCTGAGATTATTGCATGGATTTGCTAAAAAAACAATCAATATAATATGTAATACAAGAACTAAATAATGTAGAACTCACTGGCTGAATTAGATGAATATTATCAAAAAAGTTGCCAATATAACTCATAATCGACAATTTGGCAGAGATTCTTTCCACTTTAGTTAACTGAAGCAAAAATTTATCTTCCTCCGTTAACATATTAATATTTTTCTTCTCCAATACGTATTCTTTATAAGCTTTGGTTTCTTGTTCCGTCGGTACCATCCTCTGAAGTAATTCGACGTTTTCTAATGATAGTTGTTTCAGGTCTAGCATATTTATTGCGTTTATGACTTTTTCAGGTGGCATTTCTAACTTGCGTCTTGATATTGCTAAAACATACGAAATGTCAAGTGGTGTGAACTTTTCTAGCTCTGATATTCACTTACCAATATTCCTTAACCTTGTATGTTCCAATAAAGTGATATTTTCAGGCTTCTTAAACCTTAAAATCAAATAAATACTTTATTACATAAAAAATTCTTCAAAAGTTGTCAATTAATTTAGAACTTAGTTTGAAACACTTCTTGTTTCCACCATTACAAAGAATCGACGTCTGTAATGATGTACAAAATATTTATAACCCATGGTACAAAGAAAACAAGGTATGATCGATAGCGGCTCCAATTTCGTTTAGTTCGCGCATACCACCTGTGACGTCACTAGGAAAATAAGGAATAAATAAAAAATTAGAAAAGAAAATTGACAGGAGATCTGCATTTTTTGTATTTTTTAGGGTTATGGTTAAGTTGAGAATTGTTTATTTTTTCTGACTTTTTAGTTAATTAACTTAATAATTACTAAAACCAGCAGTTCCAAAGATATATTTAAAAATAAACGACAAAAATCCAAAATACTAATTATCTATTAACATGGATTTGGACGATGGAATAGGTAAGAATGCTAAAGTAGAAGTTCAAAAAGTAGAATATTATTTTATATTAAATGAGGTATTGTACCAACAATCAATTTATATTAATAACGGAGATTAAAAAATAACAGAATAAACAGTTCTTTTTTTATACTACAAATAAACTATAGAACACAACAGTATTTAAAAAATTAAATAAAAAAGTTATGCCCCGGCCGAGATTCGAACTCGGTCTCTCGCTTCCTAGCCTGACTCTTCACGCACTGCTCCACAGTAACTTGCTTAGCGATAGTTCAATGATGGTATATAAATAAAAAAAACAGGTTCATTACAATATCTCGAGGATTTGAATTGGGGCGCGGAGCGTGCTGACTAATGGCGCGTGTTATCACCTGTGACGTAGCGACCAACCTGCGCAATATCATACCTTGTTTTCTTTGTACCATGTTATACCCCTTTAAATTCATAACAAATGTCAAAATATATTGAATCATGATTACCCAAAAACGGTCTCTTACAGTCAATATAATCAAAAATTCTTTTTACCTTTTACTTGGAAATGTTTGTAATCCGTCAGTATCACAGGTTCCATTAGCAAGAAGTCCAGCGCTGCCAATTTTGAATTTCTCTTCAAATTCACCAAAATCGATTTGATTATGTAGTTTATCGTCGTCTAATTCGTTGAATATAGTTCCACGAACTTGATTTGGCTTTAATGCTATCCAATTAATAGTGGGTAATTTGTACTGAAACAAAAAAAATTAAAATATCAAACCAACTTTAACACTATTAAAACTATATAAAAAAATGGGGATTATGTAGGCGCTCTTTAGGCGTTTTTAAGTACCCAAATCACCGAAATAAGCGCTCTTACAACAAAGAGTGTTTAGGGGCCAATCTAAGTTTTATCTCTCCAAAAAAATCCTTTATGGGTATTTCGCCACTGCACTGCAAACAATTGATTTTTAACAGAACGTCAACGGTTTCTTGTAGACGTATCTGTTTTAAAACAGTAAAGTGTTTTCGAATAGTTGAATTTAAATATTTTAAATAGTTTTTTTCTTTGAATTTTTTTTGCTTCCGACGACGGAAAAAGATAAACTTTCCGAAACGTTAAGCATTTTTTCTTTGTTAGGCAAGTTTGTATAACTGTAAACATAACTTCTGACAAACAGTGTCCGTTTAGGTTTAATGCAGAGGTGTTTACAAAAAATAACTATTTTAATTTGTAGATTTTCTTGCAGTGCAGTGGCGAAATACCCATAAAGGATTTTTTTGGAGAGATGAATCCGTCACATAGGTATAGACATTTTTTAATAGTTTTATATTAATCCATTAAGCGCTATAGCAGATTTTGAAAAAGAGAGAACTCAAACATATTATTAGGTTTTTATTCCTCTAGAACACTTAATTCGGCAATAGGGTACGTAAATAGTACTTATTTATTTGCAAATTGTTTATACCGGTTGCGTCTCAAAAGTGGCTCACCCCTATAACTTTTTTATTTTATCAAATAATAAAACGAGAGTTGGTATGTTAGTATAATATGACATAAATTAGAATTAAATGACGTATTCAATTGTTTTTGGTCACTTCCTGTTTCACCGGAAATGACTACAACTTTTGATTTTTAAATGACATCCTCGGTATTTTTTTACTTTATTGAAAAGAATATGACACTCTGAATAGAATGACATATCATATGTCCACTTTTGACATTTTCGCATATGGTTTATTTGACATTGTAACATGCGGTTCATAACGACAATTTGACTCGAAACAGCAAGTGTGTGGTACCAAATTATTCGTAAAAAAATGCTTCTTCCAAATATGCTAATGGGCCACCCTTGTTCCACTTGAAAAAATTGAGATATGATTAAAAATACGATTTGGGTATCTTTTAACCAGCCAGGACAAGACACGAAAAACATTAGACGGTCAAATATATTTTTCCAAGGCTTCTTGATTAAAAATTAGTGTTTTTAACACAGCCATGGCACTCTAGATTAAAATTTAAAATACGATTTGTTTTTAAGCGAAAATGTCAAAAGTTGACATATGATATGTCATTCTATTCAGAGAGTCATTTTCTATCGTATAAAGTAAAAATATACCGAGGGTGCCCTTTAAAAATAAAAGTAGTCATTTCCGGCGAAACAGGAAGTGACCAAACGTAATTGAATACGTCAATCAATCCTAATTTATGTCATATACTAATATACCAACTCTGGTGTTTTATCTGAAAAAAAAATTATAGGGGTCAGCCACTTTATGCAATTTCTCCGTTGCAAAATTCAAGTTTTATCAATATATGCTGGAACTTCTACATTATGTCACTAATAGCAGTTATTATTAACTATATCAGAACTTTATTTCCCAATGTATTAACATTTTACTTAATTTACACATAGGTACCTTAGTCTGAACTTTGCGCTTAATCGTCATCGCTCCTTCTGGTGCCTGCATGAACCCGGCCGGCGGCGGAGGTATTGGTACTCCCGACAATCCCGGCATGTCCGGAGCTCTGGGAGGTGGCGGCGGACATGGCGGAGGAGGAGCAGCCGGCGCTGCAGGTGGACATGGTGGAGGTGCTGGTATACTTGGTGGCGGTGGAGGCGGAAGAGTAGTGGATTGGGTACCTAAAAAGAGCAGATATAAATATTAACGAATACAACCAAAGTTATGGAAATGTTGGAACAATTTTCTGATCTCAACAACATCGAGCTTATAATAATTCAAAAGATTGCAGGAATAACATACAGTGTATATTATTTTCCAGGATTTCTTTCTTTTATCTACGGTCCAAGATAAAAATGAACAGCATGGTGATTTCAAAAACGGTGATATGTTAAATTAGAGTGCGCCTTGTTGAACCCGAAAAGGTCAACTTTAAAAATCTGAAAAACTTGATTACTTCCAATATTTTAGAAAACCCGAATTTTCACTAGCGTCTACGTCTTTCTAGTCTACTCGGGCACTCAATATTGTTGCCATGTCTTAGATCTTCTAAAGGCGCATTCTCACGACTCGTGTACTTGACAAAAATTTATTATTAGAATATACGCCATGTCGTGAGAACGGTTTCCTTGATCACTCGTCGCGTCCCCACTCTCTGTCGGTAAATATAGCCCGAGTCAAAGGATCATAATAATTATTCGTACACTTGCCAAGTGTACTTGGCCAGCCTTGTCTATACTTGCTGAAGCGCAAAAAAAACGACTGCGCAACTAATTGTACTGTTATAGAGTATGTCCCGTTTATTTCCGGATCGTAGTATTTTTCGAGTTAATTGCGGATAATTTATAACGGTAAAAAAATAATAGATTATATAATATCAAATTTACATAAATAACTTCAATATTCGCGACATACCTAAATCGTTCTCACAGCAATAAATGGAGTGCATAAATGAAGACTACACGGGAAAAACCAGATATGTCACATTTTCATAGAAATTAAGATAGCGATACAACTTTATAGACAAATGTTAACGTCATTCGAGAAAAAAGAAAGCAATAATACGCTTAGTCCCAGAGATATTACAGCTTGATTATTTTGCCGTACAAAGGAAAAACCAGAATAGTCGACGCGTAAATGGTAAAAACCAGAGATGTGCTTACGCATGGGCGACAAGCATGCATCTTGCAATTAGTATTATATGTTATAAATTAATGTATTGTAATAAAAACCTACTTCTCTCTAAAAAAATCCTCTATGGGTATTTCGCCACTGCAAGAAAATCTACAAAATAAAACAGTTTTTTGTAAACACTTCTGCGTTAATCCCAAACGGAAACTACTTGTCAGAACAGGTTTACAGTTATACAAATTTGTCTAAGGAACAAAAAAACCTACTTAAATATTAGTTTTCTTTCTACAACAAAAAAATAATAGTTTAGATTTAGGTTTTATACAACCTTTAATTGGACATCCCTGGTTTTCCCCTGTTTTGTTTTGCATTTTGACAATTTTATTTCGGTATTTCAGAATATGACGATAATTCACAATATTAATAATTCAGAATTGGTAGTAATATATATTTTTCTAATTATTCAACCGAAAATAACATATTTCTTTAAAAACACTAAATTGCATTTTTCTCGGCTCCGTGTAGTCTTCAAATGATGTTGTTTTGGAATTTATGGATTTATACGAAAATTACAGTAAAAGAACTTAACAAGAAAAAAGAATCAATAGCAACGACAATTTCGGGACGACCGGTATCCATCGATGCGACTATACTGTTTACTTGCCAAGGATTTAAAAAATGTTTGTCCTGGCGTACTTGTTTGTGAGCGCCACACTTGCCGATGTTGTTTACAAAGAGGGAACTGGTGGGGATACTTGCCAAATACGCAAATATTGGCGTACTTGCCAAGTAGACGAGTCGTGAGAGTGTGCCTTAATGTATAAACAATGTTGTTTAATTCTTTTATAATAATTTTTATTTTGGTTCAGATGGTTTAATAAGTTTTGTGGGCTTTATCAAAGGGTTTATCTAAGCGTATTTTTTGAACTAAAGTATTAAGTACTAGTTTTCTTTTTGAATAATACCGTATGATCGAAAAAAGACAGCGTCTGGTTTGGCTTGGAACTGAATATCGATGGCATTCCCCATATAATTTTACATATAAAATGACAGCGATCTTCATTTCATAGCCATTGCTGACGCGGTTTTTTTCAATCACATTGTATTTTTGTTTCCAGGCTCTTTTGATTCTTTATTATATTCTATCAAAGGTGGTATCTATACACTAGAAAGCTCTTAATGTTGGTCCAATAGAAGCTTGTTTTGTTTAATTTACATCCAGTAGAAGGGCAATTGCACATGTTATATGCGAGAAAAATGGAAAAACATAACTTTACCAGAGACAACTAATAATAGTTATATCTGACTTTACTAAAGCAAATCGTGTATGCATATGTGAATGCACAGTCCGGTTGCTGGTACGGAAACGCTACGTGTATGATAATGTGCATCGACCTTTTACACTACTACTTACGACTTTGATAATTTGGTCAATTACTTTATGCCACTTGTGCATATGATTTTAAATAACTTGTTAAACTCTTTGCACTAAAATCTTTGACACAGAATTCACAGGAAAATGCGATATTTTAGTTTTGCTAAAGTAAAGGTGCAATTTCCTATATCTGGTTAGGATAAACTTTTTTAACATATTTCCAAAGCATTTATTTTTGCTTTATTTAGTAGTCTGATTACTATTAATATAAGTATACCCAGTACCTAATCTGTGCTAACTAAGAACTTTGAAATAAACTGTAAAAATAAACGTCTTTAGTTTAGCTAACAATTAGGCAACATTGTTGGGTGCCCGAGGAGACTAGTGGGATGTAGACGCTAGTATTTCTCCCGATGTTGGTTTTATTTTTATTTGCCATTTAGGTTTCTTCTATGCGGCCTGTTAAGGCAAACACGTTAACTACAATAAAATTGAGATTTAAGTGTGTAGTTAAAAAAATAAAGGTATTTTCCAATTAAATGAAAAACAAAAACACCTTCTCTTGTTGGTTCAGTATATGGCTCTACTTCTTAATAAATGCATTAAAAGATAATTAAAAATTGCTTTAATATGAATTTTAATTAAATTCGTTTCTGGTGTAACTCAACTTATCTTACTTTCATTGACAAACATAGATTTTGACGGCTTGATTGAATTTTGTCATATTGAGAAATGTTACATGAGAAGAACTATACCCTGCTAGTCATCTAAACTATGTGGTCTGGATTTTAATGCGTGTGACAGAGAATAATATAAGTGGCCGTTTGACAGACAGAGAGAAAAAATCAAAAGTGGCATACAGTGCTGCCGGTTTTTTACGTTTGTAGGAAAATGTGTGTAGAAAAATATACGCTATTTTAAAAACCTTCATGCATACTACTGAAATGAAAATAATATATCTAAGCTAAATATAATCTATTGCAGCTGTAGTAAATTAAGTAACTAATGGTGAAAAATAAAGTTCCAACTCTAGATGCAACATTTTTTATAAGCTTTTATTTAATTTGCTTTGTATGTAACTATCTATGTATGTATTGTTTGGGGCAAATCTTGTAAGCTAAATTAGAACCATTTCCTTTTATTGTAGGAAATTGAAATTTGGCATGTAGGTTCAGTCCTGATGACAATACATTTTTTTGCAAGGCATGACCCGAATTTTTGACAGCTGTCAAAATGGCGGCATTTTTAGGGTTTTTGATTTTTTTAAATTCTATTTATGAATGGATCGGGCTGAAATTATATATATAGGTATATTGTCGGTATATACCAAATACGTTTAAATTTACATATACCGCGGCCTCCCCATAAGAGCAATGAGAGAATGACATTGTAAACATTTATATATGTTTATTTTAACAATAAGACTGACAATATTATTTGTATAATGTTTTGTATTATCTTTTGTTTGTTTGTTTGTGTACCTTGTTTTTTTTTACCTTGTTTGTTAGTTTACCTTTGTCCACAAATTGAAAAATTTTTTGACAATAAAGGCATTTATTTATTTATTTATTTACAAATCGGTATAGGAGACTTTATATAACAATATTAAATAAACATGGCTTATGCCCCTCTCATTGAATATAAATGCTCTTAACTCAGGGTGCATCCATACTATCCTAGAAAAAGCGGAAAAATTCATCTGTCAGAAATTTTATCTATCAAAAATTTCAGCCAATAGAATTACTGGAAATCTATTCAAGGTCGTTATGCGTTACGCCGATACGCCGTTTCTAGGATAGCGTGGATGCACCCTCAGATTTTATACACCATTAGCTGTATTTACACTGTTGCAAATATTGTTTACAACATTTTGATAATTTCGGAGCATGTCTAAACATATGATTTAATAAAAAATCACTAAACTTACTTGAGGAACCTTTAGGTAGCGTGTTATTCTCCAATTCGGCGATTTTACTCTCAAATATCGATTGCCTATTTTTCGATTCTTCTTCGTGATGTTGAACCACCCTTCGTAACGTCGACACTTCTTCGTCGGCTCTCTTTTTAAATTCGACTAAATCATCTCTTTCTTGTCTAGTTTGAATTAAATCTGCTTCTAGCATTCCTATTTTCTCCAACGCTGCATGTTCTATATCTTGTAACCTTTCATGTAGCTAAACAATAATATACATGACAGCATTAGGAAACAAAAAATCAAATCCCACAAAAATATTAAACAGAATATTGTATAATAGTATATTTGGATAATTTTTTTTCTTTTAAAAATAATACTTGCTTCGATAATATCTCTAGTAGACTATTTTATAAAGGCTCTCATGCCAGTCATATGCACGACTGGCGGAAAATAGATGGGGCTGCATCTTTAGCATTTTGCGCTGGATGTATATCATGACAGTAATACCCATTATTGCCTATGGGGCAGTTGCTTGGTAGACCAAACAGAGTAGGTAGAAATCAAAACCTGTGCAAAGTGCAGAGACTGCCATGCGTCTGCATCACAGGAGCCATGAGAACATGCCCAGCAGCAGCAATGGAGGTGATTCTAAACCTAACACCACTGTATTGTCGGTAGATATGTCAATGCGACAATGACTAGAATGGTCAATGCCGAAAACAGTACTGAGAGAATTTTTAGTTCAGGAGCTTGGAACACCCTCAAAAACAACTCACAGTGGACGACATACCAAGAGTGTACAATTTTGAGAAACATCTCACTGTAGTATTGAGCAATAAAAAGAGTGGAGAGAGAAACGTTTGCTCAGCAGGTAAAAAACCATACCATACCGTGGTGTATTGATACCTCCAAAGCCAAAGCAGGAACAGGGATAGAAGTAATAGGAGAGATAGGAGATGGAATTACTCCAAGCCAACGGGCAATTCGAATCTGGTCAAAGAATGCCTAGAGAAGCGGAACAAATTAGGCCAACATAATAAATCCTTCTAATCTGGGTGCCGACCCTTCAAGAGATAGAAGGCAATGAAAAAGCAAATATTCTAGCTAGAAAAGGAATGAACACTCCACTAACTGGGACCAGACCCCTTCTGCTTCCTAGGAGGAAACCAACCACCTGGAATAGAAACCCTCCAACAAAACACTCGTAGAAATTAAAAATGAAGAATATAAGACCCAGAAAAATCAAAGAATTTCATTAACCATGTTAGCATAATCAGCAGATGATTTAGTTTTAATCATCTGCTGTTGATTTGGTAAGATGGTTAGCGAAACGAAAAGTGTTTTGGTGTATTGTGGCGAATTAGTGTTTTATTTTGCTGGGCTAACACCCTCAACTGTAACAACTGTAACAACGACGAATGCATATTCTGTGGGGAAAATGGATAAACACCAAAACGGTTCATCACTGAGTGCGCCGAGACGACAACCATTCGTGCCATGAACTTTTGGTACGACCGATATCGGAGATGGAGAACTATCCTCTGTAAAACCGTCTCAGATACCGGCACATGTCAAAACCTGGAGATTGTATGATGAGTTATAACTCAAGGGGACACAATTATTGTGGTCGAGGTGATTAACCCCCCTCCCATACATTCTACAAGACTATATTCTTAAAAAAAATAAGTATTTAACTCTGAAGTATTTATCCAAATATACATATTACAAAATCATAATACCTGCGCTACTTCATCCTCTAGTTCACCAACTTTCTCTAAAGCTGCTGTTTTGGTTTCACTATCTTCCATTAATGCCGCCACATCGAATACGTTATCCAGATAAGCAGATATCTGAACCTGCAGTTCTTCACTCTCTGTAAACCTTAATTTCTCTAGGTAATTGTCTAATCCTAAAGCAGTAAATTCATACTGCAAATGCACCCTAAAGTTCATATCTTCGACAGAATGAACTATTATATTTACAAATTGCATACAGGCCACCTACAAAAAAATGTAGTCGTTTACTAAACCCCAATATGAAAAATAATATATTTGTGTAACTAACTTACCATAAATTCTATATGAAATGCTTCGAAATTTAAAAAATAGTCCATAAGCGTTTGAAACCTGTGTACCTCATGACATACTTCTTTAAAATTATCAAATGCTGAAAGTATAATTTCATGTCCACCCTTGACCAGACAGATCGCAGCTAACAATTCTAATACTAAGGCTTTTGTTCGAAGACTTTTGTGAATTAAACTAAGTGATATGCTATTTATAGCTTCTCTATGTTGGATTACCATATTAAAGCCATACTGAAAAGAAAATTAATGGAATTTATTAATTTGAAAATTAAAGCTTAAGTTTTTGAGAAAAATAAAAAAATATAGTTTTTTTTTCAAATATGTTTGTATTCCAATCCATTTTCATTCTTTGATAGATGGTTTTTATTAATTTTGATTAAGGTCATATTTTTTGCTGTTTTAACATGTTAAAGAAGCACAAAATTTATAATTACCTTTTCGTAGCATTGAACTAAATAACTTTTGTGCTTTTTTAATGTATTTACTTCAATGCTACGAAAAAGGTGATTATAAATTTTGTGTGCTTTTTTAACATATCAGAATATTGACGTTAATCAAAATTAATAATAGTCATCTATCAATAAATCAAAACCTTAAAATGATATAGCCATAGGCCATAGAAACACGCGTTTTGATTTTTGAAACTTCGTTCTCTTGAATTCAACTATATTTTTTTATTTTTCTCTAAAACGGAATTAATCATTTTCGACAAGCAAAAATGTTTGCGAAGAATGTATTTTTCTCAAAAGCTAATAATAAAAAAGTTTTTCCTCTTGTAAAGACAATCCGGGGACATACTGTTCAGAGCGACAGTTTGAATTGAAATGACATTTTGTGAGCATATGTAGGTTAATTCAGAGCACTTTTTAAAAATATAGAGAGTTCTACAGGGTGTCCCCAAAAAAAGTTACATATCAAAGTTGTGTTTTTTGTGATGGAACACTCTATACAGGTTGTTAACTGGACAGTTACTTATAGGGGAACAGAATGGCAACACTGCCTATTGAGAACGCATGCACTTATAGCTGCTTATAGGGTTTTCTGCCGACTCGTCCCGTTTCGCATTTATACAAATATTATTATTTATCGCCTTAGGAAGGCCTATAATCACCAAAAAATATATGAACAAAATTAATACATGAGCAGCAATACAAATACCAAAAATTGAATATCAGTGTTTTTATTATAGTGGAAGCGTGTTTAAGTGACCGCATTTTTCAATTAAATTGGGGTGAATATTGTGTAGGCGAAAAGAATATTTCCTAGCTGCACAAAATGGAGAAAAACCCTTATAGTACGTACATCCTTTTTCCATATTAGTTGTTGTTAAATTCGATCACTGCTTTTATATACATGTCCATTACAAAAAGTAAAATCGAGTCTGAATGAAAACTAGTAGTGTAATTTTATTTTAAAAAAATTGTATAAAATGGTAGACGAGATTTTTCGTGTAATGTTGTCCCAAGTATTGTACTTTAAAACCATTATTTCAGTTTCTGCGGAAAACTGCGATATTTTAAGTTTTCGATTTTTTTAGGAGAATGTCTAGTACTTAAAATAAAAGATATGTTTGAACAATGGTACAATAGTGCCAAAAGTGAAAGAGTGTGAAATGTGTGAAAAAAATAAGTTATGTTTACATTTAGAAGATTGTTGATTGGTTTTTACAAGAAAGTCGTTTCCAGGTGAGAAAGTTCTTGAAACTTTTTCGTTTTTTGTTGAACTTAAATTATTGTCCTTTATGATTTTAATTTAATTGTTTTAATTTTCAAGAGCTTGCCATAATGTTATCTGTGATTTTTTAACCTTTTTTGAAAAAATTTGTTTAACGTTTTAAATTGTTTTGTGATTGTATTTTATATTTTTTGACCTCTGTATGATTATTGGAATTTGTTTATTATTCTGATTGTAATTATTTTAACTTTCTTGGGCCTGAAGATGGGAATTGTTAAGTCCCGAAACATGTCGCCCCCTCCTTTTTTTAAAGCAAATTAAATTTAAATAAACATCTTAAAAGATTGTGAGTTTTTTGTCCCCTACCCCTCGTCAGAGGTTTTACTTTAATATGTACTCACACTGGGTTGGAGAACGTTTTGTTTTTAATTTGTTATTTACTAATAATGAGAAATAATTACCCTTTGGGCTGCAGGAAATTTTTTTCATATTTATAAAAATTATAATTAATTTTTTTTTGCCAAAAATATTTTTAGTTTATTTTTATATCATGAAAATTAGTTTAAAATATAAAATATTATGTTATCTTTTATTAGTAATGTAAGTAAATACATTTTCTGGAGGTGAAAATCGAGTTTTCCATTTTTGTCCACTTTTCCCTATACTTCAAAACACTGTGCGTCGCGTCGTATCAACGAGCGGGCCGAGGTTGCCATATTTCAACCATAAAGCTAGTGCCGCGAGTAATAAACAAATTAACAACCTGTATATTAATTGATTTTCGGATACTGGGAGAAAAATAAAGGTGAGTTTTATAAGAGAAGTACAGGGTGGGTCAAATTCGACGCTTTTAAATGGAAACACCCTTTTCTATAAGAGATAGACAAAAACTAATATCGGTGTCTGGAGCTCAATTTTGTCAAAAACATGATGGTGAAAATCACATATCGATATCTGTTACTGTTTCGGAGTTACGAGGTGTTTTTCAAAAATATGCATTTTTAACAAATCGCTGTAACTTTTTTGCTATGGAAAATTTTGTATTTTTATGAAAACATTTCCAAAGCACCTTTTTACGTAGAATTTAATGTCTTATTACGTCTATCTCCTATAGAAAAGGGTGTTTCCATTTAAAAGCGTCGAATTTGACCCACCCTGTACATATATGACTAAAATGTAATTGCACATATGCCTTTTAAAATGAAAAGATCCGTTTGAAAAGACAATCATTTTATGCAGTTAACAGGAAAGGAAGCATTTTGAGCATTTGATTTCATCTAGCTTAATTTTTGTCACATAATTATAGGTTTATATTCATGAAAATTAGTTTAAAATATAAAATATTATGTTATCTTTTATTAGTAATGTAAGTAAATACATTTTCTGGCGGTGAAAATCAAGTTTTCCATTTTTGTCCCCCACTTTCCCCTATACTTCAAAACACTGTGCGTCGCGTCGTATCGACGAGCGGGCCGAGGTTGCCATATTTCAACCATAAAGCTCTTGCCGCGAGTAATAATCAAATTAACCACCTGTATATTAATTGATTTACGGATTCTGGGAGAAAAATAAAGGCGAGTTTATAAGAGAAGTACATATATGACTAAAATGTAATTGCACATATGCCTTTTAAAATAAAAAGATCCGTTTGAAAATACAATCATTTTATGCAGTTAACAGGAAAGGAAGCATGTTGAGCATTTGATTTCATCTAACTTAATTTTTGTCACATAATTATAGGTTTATATCTAGTTTTAATTCTGTAATACTTAAAATATGTTTTAAACGGGTATCTTTTTATTACCGTTGCGTATTTTACTCTACAATCTATAATTTTTGTTAAATTAACAAAAGGTATATCACACAGCCACACTAGATTTTTTCAAATAATAAAGATCTACTGACGCAAAATCATAAAAATTAAATATCTAGGAAAATCTATGTCTGAAGGAAAGAAAACGTTAATAATATTTTGAAGATATATAAATTCCCCATTGAACACCGGAAAAATATACTGGGTGTTCCATTTAAAATAAAGGAGTAACTTGCTTTTAAAAGTGACTAATGTTTAATGTTCCATATTAATTTTGTCGCACCCTGTATAACTTTTCGGGTTAAATTTCAATTTGGTTTAACATACAATGATTATTTTAATTAAATATCAGACTATACTAGGTCAATTAAAATTTAGGTAGCTGTTATCGAAATTTAAAATTTACTCTTCATTTTCACAAAATGTGAAATATGTCAAAATCCTCAGATTTTAGGTATATGCTTCTTTAATAAAACTCGCCTTTATTTTTTTCCTAAAATCCGAAAATCAATTAATATATAGGGTGTTCCATTGGAAAAAACACAACTTTGATGTGTAACTTTATTTGGGTACACCCCGTATAATTCTATATATTTTTATAAAATGCTTTCAGTTAACCTACATATGCTGCCAAAATTTCATTTCGATATAAACTACCGTTCTCGTTGGAGCTTCCGAGGAGTATGAGAGGCGCCACCGTGTATAATGTGAAATTATTTATTAAGTTCCTTATAAAGAGAAAATAACTAATTATAATAAAGATGCTTATCAAATTACGTAAAAATTCTTATAATAACGAGACCCAAAAGCTTACTTTATTATTCATTATTGCCCTCAGACACATGATACAAACGTGAATATCGTCTTTCGATTCTCCCATATTCAATTTCGCTACATGTTTGGATCGTCGCTTTAAACTCGGACTATCGCTCATATCTAACGGCATTCTTATGTAACCATTTGTTCTAAAACAAACAAAAATAATTATATTTTAAACACGGAACGCGGAACATAGGAAATCCCATGTAAATTTTAAAAAGGTTAAATATTATCTCCCCAGTTGATTTTATACAAACATTGTAATAGACTTTTTTGAAGAGGAGTTAAAGTTGTACTGTCGTCTAGAATTTTGTTTATTTGCAATAGCCATCTAAAAGTTATTTGCAAAAATCTACCTTAAAATTACTAAAAATTTATAATACGTCATGTCGTCAATATTTAGAGAAATCGGTGGAAAAAAATCCCACAGTTTTCAAAATGGTTTTAAATGGTTTCTCTAGACTTGGGTTGATATGTGTCAAAAGTCCCCAAAGATAGACAATGAGCTCGAGGAGAGGGGAGGAAATGTCACTTTTATGACTTTTATGAGCTTATATCCAAATAAAAATTTGACACTCTATATAAAAAATTGAAGCTCAGAAAATTCTTTACAAAATTGGTTCAATGCATTTTTTTCATAGGTCTAACCTTTTAAGAGTTACAGTGTTTTAAGAGTTACAGTGTATTTTCGTATTTAAAATCCAATTAAAGTCTAAATTTAACCTTTCATATTAATAATGGTAATATTAAGGGGTCCTTATGTTATCTTTCAAGTCTTCAGTTGGAAAGCATTAGTGCACACAGGACTTAACAATAACTTCAACTTAAAGATGAATGTTTGCCTCCTTTACTGTAAAAAAAGTATACCACAGCATGTAGCCCAGCTGCAAATATTCTAGAAAGTATACGAAAACCAAGAATCATCATCATTATTTCTTCCTATAGATACAGTTAACGTAAGTGTAATATTTACGTATCTGCACTACCCAATCCATTTTGCCAATATTGCCAGTCTTCCCTCGCAGAATTTCAAAGAGTCTTAAAAGCGCACAAAATGAAAGTGTGATTTCGGAATCTTCTCAACCTACAATAATTGAATACAATAATGATATCCACACACATAACATGAGTCCCCATACTTTAAAATTATCAATATTATTCCACATTATCCGTTTTAGACAAGTAATTTGTATTCAATAAAAAAAGTGATTTTAATTTACTATTTATAATAATGCATGTATCGCTTACTTTTTTAATTTAGTAGGTCTTTTAAATTATTTTTTAGTTTTGTACAATATTGATAGGTTGCAATATATTATGAAATTTAAATTACAAAAAATCTACGTTATTAAAGATAAAGTTCATTATAAGACTTTTGAATTGAAGAATTTTATGACGGTATTTCTTATTTCCGACACAAAAATTAATTCAGAAACATAATAATTCACTATTATTTTATAAATTTATTATTATTCATTTTGTTTCTTTAATATGTTACGTACATAATGTCGGTTTTGATTCTTTTTATTACACAAAATATAAAGCAAAATAATTGAACAGAAAACATTATCCTTGTTAACAAATAACTTGCGCAGTCAAGGAGTGATATATAGTATATACTAAAAGTTATACTTAATACTTAAAAAATCATGACATCGTACTTCTTCAAGGCTATTTGAACGAAAAACGTGCAATGAAAAGAAATGTGTTTGCACGGATTTGGAATATGCCATTTGATTTAGTATCCAAATTTATGAAGGGCATAGTTCGGAAACCATAAGTCCGAATTCACAAATGTATAGAATCATTTTTATAGAGAATGTTGTCAGCTTTATTTTTATATATAGGGCGTTTTTCGGTAGATGTCCTAGATTCCGAGATATAAACAAAAAAGTGAAAAAATTATTTAACTCCTCCCCAATCCTCGAGCTCATCGTCTATCTTCGGGGACTTTTGACACATATCAGCCCAAGTCTAGAGGAACCCTTTAAAACCATTTTCAAAACTGTGGGATTTTTTTTCCACCGATGGGCCTTTTTTTAACTAATTTGACTCGGGCTTATCAAAGTCAGAATCTTCAAAAATTATAAAATCTTTCAAAATCTAAACCGCTCTCATTAAAAACCAAAAAGTGTTTAAAGCGTCCATTTTCAAAGTAATTATTGCTATCTTGTAAGTTTAATTTAAGTATTATTTACTCAAACTCGTCATAATTGTGAAAAAGTGGCATTAAAAACTAAAAAAGATGAGCTGTGAACTGCAAAAACCATCGTGGATCGCGGCATAATGTCGGTTTCCAATGTTTCATAGGTATTTCATACATGTCCTTATATAAAATAAAGTTTCTTGTATGCAACACACTGTATTTTATTTATAAAATTAAAAGAAAATAATAATATATTTGAATAAATAATATTTGGCGATATAATTCAGGAAGGAGCCGAACCGCTCCGAAATTTTCAAAAGATTTGGGTCGCGACCGTTGCAAGAATAGCGCAAATAGTGTTTCCATTGTCCTTATGGGCACTTTCCAATCTAAACTTGTTTTATTTATCTATGGTGGTAAATTTTGGTGGTTTTTTTCTGAATTGGAATGATCATCTACAAAAGAATTAGTTGAACTGAGAATAGCATTCGCGGTGATATGACTTGTTTGCTATTCATTACTCGATCACTCGCAGGGCTCGCTATTATACCACATACATCCACAATAATTTAACAAATAAAAGAAATATTTGTAACTAAAGAAACTTTATTAAACTATACAATTAATAAAATGTTTATATAAACCCCCATTCACAGCCAAACAATACCCCAAATGATTGTAAAATTCACGCCTCACAACACAACTGTTAAGGGGAGAATCTTTAGCATTCCACAGAGGTGTCGTTTTCAGTCCATAATCTAAATGTCTGTATTTAATATGCCCATAAAGACGATTTTTGAGTGTGCTCCACAGAAAGAAGTCGTTCGGCGAAAGATCCTGCGGTATTTTTTATTGTAATCCCCAATAAACGGGAGTCAATGTTTTTCTTTTCTTCAACATCAAGAATATTAAAGTCATTGTTATGTTCTTCCTGTTCAATTATTTTTGTCTTCACACTTCCATGTGCTTAAAACCTTAGTGCCTTTAGTTTCAAACCTCTGGTTTATTCTTGTGAACCATTTACTTATTCGGTATAGGTTTTCCGGAGACTGGGCTGCAAACATACCTAATACAGCGGGAATACTATTTCCAACAAAATGCCGTTTAACCATCGTAACTTTTTCAGAAGTTGCGAAATTCATAATTATTTTATACTAGCGTGTACCCGCGAATTCGTTCGCGTTGTATTAATCAAAAAATTATATAGAAAAGTTGGTAATATTTGAGGGGTAGTTTCATCTCGTTGGAATTTGACTTTCGAAAAATCCGTTTGACCAAAATAAGCTTTTTACGTCAAGCAGTTTAAGCAGAATCGTGGTTAATCAATTACCCAACTTTTTGGAACACCCTGTATGATTTTTTAAAAAATTTCAAAATATGTAAAAAAACAAAATAACTTATGCGTGTCCAAGCATTTTCCCGAAAGACTAACCGTTTTTTATATAACAAATATTGTTATATTTGAGGGGCGTTTTCACCCTCTTGGAATTTGAGATTCGAGAAAGCCCTCCTTATCAAACCTCTACACCCCACAGTCAATCCGGTGGCGGTGGAGGCGGAAGAGTAGTGGATTGGGTACCTAAAAAGAGCAGATATAAATATTAACGAATACAACCAAAGTTATGGAAATGTTGGAACAATTTTCTGATCTCAACAACATCGAGCTTATAATAATTCAAAAGATTGCAGAAATAATATACAGTGTATATTACTTTCCAGGATTTCTTTCTTTTATCTACGGTCCAAGATAAAAATGAACAGCATGGTGATCTCAAAAACGGTGATATTATATTAAACTAGAGTGCGCCTTGTTGAACCCGAAAAGGTCAAATTTAAAAATCTGAAAAACTTGATTACTTCCAATATTTTAGAAAACCCGAATTTTCACTAGCGTCTACGTCTTTCTAGTCTACTCGAGCACCCAACAATGTTGCCATGTCTTAGATCTTCTAAAGGCGCATTCTCACGACTCGTGTACTTGACAAAAATTTATTATTAGAATATACTCGCCATGTCGTGAGAACGGTTTCCTTGATCACTCGTCGCGTCCCCACTCTCTGTCGGTAAATATAGCCCGAGTCAAAGGATCATATTCGTACACTTGCCAAGTGTACTTGGCCAGCCTTGTCTATACTTGCTGAAGCGCAAAAAAAAACGACTGCGCAACTAATTGTACTGTTATAGAGTATGTCCCGTTTATTTCCGGATCGTAGTATTTTTCGAGTTAATTGTGGATAATTTAAAACGTTAAAAAAATTTACATAAATAACTTCAATATTGGCGACATACCTAAATCGTTCTCACAGCAATAAATGGAGTGGATAAATGAAGACTACACGGGAAAAACCAGATATGTCACATTTTCATAGAAATTAACATAGCGATACAACTTTATAGACAAATGTTAACGTCATTCGAGAAAAAAGAAAGCAATAATACGCTTAGTCCCAGAGATATTACAGCTTGATTATTTTGTCGTACAAAGGAAAAACCAGAATAGTCGACGCCTAAATGCTAAAAACCAGAGATGTACTTACGCATGGGCGACAAGCATGTATCTTGTAATTAGTATAATATGTTATAAATTAATGTATTGTAATAAAAACCTACTTCTCTCCAAAAAATCCTCTATGGGTATTTCGCCACTGCAAGAAAATCTACAAAATAAAACAGTTATTTTTTGTAAACACTTCTGCGTTAATCCCAAACGGAAACTACTTGTCAGAACAGGTTTACAGTTATACAAATTTGCATAAGGAACAAAAAAACCTACTTAAATATTAATTTTCTTTCTACAACAAAAAAATAATAGTTTAGATTTAGGTTTTATACAACCTTTAATTGGACATCCTGGTTTTCCCCTATTTGTTTTGCATTTGACAATTTATTTCGGTATTTCAGAATATGACGATAATTCATAATATTAATAATTCAGAATTGGTAGTAATATATATTTTTCTAATTATTCAACCGAAAATAACATATTTCTTTAAAAACACT